GTGCAAATGGAAAAAGTAAATTCACGTTTGACAAACATTCGGGTTATTAATTATTCAAATTTTAAAAAAAGCAAACAACATTTCTGGCCACTTTGTAGTGGGCAGTTAAAAGCGTGTGAGTAAGCGTTCTCTTAATTAAAATCGTGACCGGCAAGCACTGCAAATGTTTTGACTAGCAAAAATATCCCTGAAAATTTAATTTTCAAAAAAAAAAAAAAATTATATAATCATTGAATTAAGAATACGAAAGACCTAAAAAAATTATTTTGAATCACATTATAGCACTTTGAAAATTATAAACCTATGTTATAACATTTTTTTTTTAATGTACAGTTTCCATTTTTGAAAATTTTGTGATGACCATGCAAATGCCAATTCGTGTGCACAATAAGTTTTTAATTGGCAACTAATTATTTGCAATTCTTCAATTGACATTTTTCTTGTGAATAAGTCGGAAAATGTAATAAATTTAACCGGGATGGAGGGAAACAATTTCTGCAGAAGCGGAAATAGAAAAACCCCCTTGGTGACTTAAGTAGCAGTTGAATGCAATTTGTGAGTATAACATTCAGTTCTGGCTGAAAGTCAAGTCATCGTTGTTGATGACAACAGAACATATGCGTTGGCCAACTGTCCTGCCCATGACCATATTAGGCACTTAGTCTAGACCCCCCGACGATGCTGGTGTCTTTGTTCGGCGAACCAAACCAATCCGATCCAATCTGAACCGGTTCCAGTTCTTAGACCCACACAGAAAAATATGAAATGGGCTCTTTTAAACACAAAAAAATAAAGTAATTAATTTCTTTGTACTTATATATATAAAACTGACTTATCGCGGTATTGTTTGGTATTATAGAATTAAGCGTATCATATCCTTCTTCTAAAAAATCAAATCACTATAATAAACATTTAAATTGAATATCCATTATTAAGTCTGCCGTTCATTTGCCAAGCTAAAAAGAAGATTTTGGATAGAAGACCCCTTCTACACAACATAATTGTATTTTAAAATGTGACGCTTAAACTTCAAAAAACTTTCATAAAACGTTATTTTGGCTTGCCAATTTCCTGGCTGATCCTAGATTTTTTCTGTGCAAATCCCATCTCGGTGGTGCGTCATTCGAAGCCAGACGTACCATAAATGTGCTTTGCAGCCACCAGAAACACAATAAAGACAGCACACAGCAGCTCGACTGCATTGAGCGGCAACAATAAAAATTGTACAATAAATCAATATAGAAAAAACGTCTTGCATAAAAAAGTATGCAAAGGGGGAAAAGGAAAATCGAGAGAACTCTCTGTGTGAAAGAAACCCCTGAATGGATTTTCCACATAATTGTTCTGCAACAAATTACTGGCTTAACCGAATTTCCAGACTCAATTATGGAGGGAGAAAAAATGTGTGTATATAAAAAAGGCGAGTCCTGAAAACTTTAAAGGTTACCCAACAGATTTTTCCCCAATTTCCTCCCAACACTCTTGTTTCCCTTTTCTTCTTCACAAAGCCGGCCGGCTTGTCCAGTTTGTTTTGAGCCCCGTTTACTTTGCTTTTGGCCAACTTGCTTACTTGTTTGTTGGCCCCGCAGAAGGCAAATTGTTTCTTTCTGGCTTTGCGTTTTCGTTTTTTCTTTGACTCTTTAAGCAGGTGTTATTTGTGTGTGTGTGTTCGTAACTCACCTTACAAACTTGTTTGTTTCTATTGTTGTTGGTCTTACTTAATCGTCTGCGGACAGGTTATCGTTTGCTCTTGAACTTGAGGCAAGCAAACAAACAAACTGAATGTGGAACTTGAACGGACCAGAGTGAGAATAAATACGAAAATCAAAAAATTGGTCTAAGGTGACTTCGAACTTTGTGCATTGACAAATGGCGATGGATGACTTTCCATCGGTTTGTAGCGATACGCATTCAAAATAAGCTTGCTTTAGTTTCTCTGCATTACGCAAAGCAAACTGAAAACAATTTATATTTTTTTGAATTTAAAATTTTTCAGTAATCTCTAGTGGCTACTATATTTGCTATCAACCCATTTCGTCAATAAAACTATGTCGGACGAGCTTTAAATACTGTTAAAAAACTGAGACTTTTTTGTTTTTCTCATCCATTTTAATGTACTTGTATAATAGACTAATCTTTCAAGATCAACGAATAATAATTATTAACCTTTTAAACTGTTTTCCTCTAACCCTTATCAGTAATAAATTGTGTGACTTAGTAACCAATAAACAGATAAGGAAAAACACATACAAAAGTATAAATATAAAAAAAGGGGCATAGCTATTATGAAGCCATAATTTATAATCGTGATAACAGCATTTTATTTAAAACATATTCCATTTTTTATATAAGAGCTCAATCTGTGCATATCGTACAAATACTTTAATAAATTGCATTAGTTTATATTTATGCCGGGTTTGTATAAAACCCACCTTTTATAAAACTCCCTATCAAAATATACCTCGCATATATGTAACACCGGGTAATAGTTACAGTCATGAATATATCGCAATCACCAATCGGTGCGCTTTCGTCGCATCTTCTTCTAACCGTTTGTTAACACAAATGAGGCGTGCCACACCCACTTTCCCTTCCGCTTTCCCCTTTTTTTCCTTCCCCGTCCGTTTAACGCGGACAGCAATTATTAAAACAGAGCCATTGGCGACATGATAAACGATTTCCGCAATATTTCCGCCAGCCCAGGACGGTCGAGGCAGAAAAGGCAGCAATGGCAGGTCGAGAAACGGGAGGGTTTACTGTAGGGTTGCACACCCGTCCCCCACCCCTTCTCCCCTCCCTGTTTACCCTCTTCTGATGACCCGCGGGGGCGAAACACTCCAGTTGGCTACGCAAATTTGTGCACGAGTCGCAAATTGTCGCTATGTTGAAATTGCTGAAATGTTGGGAGGCTATGGGGTCTAAAAGAGAGCCTTACTCATTTTTCTTCTATTTTACTGTTTACTTACAAAGAATGTTTCAACTACATCAATTATAAAATATTTTTTTTTTTTTTTAATATTTAATTAAACACAGAAACATATTTGCAAAATTCATTGAAACCAAACTATTCTTGTTGAAAACAAAAATTATATCTTGTTTGCCAAATTAAAGCAAATGCAAGTTGCTTTAATTGTTCGATTTATAAAAAGTAAATGGTCTTGGAATGCGTATTTTGTCAAGGAATGACTAGCATCTGTAAAATAGTTTATGTACTCAAAAATTAAAAATTGGTTTTCAAACAAGTGTTATTATACCCTTGCAGAGCAAAGGATAATTTAATTCCAGGTAGAAGTTTGCAACGCAGTGAAGGGGCACCTTAGACCCCATAAAGTCTGTCTGTTTCTACGCAAACTAATCTCTGAGGTTTAAAACTATCTTGCTGAAACTTTCCCAAAAGCTGTTATTGCACACAGTATATATGGTAAGTCAGAACGGGCCGGATCGGCCGTCTATATCGGATAGCTCCCATACGAGAGAATGAAATAAAAAAGTCTCACGCCTATGTTTTTGATCAGATCGACTTGATTTCTTCCAGAATGCGTTTTCCAACTACTACTAAATTTTGAATTAAATTTCATCAAAATCGTATAACTATATTATATAGTTGCCATATGAACAGTAGTCAAAAATATGGAAAATTAATATAAAAATCGTCATAGTTACGATGTTGTTTAGCCTTTATGTATTTTGTTCGACTTATTTGATGACTGCAAGGGTATATAAGCCTCGGTTTGCAGATTTTGAAAGTAAAACTATCTGTATCTTTCCTAGGAGTATAAAGAATTAAAAACGACTGCGACATACGTGAGTAAGCTTAAAAAATGAATAATCCTCGTCACTGTCTAACTTTGCTGTTTATTTCATACAGTGATATCTTGCGGGGTTGTGAGACAGACAATTTGTTTGATTGATTTCGGTGCCTTCTGTGCATTTTGCTCGTTTAGACTGTGACAAAGTTCTGGCTTCGCGTCGCCTTAAATGAGGAAATGCTTACTTTAATTTTATTTACTTTTACGCGTCCCTCCTTATCCGTATCTTAACGAGATAGAGAGGGCAAGCGGTGGCCTTTGTGCGGAGACTTTTGGACCCCTCGGGTCATGGATCATGTGCATGCATAATGCGCGCCAAGTCTAGAAGACCATTGAATGTACATAATTTATTTAAATTTGTTTGTTGTTGCTGTGCAAATTCCAAGGCAATAAGAATTTTATTTTGTATCTCATGCAGAGGGCAAAGATACATTATATCTGTACTTGTCCGCAAATAATACGTTTGTCACACCATATTTTTACTCCAAGATTAAGTGGCAACTTTATTGTTACTGCCATAATATCGACAGCACCGGTTTTTCTTATAACATTGAACCGATTTCAACAAATATTAAAATATTCATTGTATTTAGACATAAATAATTTAAAACATAACTCTTTTTACAATTCAATCCCACTTGCAGATCTAATACTTTTTATGTTATTTCGTTTAGGTTGTTTTATAGCAACGCGTTTTACGGTTTCTGCATCTTTCCATGGTGCACAAACATTTTTATTTAATTCTCGTTGCGTGAAAATTCCACGGGAATCCGCAAAAAAAGCGACAAAAATATTTTACATATACACTTGTTTTTGTTTCTATTTTCCATTTGTTTTGCGGCATTTTTGCAAGCGAGGAAACCAAGGAATTTGCATAACAAAGTGAACGAACGCTCGAGGGGGGGTGACACACAGCCACAGAAAAAAACAAAAAAAAACTCATAGAGAGACAAAGAGACAGACAGAGAGACAGAATGGCAGACGGAGAGCAGTTGTTATTTTTGGCACAGCCAGAGGGCGAGGAAGAGTGATAAAAAGGAGGACTGGGGGGATGCGGGAGCGTGTTTACTTGGCCAGGTTAATGCACCGCAGATTAACAACAATTAAGATGCGAGAGAGCGAGAGGCAAGGCGCACTGAGAGCGGACAGTGCCAGAGATGCTGGCGGTCCAGAGCGAGATAGCACACGTACCTTTTTCGGGCAGGGGACGCAAAGTGGGGGACTCCTGTTGCTCCTGCCAGTGGCTTTTCCTGATGCTGCTGCGACTATTGATGCGCCCGCGGCTGTTGCTGCTGCATCTTTCCACGGCGACCAACAACAACAGCAAAAACACCCACGAATTCGCTGTCGCCGGCATTTTGCCGCTGGCCGCTCTTTACGAACACACTGCTCTATTTGTTGTTGTTGTCGTTCAGCCTTCCGTTGTTTTTCTTTTACACAATAACACAACACTCACACAGATGGGCACGCACACACACAAACACACTCGTGAACCGGGGGTGGCAAGGAAATCACAAAACAGGTAACTTTTTTATTCAGTTTCCATTGAAACAAGCATTTTATTTGTTTACTTTTTTGGAAACGTTTTGCGATCCAAGAATTTGCTGCATTAGTACAACACACTGATTTATTCCTTAGATCCTCATGCCGCGAGATTTAATTTATTTTTCGCAAATCGCGTCGGCACAAAACGTTTTAGCTGCCACATTCAACTCATAATATTTTTGCCGGCTTTTTACCCGACGCGACGTAAATGTATGATTTTTTCAATAATTTCGAACGCAGCAGCGCGGCACGACCGTTCGCTTCAAAATTTTTTCGATTTCTGAGAGAGACTTTCGACAAACGCCAACCCATGGTAAAATAAGTATAGGGTAGTCTCGACGCTTCCGTCAGTCCTTTAAAAATCATTACAATAAGTGCGAAAGAAACCGGAATAGAGTGTGTGCTTAGTCAATAACCTCACCACCGGTTCTTATCTTTGAATGTTAGTCAAACTCGTCCGGTAGAGGCGCTTATTTCAACCTGGTTAACAGAAACTTTACATGGGAAAATGTTTTTCCAATCGGGTGAACAGAGGAAAACGTTTTCCAAACCGGGTAATCTCGCTGAGAGAACCCGAGAGAGCCACACGATCTTTAAGGGACGCAAACGATTCGACTCAGAACTCGTTTCCAAATATTTTTTTATTTGCACTTCAGTATTCAAGCTTTTATCGTGCTCCCACAACCTTTTAGTACGAAAAGCACAGTTTTCAGATTTTTACAGACCACGGCCTCCCGAAATTTCAGCCTTCCTGCTTGATTATTAAATAGTTACGTGTCATTTGTCTACCATATGTTTTCTATTAAATAAAGTTGCTGATTGATAACTCCGTTTTTTGTAGTTTTTGGCCCTTGAACTTTTGGCAAAAGTAATTATAAAGCCTTTAAGGAATGGCATAACTAAAGGTACTTGTTCTTTTTTATTCTGATTTAGAAGTACTGATACCGAAACAGCCAATATGGCCCGAAACCGGGACAGGCCAACTAATCAAAGTTGGTGATGACCCCACACCATCGGTTGTTATCTTTGATGTGCTTCAAACTTAACAATGTTTTCTCAATTGCTTAAAACCCGATGGTCAACGTATTCTCATCGGTTTAAAACCTGAAGATAGTTTTCTTAATCGGTTATAAACAGATGGTAAATTGCCTCAGGGAACCTGAGAGAGCCAAGAGCCACCTGAACGTTAACGGACTGTCTTTGTCATCCGCTGAGGGGCGCTTCGCCCAGCTGCTACCATAAATACTTTACAGGAAATGCGTGGGATTATTTGACAGCGGACATCTGGTCACCCCAAAAAGCAGCTCTCACCCTCTTTCAAGAATCCTTTCTGTCTCTCGCTGTATTTCTCTCCCTTTATTGAAGAGATTTACAATTTGTATTGGTAGAAAATTGATCCTTTTGGAATGTAAAATAATAAAAAAATTTTTTTTTTTTAATAAAAGCGATAATAAGAATCATACCTTTTTTATTTTAATATTCAGTCTATAAGCATTCCAAAGTTAACTGTTAATAAATTAGATAAAAAACCTATTGGTTGTAAACATAGAACAAAATATGTTCCTTGTCACATTCCTTGCAGTTAAAAAGTTTTTAAATATTTAACAAGAAATCAACTCATTGCTTGTCCTGTGGTTCCTATGGAAGCTTTACTATGTCGTGGTAAAAGTCAATGGTAAAGAGAACGAAAAGAAAAACAGCTAATAAAACAGTTAATAAATTAAACAGTTAATTTGAAAAAATGTACTGGCCGAATATAAAAAATAATATCAGTTTTGACTATCTGACAAATTGCAATTCGGTCCTTTCTCAAATAAAAAAAAATCGAAGCAAATTACAAATTTCAAGTCTAAAAATTAACCTGGGTACAAATAACTATTAATCTCAAAAATTTACATTATAAAAAGCCTTAAAGTGGAGAGAAGGTTTTAATTCCAGTGAAAAAGCTTTTCGAAAGTGGGAAAGCGCTACTTACTTTTTTAGTCACAAATCAAACAACCGGCAGTTGTCAAAACGTTTTGATTTTTAAAATTGTCTCAAAATCAAATTTTTAACTTGAAAACATTCGGAGGATTCAAAAATCATCATATCTGTTTAACAGCTTATCTACAAAATGCTACGCCAACTCAGGGTGAGTTCCTGAAACTTCCTGAAAAGGGTTGCATAAGAATGCAATTGAATGCATCTGCAAGTGCATTTTTCTACTTTTTCTATTTATATTTTTTGCACTGACCAGATGACGATGGATATTTCGGGATGGATATTCCTGCCGTGGAGACGCTCGGCGTCAAATATAAAGGATACCCCGCCGCTACCGCTGACCAGCACCCTTAATGATGTGATAGTGGACTACGAGGACCCTGACTATCTTCCCTTGCCTGAGTATCCTGTGCGTCCCAATGAGCCTTTGGATGTTCGTAAGCAGCGGTGGGTAAAATTGTTTAGTAAACCAGTAGTACTTTAGTACTTTTTATATTTATTTATATATTTTAATGCTATATGAATTTAGTCTTAAATTGTTGTTTTTTTTTTCAAAATAACTTTTGATTGCAAATTGTTTTACGAAACCAAAAAAATTTTCACAACGCTAAACTATTTTTGATGTTATTGTGTTGTACTGTACGTATTAAATTAGGGTAGCTAACATTCATACACCAATAATTCAATCATTTAATCTTCTACAGGCTTTTGTATCAATCACGCAAGCGGGGAATGCTTGAGAACGATCTCCTCTTGAGCACCTTTGCGGCCAAGCACCTCCAGAACTTTAGTGCAGAACAGACGGCCCAGTACGATCAGTTGATCAACGGAGTGAGCAACGATTGGGATATCTACTACTGGGCCACCGATGTAAAGCCAACGCCCCAGGAGTACGACACGGAGATCATGGAACTGTTGAAGGAGCACGTTAAGAATGCAGAGCGTGTTTCACGCCTCCGTCAACCGGATTTAAATACTTAGTCTGTCCCTTAAAAACTTGTTTGCTTGTGTTTATAGAAGTTAATGTTTTATCCAGGAGATCAAACCCAAAACAAATCCTTTTAAACAGAATCTCCATGAATTGCTAAAGATCAACACGGCTGTATGTTTTTAGTGTCCATTAAGGGGTTATATACCTTTTTCAGACTCAAAAAATCGAAAAAAATTTTATGATTTTTTTTTGATGTACATACCTTCAACAATTTTTCTGCAAAATTTTTTAGAGATTGGGGCACTAGAACCTAAGATACAGCCATTCATAGCGCACGGTGAACATGACTACCTAATGTCCACCTAAAACTTTAAACGCGATTATCTCGGAGTCGCATTTTTGAGAAAAGGTCATTGCGGTGAGCACGATATCTCGGTAACCACTACATCGATCGATTTGAAATTTTGGGGGATTGTTTGTAGATACAATAGCTAGTTCGTGAACGAAGGAATTTTTTTTCGACAAATTTTTCTATTTTTTTGGGGCGAAAAACTAAATTATTAGACCTCGAAAAATCGGTTTTTTTGAAAAAATAATCACCGTAACTGTAAAAAATTTTTTTTCGTAAAATCCTTCGTTCACGAACTAGGTAACACTATATACTAACGTAGTTTTTTTCATTTTTTTTTAAGTTGAGCGGTTTTCTTGTTTTCATGCTCACCGCAAGCCTCTATTGAAAAAAGGACTTCTGCGGGAAGGACTATAACTTCCACAATACTCAAAATTTTCACTCGAAATTTTATACAAATTAAGTTAAGGACACGTACTTTGATAAAATTTTTATTGAATTTAAATAAAACAATGGTAACATGCTAAAAAAAAATAAATAAAAACCATGTATTTCTCTGGTGAAAAAGGTATATAACCCCTTAAGTCAACTAAATCCAAAATTATATTGTTTTGTTTACTGACCTTCGGAACCATAATACTTTTTTAAAGAGAAAGACGAAAGTTCATTATGTTGTGATAAAGGAGATCTTGTGTTAAAAGAAAACATTATACCCACGGTTTAACTTAAAAAGTAGATATTAAAGCATGTAAAGGATAACCACTAGCACCTCTCAAACACCTTATACAATGTGGGTAGATTGGTAAGCTCGTAGATCTGATCCTTGAGACGTGGCGGTGGTAAAAGGAACTTCTTCAAGGCCGGAAATATCACGTGCTCCATAGTCCACCGCGGATGTACTGCATCCGAGCCTTCCCGCCAATATAATTGCGAGTAAAAACGCGCAGTTTCCCTGCAGAAGGTCTCGAAACAGCGAGCCTCCTGATCCCAATCAACTTCGGTGGCCAACCGGAGAAGGTAAACAGGCAAGTGGGCAATACTTGGTCGATATTGTGGTACTAAACTTGGCAGAGACTCGAGTTGTCCCATTTCCGAAATGCGCAGTCCGAAGTACTCGCGCATAATGGGCGCCTTTTTCACCAGGATCTCCGCAGCACTGGCCGCCAGTTCAGCCTTGTCCCCATCCTCGGGCGTCCATCCGGCAGCCTCACTGTCCAGCGACAACACTAGAAGCTCCTTAAGAGGAAGCGAAGGATTCATTGTGATTTCCGTACAGTTCTGAAAGTCGTAAACTAGCCGCTGGTAAAAAAGCTCCTCACAAAATACGCGGGTGTTGCAAAGATAAAGGCGAGTTTCATGTTGGAATAACGAACGTCGTTCGTCGACACAACCCACATAAACCATATTCTTTAGGGTGCTCCTTAGCTGGACACTGCACTGCCTCTCCACGCGCTGTCTCATATCCAGCACACTGCTCAGACGGACTTCCCTGGTTTTCTTCGCCGCAGTCACACGGAAACTCCTATCTGGCAAGGGTTTGGCCTCTTGAGAGGAACTGAAGGACCCACCAGATTCACTTTTGACCAAGGGCGCCAGAAACTTATCCAGCTTCTGCTCACTGGCATCGGTGCGCACCAGTTCTTTGGGATAGATTCGCTGTGTTTTATCCGCCGATTGTGTTTCATCCAGATCTGGAGCTCCTGGTAGACGCAATTGTTTGTAGAAGGTTCTCGTGGAATTGCTACCCAGAAGACGAGCTTCCACCTGCTCCTTTATTTTCTCTATAATCTCATCCTGATAGAGGAAGTGCACCTCGTGCTTGGTGGGATGCACATTCACATCCAGGTTCTGGGGCGGCAAAGTAAGGCTCATGTAGACAAAGGGATGTTGACCCCGGGGCAGGTAGGTGGAATACACCGAGTCCACGGCAGTTTTTAGAGCTGAAAAGCATTATGTTGAGGCGCTAAAAACAAATTTCAAGACATACGATCTCTCACCTGCTGACTCCACCAATCGCTGGTTGATAAACAACAACATCTGGCTCTTTTTAGACGAATAGTTTACCTGGGTGATCAGACAGTCTGCCTCGAACTTGAAGACGTCATCGCGGTGGTTAAATTCCAGCAGCTCTTTGGAAATGGATGAGCCGTAGACAATGCGAATGTTTTCGGCTCGGGAACTTCCCACTGGAGTCCTTAGTGCAGGCTGGGCCTCGCCCTGCTTCCGGAGGGTGAAGCCCACTTTCGGATTATGGACAGCATATCTGGTCAGAACCTCGGACAACCGCTGGAACTCCTCGGCCGGCGAACGAAGCGCCTGCCTCCTTTGCGGCATATTGTAGAACAAATCCTCGATAGAGATGATGGTGCCCTGGTTGCCAGCACACGGCTTCGGCTGTCCCTGCAGCATGCCATCCGCATAGGTGGCCTTGTAGCCGCATTTTTCCTTCGCCGTCTTCGTTTGAATACTCAAATGGGCCACATGACTAATGCTGGCCAATGCCTCTCCTCTAAAGCCAAAGGTCGCTATCTGGGCCAAGTCCTCGAAGCGAGACAACTTGGAGGTGGTGAAGCGCTCGCACACGATGGACAGATCCTCACGCCGTATTCCTGTACCATTGTCCTGGATCTGGAGAAGCTTCAAACCTCCGGCCTTCACCTGCACTTGAATGTGACTCGATTGGGCGTCCAAACTATTCTCCAGCAGCTCCTTTAAAGCGTTGGCGGGCCTCTGTATGATCTCGCCGGCGGCTATGCGGTTGACCACCACCTCGTCCAGCTTTCGAATGACGCCCGGCTCCAAATCTTTCGACATGGCTCAAAATCCTGGCGCGAATCTCGATGTAAACAAACAATTTGTGTGACCGTTCGGCGGTGTAGAAATTAAATCAATTAAGTGATTTAGCATGGCGGTAGATTTTAGTTTAGATATTTAAAATTTTCAAAATAGAAGTGGACTCTTATAAGATTGTCAAAAGGATTGGTTTCGTTTAAGGTTTTATTAACTGTGATTAAAACCAGTAATAAGTTTTAAAATTTAACAATTCGTTTATTTTTCCTTTAATAAAAATAATAATATTAGGTGTTTCTTACATTCGTTAGGTTTCAAATTTCAAATATATATTTGTTTCTCGTTATTGTGACTTTTGTAATGGACTTAAGCTTACATTTTTGAATATTTGTACGATATTCATATCCAGGTAGTTATTCGATTTCAGGTAACATTTCATTTAATTTGTTTTTTTGTATTGCTTCAAATGTTATATTGTCTCAACAATATATTACATATTTTACAAATATTTGTATTTCGTGTGTTAAACAACAAAATAATAACTGGAGATTACATGTTTCTTTAAAGTTTACTTATACCTAAAAAATGCTTGATCATTTTTCATTCTCTTTTAATTCGAGTTAAGCTTAAACACTTTTTTCAACTACAACTATTTTGATTATGCAAACACAAGTAAATATCGCAAATTCACAGAGCGCTAAGAAAAGCAGGTCTTTTTACTGCAAACGATTTGACTTATATATTGGAAATGTTCTGTAACAAATACTATGAAAACCACTTGCACTTAAGGCAAATGAAAACTGAGATTCCGAGGATAATGGTGGTGTACTTAAAGTAGTTGCGAACCTTCTTGCGCTTTCGCTCGGCCAGGATTTCGTTAAAGTCAATGAAGAGCGGATTTTGGGAGGGACTGAATGAACCAAGCTGCAATATAATAGGGTGATAACAAAGTTTATCAATCGTATGCCAATTAAAGCTTACATATTTGACGGTCTTAGTCACTTGATTGAGAACATCTCGATATCCCTGCAAATTGCTCTTAATACTGGCTAGTTGCATCTCCGAAGTCTGTCCCAATTTCTCCTTCTGCTGATTTTTGAGGATGAAGCGCAAGGAAGCCTGAATGATTATCAACTGCTGCAGATGATTGGCAGCAATCATAAGAATCTCGTAAAAGCTGAAATATACCTCATTAGGTAATTGAAAATGGAATATGCTAAGTGAAAAACTCACTTGTCCATGCCGTCCTGCTTGACTCGGGCTATAGATTTGTTGGACCAATGATGGAGATGGAAGCTGAACGGAACAAAGTATGAAATATTGGTAACGGCAGTCCATTTTATCATTCTTAAAATTCACTCACTCTAGAATGCCCTTTAAGATCTTGTTGCGGTAGATAGGATACTCAATTCCCACGTCCCGTAGCGACTGCTCATCCATGACCAGGAACTCCGCCAGCGAGGTCCGAGCAATTGCAAAATGCTGAACCATATTTCCAGCATTTATGGACTGCAGAATGCCGTTAAGCTCCTGAAAATACTCCGGACAGTCGCTTTTCAGAAATATGCGTGGAATATGATCCCTAAGTGTGTTGTAGCCCAAAAAGTGTACGGGCACGGAGTAAGTAAAGGCTGGGCGAGGCAGGATCTCCAGTAGATCGTAGTACCCATGGCACTCGGCCACCTGTGTGGGCGTGTATCCTTTGTTGTTAGCTATCGTCGCATTTACACCGGCCTCCACCAGAAGTTTGACCACCTCCACGTGATTCTTTTCGATGGCATGGAAAATGGGTGTGCAGCCCTGGTTGTCCACAGCATCAAAGCTGACGTCCTTGATCATGAGACGCACTACGCCTATGAAGCCATTTTGGCATGCAGACATAAACGGAGTCATTCCGTATTTATCGGACACGTTAACAGCCGCTCCGTGGAGCAGAAGCAAGCGCACTATTTTCTCAGCCACATAGGGATCCTTGTGGGAGCAATCGCAGGCAGCCATTAGCGGCATCAAAGAGTCCAGCTGCCGGTTAACATTGGCTTTTCCCTCTTCCACCAACCACTTAACCATCTCGTAGTGACCCTCGCAACAGGCAATCATTAACAAGTTGGGGCCACCTCTTACGTTCTGGTCCACATGAAAGCCCAGCCTGCGCATCTCCTCTTGGACTATCGGGAGATCTCCGTCAACCGCCGCATTGTACAGCTTTTGCTCGGGATCCACGTAAGGAGCGGGTTTCACTCGTTTTCGCTAAATCAAAATAAAAGGATATCTAAGGAGCGTTAACAATTTTAAAGCTTTTAAGAGTCCTTACATCGTTCGAGAAGTAGAACCCATCGTAGCTGCTGTCTGAGTCAGAATCCAGTGGAGGTCCGTAGTGGCACCGACTGCTCATTTTTTTTGGGATATAGTTAACTGCAAATCTTTTATTCCTACCACATTGTTGTGGACAAAACAATAAATCAGGGAAAAACGCAAAAGCAAGGAATGGCAAAGCCAAATTGGTGTTGGAAAGTGCCGTCTTGCAGAAGCTTGCAATATCGATAAGTAACGATAAAAAATTTGCGAGTTTTAAATACAATTGTGGGCAGGAAAGTAAATTTTATGTTAATCAATATTAAATAGCAACCAAACATTGTTCATCTCTTTACGTTTACGAAAGAGAATTGCAGCAATAAAAAAAAAGGTTTATATTTTTTAATTTATTAAAGGCTTGAGGTCGCCGTTCTGGGAAGAGCAATTTATAAAATGTAATTTTAAACAACCCAATGATTAGTCATTATTATACAAGTTCACGATTTAACATTGCCTATAACTATGTATGTTGTGTAGTTTTATTTCTTTTTTTATCCTTCTTGGCATAACGAGGTCCTCCAAAGCTCTTGCCCTTGTTGAACTTATTTTTTCCCGCCTTGTTGGTCAGCTTTACGCTGCTGACCTTCTTCTTGGCTGCAATCTTTGTCATTTTCTTGTGCCGATTAGCCTCAGATCTAAAAAAGATTACAAGTTAGCAAACCCCCAAAAAAATTAAAAACGTTCTCTATTTACCTTAAGCGCAGGGCTCCACCACGACTGACATCGGTCAAATCGTTGGTAAACGCCGATTGTGCACCACGGCGCTTGGGTTTGTTTTCAGAGGCACCACCTTTGTGGGCTTCGGTGGCAGCACCGAGTTTTCCCGGCCGCTTGCGTAATTTGGCCATCTTGGCTCGCACCAGCGACACCTTCTCAATCTCCTTCATAGCTCTCTCCTTGGCCAACTGCTCGGGCGTCTTTTTCCGAGGCTCCTCCTTCTTTTTTTTGTTGCGCTTTGCCTCCAGCTCCTTGACTGGTGGACCATCCTCGCCGTCGCCTCCGTACTCCGGTCGCTTGCGCTTTCCAGCCGTTTTGCCCTTGCCCTTGCCCTTTCCACCTGCTGCTTTCTCATCGTCGCCAGTTAAAGCTAGACGATCCTTCTCAGCCTCGCGCTGTTGTCTCGTCTGGAACCAATCACGTCGCTCGTTGGACTGGCCCAACAGCTTACGTTCGGTTTTGGAAAGCTGTTGCTCTGTCTTTGCTAGCTGCCTTTCAGCCTGCTCCTCGTCCAAAATGTTCTCTAAAGAAAGAAAACAATTATCTATTCAGAAACACACTAATTCGTTTTTTATAAGCACTTACGAATCTCTGGTTCTAGGGCCGTAAGCTTGTTGCGATACTTTTCTATTATCTCAGGCGGAATAATACGATTCTTGATAGTGCTCTCTGCATTCTTGATAATATCCTTAACGATCTTACGCTCCTTTTCTCCGGCCAACGAAACAGAAATACCAGCACGTCCGGCACGAGCGGTTCGACCCACTCTATGGATATAGTGCTCTGTGGTGATGGGCATCACAAAGTTGATGACCGTCTTCACGCCCACAATATCCAAACCACGAGCTGCCACATCCGTGGCGATCAGTACATCGATTTGCTCCTCCTTAAACTTCTTGAGCGACTCCAGACGCTGCTGCTGGGTAAGATTACCGTGCAACTCGCCAGCTCGAACGCCCAAGAGTCCAAGCAAAATGTGCAGTCGATGGGCCTGCTTCTTCGTTTGGACAAACACCATGCAGTGGTCGTGGAAAGTTCGGCAAATCAAGCTAGCCAGGATGGGCTCCCGATCTCCCTCCTTATCCTCACGTATACGAATAAATTCTTGCCGCAGGTTAAAGGCCACTTGCTGGTTGTTGTTCACGAACACTTTTACAGGTTTGTCCAGCGAAACGGCAGCAAGATCCTTGACCTGCTCGCTCATCGTAGCGGAGAACAACATGGTCTGACGTGTTTTGCAGCAGGAGTTGATGATCTCCTTCATCTGTTCGGCAAAGTATTCGTCCAACATTCGATCAGCCTCGTCCAAGATAAGAACCTGATGGCGAATTAAAAGATATTAAACAGAAGAGCGCTGGTGGTATAGATTAAATAATAGTTAAAGGTTCAGCTTGCATCTGCCGCGCAGAAACAAGAACCAGTTTTTCCTCTTAGCTCTGAAAAGAGCTCAGAGCGCAAGGATGGAGAATCATCAAAAACAAGGAATCACAACTTATTGCTTCAGATTTGCTCACCTCAATGGAATCCAAAGTGAAACTGGGCGTGTTTTTAATGTGATCTATAAGACGACCGGGAGTGGCAATTACTATGTCGGGATTCTGACGCAGTACCGCCTCCTGAGCCTTCACATCCAAGCCTCCGATAGCCAAGCCAACATCTATGCTAGTAAACTGGCACAACTGCTTGGTGACCTGATACACCTGGGCGCCCAACTCACGGGTGGGCACCAGAACCAGTACCCTGGTAATGGCCTTGTTGTTTAAAGGACGGTAGAGCAAACGTTCCAGGGTAGGCAACATATAAGCAGCTGTTTTGCCCGTTCCAGTGGCGGCACAGCCACAAATATCACGACCCAGTAGAGCCACCGGGATCGTGGAGGCCTGAATGGGCGTGGGATAGATGTAGCCTAGGACTCCGATGGCACGCATAAGGGGACGGGACAGATTCATCTGGTAGAAGGATGTAATCTGCTCGTTAGCCTCCACAGTGTCATCGAACTGCATCTTCTCGCCCTCCTCCTCTTCATCCTCCTCGCCCGACTTCTTCTTCTTATTCTTGGTTTGTTTCTTTTCTCGTAGCCGCAGGTGGTCATGCTTCAGTTCGTCCTCGGATAGATCTAATTCACTTCCATCGCTCTGCTCTGCAGCTACAGCTTCGGCGCCACCTTTTTTCTGCAGGCGAGCGGCGATCTTGTCGTCGGTCTTTGTGCGCGCCTTCCTTTTTACATACTTCATAAGATCGTCCCAAGTGTCTTGGTTGTATTCCTTCACCGATGAAACGAACTCGAAGCCTTTCTCAAACTCGGTCACCTTCTTGTGTCTCAGTTTTGTTGGTTGGTACTAGAAAGAAACTTAAAACTGAGATCTGGTTCGGATTAATATCTACGTTTTTCCTACCTCCACTTCCGCATCGGAGTCCTCCGACAGGTTTTCCACCTCGGCATCATCCTCGATGGTGCCTATTAAGTCCAGGTTCTTTGTTGCACCCATTTTCTTGAGATAAAAACTATTTAAAACTCCAGCGCGTGTTTACAAATCGAAACACACGTGCGGCGGTCAGTTAGTGCTGGGAGAAACTGTTGGCACTGTTATCGTTGGTACATATAGATTAAGTGGAAACAAAAATGTTGATATAATTAAGAAAGTTATTTGTTATATTTTTCTTTAAATTGTTTATATTTATTTTTGATGAAATTGTGATAATTTTAATACAATTAATTTCAGCACTTTTGTTAACGATGTTCATTATGCTTAAGATGCATTCATCGCTTGCCGGCAAAAGCAGCAAGTAAGGGTCTTCCATCTCTAGCTACACAGCTGTTTGGCCAATTTTGTTATGAAATTTGTTTGAGTTTCGCTTTGAAAATGATGCGTTTACTGACAAAAACAAGAGTTCTGCGGTAAGTTAATATACAAATAAAAGATCAATAACATGGAGGTAATAAGCTGCTCCTCTCGCAGGCAAGTTGTGGCAGCCACAGGAGCTAATCCACCTGTATCCCGCTTCTATGCACAAAATCAGGGAGCAGCAAAGAAAAATCCTGAGGAGGACATGATTAGCAATGAGCCAATCAAGTTTTTTGGCAGCCAGGCGGCCACGTGGAGGGCAAAGGACACTCGCAGCGGAGGGAGCGAGGAGACTTTGTGGTATCAGCCCTACGTGATCTCCGCAAGCTTGGCCATATTCCTCCTCTACTTCTGCGCACTTCGCGAGGAAAGCGACATCGATCTGCGACTGGAAGGAAATCTGTACGACCATGTCAGCGGCCTAGAGGAAGTTCAACTGACGGTCAACTACAAGTACAACAAAGAGCACGGGTTGGACACCAAGGAGCAGGAAAAGCGGCTAAGGGATCTGGGTGTCGATTTAGGTCAGCTGGACGCAAAACTGGCAGCCCAGTAGTCATATAGTTGGTTATTTGTACGTTTTTTGTTTCAATAATAGAGCAAGCTGGTCAAATTTAAAACTGTAATTGCAAATTATTTCATCTTCTCAAAAGATCACAGTAAAATGGTTTTTTGCAATTCTACGAATCGCATTTACATTTGTAAGTTTCGGTGATTGTCGAATATTAGGCACTCACACTTTTTTAAACAATAAATTGTTTAAAATTATACAATTTGTTTTTAACGGTTTTCTTGAAATTGTCTTCACTAAGTGAGACCAAATTGCATTCCTCTGACTATCGGCCCCAGCTGATTGTCATCGATAGAAACAGCTGTGCTCCACACACTGAGATTCCGATAAGAAACCAGCAGGGAAAATAGGAAAAATAAACTGATTCAGACCGCTAAATCCATTATCTGTGCGTTTCATGCACACTCCCGCTGACACACGGCCGGCTCCACCCCTAAAAGTTGATTCCAGTGGAAGGCGAAAGACTGCAAAAGCATGGTGAGCGGACAAAGAAGCCATATCGCACTGGCCCCCGCCCATCACGAGCGCCTGATTTGCATCCAATCACGTCTTTTCAGAGCTACGATGACGACGACTATCCGGCGGACACGTTCCCCAAGGACTTTGGCTACCGGGCCTACAATCAGGATGGCTTGGAACTCGAACCGAATGCGACGGGCAGTAGCGAGACAAAACCGCGCATTTTGCTGATGGGAATGCGAAGATCGGGCAAAAGCTCCATTCAGAAAGTAGTCTTCCATAAGATGTCCCCGAACGAGACGCTCTTCCTGGAGTCCACCAGCAAGATAGTGAAGGACGACATCAACAACTCCAGCTTCGTGCAGTTCCAAATCTGGGACTTTCCCGGCCAGATTGACTTTTTCGAGCCGACCTTTGACTCGGACATGATCTTTGGTGGCTGTGGCGCTCTTGTCTTTGTTATCGACGCCAAGGATGATTACAACGAGGCACTGACCAAGTTTAAGAACACAGTGCTGCAGGCCTACAAGGTGAACCAACGGATTAAGTTCGAGGTGTTTATACACAAGGTAATATCCGTGAATCAAGTGCTTATCGTAGGTGATAAACCAGTGACACCTGCTCGTTTCCCAGGTTGATGGCATAAGCGACGACTCAAAAATGGAATCGCAGCGAGATATCCATCAGCGTTCGTCGGACGACCTTAGCGAGGCGGGATTAAACCAGATTCACCTGAGTTTCCACCTGACCTCCATTTACGACCACTCTATCTTCGAGGCCTTCTCCAAGGTGGTGCAGAAGCTGATTCCACAACTGCCCACGCTGGAGAACCTTTTAAACATCTTTATACCAGTATGTAGGGTTGGGTTTATTTTAAAGTATAAAGCTCATCTTTTAAACCTTGCAGAACTCTGGCATAGAGAAGGCTTTTCTTTTCGACGTGGTTTCCAAGATATATATCGCCACGGATTCCTCGCCCGTCGACATGCAGACCTATGAGCTGTGCTGCGACATGATTGACGTGGTCATAGATCTTTCCAGCATATACAGGCATGCGAACGTGAATTGAAGTGCCCATATAGAAGTAACCAACTTCTTTTTTCACAGCTCCGAAGAAACCGCCTTCGATAGCGGTAGCTCTAGTCTTATCAAGCTGAACAACAACACGATACTCTACCTGCGGGAGGTGAACAAGTTCCTGGCTCTGGTCTGCATCCTGCGCGAGGAAAACTTTAACCGGCAGGGTGTAATCGACTACAACTTCATCTGCTTCCGCGACGCAATAAGCGAGGTGTTTGAGTTGCGGCTTAAGCGGCAGAAACAGCTGGAGAACAACGACCAGGACGACGATGACTTGGTCGACGAGCAGACCCTGATTCGCCATGACGCAGCAGGGATGTCGAGAGCGCAGCCAATCAATTAGGCGCTCTCCATCTCCAAGCGACGAAACCCATTTATTTCCCTCTATGCTAGCTTCTCTGTGGACATTTCGATTCCAATTTGTACGTTTCTCTTCCGTTATATCTGCTGTTACTTTTGTCTACTGATACGTTAAGTCGCCACTCTTACAGAGCAGCGTAACAAATTGCCCAGCGGTTGAAATTAATGATAATACTACCAATAAATATGTCTATTTTTAAATAAAAACGTGGGTGGCTTTTTAATGTATATTTCCGGTATTTACTTCGAAACAAGGTCTTTTTCATAAAGGTCAGTGTATACTTTGTTTAGTATTTGGCTTTTAATTACTTAATAAGTACATGTGTATGTCTTTTTTAGAAAGGTTAACTTATATGCACTTTTTTAACTGTTAATAGTTTTTCGAAAATTATCTTTAAGTTTATTGGAAGTTTCAAAAAGCAGTTAATATTTAGCCTAATATAAGTATACTTAGGTAAATCGATTTCATCACAGATTTTGAACACCTCTTTTTATACTCATCATAATCATTCCAAAAATTTAAAGCAGCCAAATGGGGGCTAACTAAATTTTACGGTGTCCTGCATTAAAATTATTCGATAAGCTTAGACGTAAAATATCGATGTTTTACCACCTTCAAAGCATAGGGTGGTCACACTGGCGCTCAGCTGGTGCAGTTGTTGTTTTTCCATTTCTCCAGCGCGAGGTCCGAAAATTTTTGAGCGCTGCGCAGCGATAATTTTCCGGGGGTTAGTCAAATAACGCGACTAGTTTAGTTAGCCAATTGTGCGGCGACGACTTGGCCCAAATTCAATTTCGACGCCCAGACGCTAATCGTTAAAATCACAAACAAAAATTAAAAAGCTGATAAAAAGCAAGAGAACCCTGGAAAGTGGTTAATGTGTGTGTATTTGGCGAGCAGTGGCGGAGCACTGAAAAAACCAGTTAGCTGGCAGTGAAAGAGATTCAATAACGTGTTGGAGCAAAAAAAGAAGAACAAATTGTTTCGAGTGTGCGAGGCGACGACAACAACTGGTCCGGTACGAAAAAAAACGTCCGCTTTCCTCGCTAATTAGCGGTGCTTTCCTCGGACGACCCACCATCCAAAGTCAACTGGAAATCGGCAAACCTAAAATCGCGCTATATCCATTAACCACAAATTGATATTGTATGCAAGTGCATCATCAGCATCGTAATCAAATTCAAGCAGGTGCGTACTGTTCGCAACTTTCGATATTATATTCGTCTGATCGGGTCTTTCGTCTCTTTCTCCCTATCTCTCTTTGGTGCGTGGTGTCTACTATACAACACATATCATTATCTGTCGGTTATTGTTACCACTTTATGCGGTGGAGCATCTTTGGCATTCAATTCAGTCGGTTCCCCATTCATTTGCCTAACACACATATTTTTGAACTCACAAACAAATAAAGTGAAAGGTGGCACGCGTTTTCTTTTGTATTGTTTTTGCCTCGGCAGCAAGGAAAGCGAAATCGTTCTTAGTCATCCTGATTTTTAGGGTGTCGAAGGGGAGGAAAAGAGGATATATAATAGACATTTACCGCCTGGCAAAAGAAAATATTAACTTGAATAAATAATTTTACAATCCTGATCTAAATTTCAAAAGAAGAAGAAAAGATGTTTTCCCTGCCAAAATGCAAAGTAAAATTAATAGAAACCAAAAGATTATTTAGAAAATGATCATCAAAGTGTTACCAATTAAAACCAAACCGTTATTACTTATCTGTGTCTTCAACGGTGAAATCAAGAAATACAATTTCAACCGGCAAGATAAATCGCTGTTGACCCAAGATTATATCGATTTTTGCAGCTGTTGCTGCTGCATCCAGCCATTAGTTTCTAACCACGACAAGTGTTTCGGCACCACACCCACTTATGTCAGAGGGAAAAGCCTAAGCGGAAATGATTTCATACTCCGAAACCCACCCCGAAAATAAAAACACATAATGTTGAAAGCCGCGTTTCCATGCTTTATGGCCATTGCCTGCCCCAAGTCGCTTTTCCTCGTTTTTCGCTTTTAAGTTGAGGTTAGGTCTTAAAATCCGTCTGGTTTTTCGGGGTGCCGGCTTCTTTGCGTCGTCGCAAAACTATGCTTGATTTCAGGGGATGTAAATACCATGCTTTTCATTTTCGTTGAAATTTCACGGCCAAATTGATTTTTCCATAATCATTACAAAATGCTTCGCAGAAATGGCGATAATAAAAGCGCCTTTTCATTTTCGCAGCCATCACGCACGTCGAGATAATTATTACCGCTCTTTGCCGTTTTCCCTCTTACAAAACAAAAGTACTGCGTTAATGCGAGCAGCACGTGTGCCTACGTCTACGCATTGAGTTTTCCATTTTTCAGTTTTTATCTTTCCCTCTTAAAATTCTCAGATTGCGCCCCGAAAGAAAGGGGAAAACAAAAGACGCAACCATGACCAAAGAAATTCAAAACTTGAGCAATTTGTAGGCGAATTAAGGTGTTAACTAACCGTGAAGTTGGTCAGTGGGAAACTCAGCGACTATGCTTTGGCTTAAAGTTTGTTCAGAGAAAAAAACCATATCCAAAATGATTTCAATAAACTTATTAATTCCAATATTAAAAATGTTTGCAATTGACTTAATCCAGAGATTTATTTACAGTATATTTGTATATTTTCTCGGTGTAGTTTCGGCAGACGAACTCGGAAATTGTTTGATCGATTCGATTCCTTTCGTCTGCTTCCGTTCCATGGCTATCGGCTGGTGGCTTTTGTTCAGCCATTCGCCACTTGCTAACAGTTGTTTTCGTACGTGAGCAGCGCTCAGAAGCGCAGATACTCGCTGTCAGATACTCGGATACTTTTCTCCATGGATGCGATGCATTGTTGTCCAATCCACGCTCTCCGTTCTCCGCTTTTCAGCTCTCCAAGCGGAAGCAACTCCATTTATGTAAATTGCTTGCGTGACATTTGAATGCGGCCGGGCGCTTTATGAAAAGCTGGAGCGGAAGGGGTAGAGCGGGACGAGGAACGTCAAAGAATCGGCTCCATTGTTGGACCCGCAGATCTCGAAGCCAGGGTTGCCAGCCCATTTATCCGCAACGCTTCGTCATGCCAACAGTCGCCAATCAGTTTAACTGTGCTTTTTATGGCCGCACTTTGCGCTTTTTATGCGCACTTATAGGCGCACATGTGCAATATCATTGCACTAACGTTTTTCCAATCAGTATGGGATGATATACTTGGAATTAGCGTGAATGAATCTGCATGTTTTCTATCTTCGTGATGTACTTATTCTCTGCTTTAATTATTGCCATTTCCTATGTATTTACATGTTTTTTAACAAGAGATATGGCATAGGAAAACTAACTACACTAGATTTGCATCTGGAAAATGGAAATTGTAATCAGAACTTAAAAGGAAATAAACAACCTGATCAACACTTTCTAGCAATAAGTGTTTTGTTTTTTTCTTACTAGCACTCAGGTTTACCTAAAACACCGTAAAAAAATTAGTTATTAATAACCTTTACTAATAGCTTTCAACAACTGCTTTGGCACTTCCCGTTTTCGTTTTCCCGAACTTCGGTTCCGATTTCATTTGCATCAGATTACCATTTTCAGAGAAATGTTACCAAAAAGATTAAAAGATTCATATTTGGGTTTATTTTGTCGGGCTGGCTAAGCTTGGCCCAAAACAAACTTTGCCACGGGTTTTCGGCTTTAATTCGTTTGCTTAATTTGCTGTTTCGTGCTCGCGGTTCAGCGAGGTGAAACGGTTAAATGTTTGAAAACTGCCCCAGAGTTTTCCTTTCGCCATGTGTACTCGTATATGGCTCTGCATGTGTTCATTGTTATTTCGGTTTGCCGCCCCTCCGGTGTGTGTGCATTATGCTAACTAGACCCTAATGTCGGTGCCCCGGTGTTTTGAGTGCTCCACATTAGTGTATCGTATAATATGCTCCATAAAGGGCCTTTCGATATATTTTTTAGCCAGGGCTGCATTTCCACGTACTTCGGGTTCATTGCTCTGGATCGCCCAAACATAGAGCAACGACTTTATGTTGGGACCCTTGCGGGTATAAAAACGAGCCAACGGGCGACCATAGAAAATGGAAAATGTCAGCAAATTATGAATAATGCAGTGAAAAATACAGGAACCACAAAAAAACGTGATCAGAAAATGCCACAGAAAACAGTGCATAAATAATATGTGTAACCGGGATGGGCGAAATGACATTTAAGGTTTTAACATCGCCCACAAACCATCTGAATCATCAGCAGAAATAAATACATATGTACGTACTCCGCGCTCTCAAATTGATATTTGTTTTTACCAAGTACTTTTCAACTGCAAATTGATACTTGTATTTGCACATCGGTAACTGGAAGCTAACCGCCCGGTTTCATTATTTATTTATGCATTAGCATCGCTACACAGAAACCAAAATGCTTAATCTAATGTTTTAAAAACTAAAAACAAATAAGCGTGTTACGAAATATAGGGGATGCCACGAAGATTTTAAATGTTAAAACTAAACAAAAAACGAAAACAATCCAAACAGCTCCTATCTTCGCAAGTGCTTTCTTCTACCTGTTACTTGCTTTTCAATAAAAATCAAATTCTTTGTCCAATAATAAAATTTAAAATTTTGATAAAATATTTTTGGTTTGATATTAGGAAATGATTTGCAAAGCTGATATCGTTATATTTTACTGTGTAGCGTTTTCTTCGTTTCCATTATTTATGGCAGCTCAATTTTCTGCTTGTCTCCGTGCCTTTGCCCACAAAATGTTGACTTTTCGAATTAAGTTTCACCGTTAGCAAAGATCAGGCAGGCGGATTCTCCCCTTTCGGCAGCGTTACCGGCGATTTTCGCATTCAGTCGAAAAAATTGACCTAGTCAACGAAATACAAGATACTTGATCTCCACTTTTTGCTCTTTGGGAGAGTAAAACATGTTTTCTAAACTTTTGTTGAGCTTTAAAAAAGCTTTTAAACTCTCTTTTCAAAGAGAAGATTCTCTTAATTCTATCGATCTTGTTTTTAAAGAGATCTCTTTGCACCTTTTGTTTTTGGCATTGACTATTTGTGGTTTTGTTGATACTATAAGCATTTGAAAAAACTATACTCAACCTTTGGGTCCCCAAGGTTTCCTAGCAATTGAAAACTAAACTTTTGGGGATAAAATCCGAGCTCATGTATACAAAGCACAATTAAAGCAAACGATGTGTAATGTACAATTGCCTACTAAAGCAATGAATTAATGTATTTTAATCAAAGTTCAGCTTAAGTTGAGGGCCACCGAAAACCTTATTCCTCGATTTCTGATGAAATATGTTAAGTACGTACTAGATATATTTTTGTTTACAAATTACGTAAAGAAACAATGAAATGGGTGTTTGATAGAGCAATAAGTAACAAACAAAGTGCTTATTATAAACTTAAACAGAAAATGTAATACCCTTAGCTTGTGCGGTTTTTATCGGTTTTTTGTTATCAGTATGGTTTGTGGTTTACATTTTGGTTACATTGTGGTTAACATTACATTTATTATAACAATAATTTTTTGTTTAAAAGCAATTATTAAAATTATTTATAAAATTTAGCAGGCTACCTTTAACTGATAAACCAAACTCACAAAGTGCTTGACTATTTGGTATGCTATTCAATGGCAATCTTCTAATATGTAGGGTTTAATCTAGAAATTTATAATCGAGTTCGTATATATAGGTCCACAAGAAGATATAATGTGTGTATTAAACAATCAAGTCCCAAGTGCAAAAAAAAAAAAGTAATTTAGAACAACATCACTTTCGTTTATTCGACAAAATGAAAAAAGATTTGATGTGCTGTATATCTACGCGAGCATAAAATTACCCCTGGTGAGGGTATAAAAAACTTGGCCACCCAATGTAGTGTCGCTATCCAATTCCCCACGAGCGTGTCAATCGTGAAATGGGGTGCGTGTGTATTTGGGCACGTTTTAAATGTCCATATGACTTTGTTTTTCTGTAATGAAAAACAAGTCATTAATTAGACACAGCGATTATCAACAGAGTTGAAAGCACATCGACTTCAAAAACTTACTAATTCTTCGCTCACATGTCGGAGTGCTTTTTCAGTTGGTATAACACCTGTATATCTATTCCCGATCCATTGGAGTAAACAATCGCACGTATTGTTGTTTACAGTTTGCTATACCAAGCAATAGTCGTTGTTATTTTTAAGTGCACTTTTTTCTGTAATTTGACACAAGCCATGTGCAATTGTCGTTGCGGCCTGTTGTTGTTTACGGCAAATTAAAGCTCTTTTACATATCCATCCCACAATATTCTACTGAACGTCGAGCCCACCAATTGCGACCAATCGCAGGCAAGTAAACAAGATGTGGGCAACTCAGAAAAACACCATCAGCCGGCTACGCGGAAGCGAATTTGTTTACGTCTTATCCAAGCGGCAATTAAAGATCGGGAAAACAGCGTGGGCAGCTAATATCGCAGATTTATTTTTGCTCTATAGAGAATTTGTTAACCAAAGCAGTTCAGTTTTGTCCTAGTTCATACTTTGTTATATAAAAGCTCTATATCGGTTCCTTACCTCTATTTAATAAGTTTTGGAATTCTGTAATCTTTAGTTTTTTCCAACACAGAAATGTACAAATGTTAGTTTATAAATTTGACTGTTCTATAAGAAATTTATTGTTCTAGATGATGACAAAACAAATTAACCTAGAACCACTTAAAAAGAGTGTTGTCACATTTCAACAGAAATAATGAGTACTTAGAGCTTTTAAAACTCGTTTAACGTAACTATTTCTAGGCATTAAAAAAAAAAAACCTAAGAAAGACGTTTTACATATAACAGCTGAACTTTAATTGCCGTTTCTTTGTTTTTAAAATTGTATAAGGGGGAAAAAATGTGGCTAATAGTTATTGTTTTAATGCATACGATTGTCACTCCTCGCAATCTTAGTTTTTGCCTCAATAATCTGCATGTTTGAAAAACGCGAGTTGATTGAACGAAGAAATAGCTGAAATGTCAGCACTGCCCTCCAGCTAATGACCCTGGTGGCACACAATAACTTTCGGGCTGGTTTATACACATATTTCTTTCGGCCAGCCAGTTGTAGCTAAGGCAGACGTTTTTTTCGGCTGGCAAGATCATCGCTCGCACCGGTTTTTAGCATTTTTCGAAGGGGGCCTGCCCTCTCAGCCGGCTTCCGCCTTTGGGGGCATATGAAGTGATATGCTCCACCTCAACTGCGTAGTTCGCTAGCCGGTGCCATATAGTATCTGCCGATGTATGTCAATCTACATATATGTATGGCCGCACGTACATATATATCTGTATCAGCATATGAACGAGTATTCTTTGGCTGTTAAGGCGCGAGCAGTTCACGCGCTCTCAACTATTTCGACCTTGATGGGACTATGGGCACTATCTATCCACTAGCTGTTGTTTTGCTTGTTATGACACTCTGAATATATTACATTGTAGAAGCCGCTGGCACATGCACGTGTATATGGGAACGGAGATACTTATGTATGTATGAATGAAGGGGCTCGTCTCATTTTGTTTTCTCAATTGGGATGTGTGTAACATGCTTTTCATTAAAGCTTCGAAAACCAGTTATCTCTCGTGCACTCAGTAAAAAGCCTTTTGGAGGTGATGGATCTCGAGCTTAAGATCTAAATTTAATGCATTATATTTTATGTTGTTGTTGTTTGGAAAATAAATTTTATAAGATGGGAAATACATGATGACTACTTTCTTTAAATAAATCAAATCAAATAAAAAAAACTGGATTTGTAAGGTAATATGTCAGCTATAGAATCTAGGCGGGCGTGTGATTTTTGTTGTCTCGGAGCCTATTTGTTAAAAAATAGTTAATCAAAATTTTAGTGTGTAGATGCAGTGCATCAGATCTACGATAGGTACGAATTCAAGCACTCTGCCAGCGACATTTTCCCCATGTACGTACAATTAGCGAAGATGGGGAGGTTCATGAACTGCACTTTTTCCCCAACGGAAGTGCAGACATGTGCAGAGGGATAGGGAGGAGAAATAACTGCCATCAAGTGGCCACTTTCGACCGATGTTTCAGTTCATATTGACGGACTGCTCCGGGCGGACGTTGAAACTGTGCGATAAACCCTCGGTTCCACCCGTATCGTTTGCCGAGGCTCTTATCTTCCGGAGTTGTCTTATCGGGCATTCAGTGAATCTTATCGCCAGCAGCAGAAAGTAGGGGAAAAAGTAGTGGGAAGCAGCCAGTTCAGTGTGACAAAATTTCGTTGGAATTCAATGTGTTTTTCCGCAGCTCGTCGCCGTTATGCTGCTTTAAAGGGGTAATAATTCATGAATTGATTACCAAGTTGACCAAAAAGTAATTAGTTAGAGTGCCTATGTTTTATAAGACCCAAGTTAAGAACTGTTTACAAAGTACTAGAGCTTCGACACGTGCCTAACCTCAAATGGCAAAAATATCCGATTAGTGCGGTACTAGTGTTAAAAACAAAGAACGGTGATAAGGTGTAATCAAGGAACGCGAGATCGCACTTCAATCCTCATCTGCTTAGACCGATTTCTGATTCATCGTTCTGTAGAACTGGCCTTGGTATTTCCACTTCCCGTTTGCAATTTACGACCGATTTGTACCGACAAACCGATTAGATAAAACTGTAGCCTGGTTGTGGGTTGTACTTTCCAGTGTTAACTCGGTGCTCACACACACACACAAACACAAACACTCAGACACATCCCAAAACTAATCGCCACTAACTCACCCAGCTATGACTAAGTCTAAGTTACATCAACTGCCACAAAAACTTACTAAACGCAACGCCTAACAACGAGTGTAATCGCCTAATCGCAAGAGCATCCCCATTTCTTCTACGCACACAGATCAGGATCAAGAGCAAGGTAACTGGGCAAAGGAAGAATCCAGCACTACATGTCCCACAACTAGAGGACAGTCTCCCATCCAAGGATTAATTAAGGTCTCTCTCCCAACATGCCGCTCTTCACGCGAAAATCGCCCAAACAGGGAAACACTGCGGACAGCGGCAACCAGTTCGGCAGTCGGTCCTCCATGAACTCGGGATCCTCGCAGGGTAGCCACATCAGCAATAACAACAACAACAACAACAGCATTCAGGAGAAATCGAAGCCACCTCTGGTATTCCACTGCCAACTGGCCCACGGCAGTCCCACCGGCTTGATTCACGACTTCTCCAGCGTGCGAGAGCTGTACCAGAAGATCGCCGAGTGCTTCGACATATCCGAGAAGGACATCCTCTTCTGCACCCTCAACTCGCACAAGGTGGACATGACGCGCCTGCTCGGCGGTCAGATCGGCCTGGACGACTTCATCTTTGCCCACCGCAAGGGTCGACCCAAGGAGATCGAGATTGTGAAGTCGCAGGACGCCCTGGGACTCACGATCACCGACAACGGAGCGGGCTACGCGTTCATCAAGCGGATCAAGGAGGACTCCATCATCGATCGCATCGAGCACATCTGCGTGGGCGATCACATCGAGAAGCTGAATGGCCAGAACATGGTGGGCAAGCGGCACTACGAGGTGGCGCGAATGCTCAAGGACATCGCCACCGGCGAGACCTTCACCCTGCGCTTAGTGGAGCCGGTGCGGAGCGGCTTCCAGGGCATCGGGCCGCGCAGCCAGTCGCGGGCGTCGGGGAGCGGATCTGCCGGCGGACGGAACTACGGGAGCGGCAAGGAGACGCTGCGGTTCAAGGCCAACGGCAATGCCCAGATCGAGCCGCAGTTCGATGAGGCTACAGTGGCCGGGATCGAGGCCATCAACAACCTGCTGGAGTCCTTCATGGGCATCAACGACACGGAGCTGGCGTCGCAAATCTGGGATTTGGGCGACCACAAGTCCAACTCGATGGACTTCGCCGAGGCCATTGACAACTCGGACCTGGAGTCGTTCGGTTTCACCGACGACTTCATCATCGAACTCTGGGGTGCCATAACGGATGCCCGGCGCAAGTCCACGACCAGTCCCAAGTAACCGAGGTCCCATGCCAGAGTTCCGGTCGCATTTCACTTTGCCTGCTTATATTGGGGTCCAATAAATCCATTGAAACGAGGAGTTGTTCTTAGTAATTGCTATTATCTACTATCTGAATATGTTTTGTTTTAGAGCCTAGTTATATTTACCATATATCATGCTACAACCCCATATGCAAACATATGTCGTCTGCCTTTGCCAATTATTTAGTTATTTGTATTCTTCACAGTAACCTATTTATTATATATATATACGTTCAGTTGGACAGGAGGAAGTGACGAGGCATCCATACTATATACTTTTGGTACAATTTGTTCGATGTACATACGTATAATTATACTTCTTTAGTTTTATCATTAAACGCAAATACATTTAAATTATTTAAACGTGGCTCTCTATTATTTGTTTTTATTTTGGTTACTATTGTTATTATTTGATTTGGTAAGTTTGTTTATTTGCTTAGGTCTTACGGTTGATTCACAAATACGAACTACTAGTTTGTCGTAGGCGTCGTTATCTTTTGTTGGCACCCATCAGCATTTCGTTTGGCATTCGGAAAATATTCCACAGACCCAAGTGTGACGAATTGTTTGGCTGTTTTTCTTTTAGCGTTTTATTGTTTTCCCACCATTAGCTTATATACTAGCAGTCGAGCATATTTTTACCATGGCTCATTTGGGGACTCATTCTTAAAGATGCTTCCTGTACCGAAAGAACCATCTAGTTGGCTAGAAAGCATTTCCATGACGTATTTCTTTAGATCACACCATCACAGTATGACGCTGTTTCTGGCGCTCCAGACTCGGATCAGATCATACAAATACCATTATATTGTTAATTACAAGTATAAAGCTTTCGATGGCGCATAAACAGCTGCTGTTTGGCGCGCGAGCAGCTGATAAGCACAGTTATTAAGATTCGCTAAAAGAGAGGCAGAGAAAAGTGAATGGTGTGCGAAGCAGATTAACAGCTGTGATCAAATGAATAGTCTCTACACTATGAGAATTCTTTAATAGAGTTATTCAACAAATATTCACAAGTAATTGACCTTATAGACTATTGATCATAGATAATACTTACACTTTTTCCTAAAAAATTTAAAATGATTAACAAAAATTTGTTTCTTTTATTCGATGCTGTTGTATTGACCATAGCTGTTTGCACATAGATATGCCATGGCAACAAAAGTTACATGACTTTCCGGTTTTACAGGTTTGTTGCAAAGCTTTCGCTCTCTCCTTCTCTCTCTCTCTCTTTCTGTCTACGCTCTCCGACTCGCTCACTCACTCACACTCGGGCACCTGCCTTATTCGATTAGTCCCACCGCTCCAACAGTCAGTCTTCGCAGAGACCCCGAACCGAGCAACAAGTGAACGGAAGAATCCGAACAGTGAAGAATCAGAAAGACCTAAGAAACAGACAAGAACTGTTTAAAAACATTGTGAAAATACACGGGAAGCAGAGTGATTCGCCATAGTTTCGCTAGTGTTTTCAAGGGCATCAATTTATACAGCTGTGCTGCAAATTTTGTGCCAGAGGTAGTGAATCTTATATACCGAAATCCAACGAATTTTATTGAAAATTTCCGTTATACTAGAGATCGGTCGAGAACGTACGCCTGCAGACGTATTCTTGGCAAGAACTTTGGTTAGACTTTGTTCCCGTGTTTGTTTGTTTGTTCGCCGCTTTTTTTTTCATTTCACTCGCATTCCCCGGTTCCCTGGACTTTGATCGTGACTCAACACAAACCAGCAAACAGCCGCAGACCCAGACCCATTAAAATGCATTTTATAACTAAACTCGTCGCGAAATTGAGTCAATCTGCTTAGATTAAATTTTCGAATTGGTGCGGGAACAAAGTTGGCGTGATACCTTTTTGTGCACAGACAAAAATCAAGGTTCAATTTAAGCTGGTTAGATGAGTGATCTAAATGTAATATTCAACTGGATCTTTAATTCAAACTTCTGTTTGAAACCCTTATTGTATGTGCAGTCTTATCTTTCGAGTCACGGAGTTTTTGTTTGTGTGGAAACCCGAGTTCCCTTTGTGTCTTTGTCTGGATAAACACATGTACATGTGTATGTATGTATATCTCCCAAAGTTGGCCCCATTCTGGCTTTCTTTGTTACTAACTGTTGTTACTCTAGTTACCATCGGCTGATTTCCATGTGTTTCATCGAATGTTGTTTTGCTACCCGCTTTTCGCTCCACGTTGGCTCCGCAGATTCGCAGGTGAAAGTGAAGCGGGAAACAACGCGTGACAGATGGCGTGATTGTCGGCTGTGCGAGTGCTAAGCTGCGTGCAGTTGTAGGACTCTCGATAAGGTCCACCCCATTTCCAATACGTACAAAAAAGTGTACAATAGTTGGGGAGTTCGGTGCTGTCTTAACATCAGCAATAGTTTTTGCTCCCACCCACTTTCTACTACCAAAAAAACTTTTTATTTAAACCCACCCCCTTCAAAAATAACAAACATTTCATAGACATTAAAAATTCTCCACACTCAAACGAGATAAGAAAGTTCTTGATAAAAAAAAATTTTTACTACATTTACTATAAATATACAAACAATTTTTATTATTTTATGAATATTAATAAAATAAACGTTGTTGAGTTGATTTCAATCAAAATAATCAAATAATAAATGTTTGTAAGATAAATTCGAAGACGAAACAGTATCTTTTAAATAGTTGCTTCTGAAATCTAAGATTTCGACAAAAATAGAAATCTACATTTTATTGGTTTATTCGGATCACTTAAGGCCTATCTGGCAAATTCTTTTGAATTCCCAGCCAGGGCAAGTTTAATAATCTCTCTAGATTGTGAAGTGCCGATATCGACGACCGTTGGCACGGCTTCCAAACGCCAAAAATCTAGCAGTTATTGCTTGTAGAATTCGCTTAATTATTGTGCAATGTTGGACATTGAACTCTAGGCTAGTTATTAACGAACCTGTTCGTCTGTATTCCAAGCTGTAAAGCCCGCGTTCCACTCAATATCGCGTGATGTCTTTCGGTGGCCATGATTAATTCATACTGGCTGCATGCGAATGTGTTTGTCTTTGGTGGGGATATTTACTCAGTGTTTTATCACTCGCGAACAGTAAAACACGCCACTGGCATCGGTAACCGTCGCTGATAAGCGGCATTCGACTGGGTTTATCGCCCCAATTCATTGGTGACACTCGTAAATAGTTTTATCCCAGATAAGGAGTCGAATGTACCTTTAGCCGTGCCGATGGTCCGTATAATTTTATTTACCCTGCCTTTTCAAGTTTAATCTTTGCCTTGAACTTGTCGTAAATAAACTTAACCGCTCGCAGGGGAAATAAATGAGTTACAATTGATTTTTGCACAATTACTTTCAACATTGGCTAGAACAATGATATAATTCTTTTTGTCATTATTTGTGAAAAATAGTTTGCAAGTCAACAAAAGTGTTTATGATTGGGTAAAACTTAGAATTAGACATTTCCAAAGATACTTAATTGATATATTGAGTTTGTTGCTTTGAACAATACAATTTTTTTTATTTTTTTGGTACGCTATAATTTTTTTACCTTATACAGTTCAATTTTTTTCCTTAGTTAATTGCTATAGCTGCGACACCAAGTGTAGAATATATTATAGATTTCTGCTTTGTTTATAATTTTCATCTTGCGCTTGTATTTTCAACGTCACGTCCGCCGTTTGGCAACATCTCATCGAAAACTTACACATTCAGCCGGAGTGACGTTGGTGTTGCTGCGGGGATGGGGATGTTGCCGGTGGTCAGCAACACATTGCTCCGTGGCTTTGTCTCTTGTCATTACCCACTCACCTTGACTTTGAGCACCCAAAGAGAGAAAGAGAGAAAGACGAAAAGGTTAAAAATAAAATTCAGCTGCATTATTGGGGCTTCCAAGCACAGGATGCCGCCAGCTGATGCAATTCGTCTATTTTCCACAAACTTTTCAGCTGGCCGTTGCCAAGCCAAGAAATAAATGTCGGATAAATGGTATATGGCCTATACAAATTACTCACGACCGTTTCCCCTTTGCCATTTGCAGTTGCCGTATCTCAGAGGCGGGTCCAAAGTATCGTCGAGAACGTTGTAGAACCGATTCCTTCGTCAATAAGCGGCGCATTTGAACGCCTGCCAATAAACATGGCTGCCGTATAACCACACACGGCGAACGCAACCACACAAAGTCGGGGCTTTGCGATTAGACAAGCAGATTTCGGGGAGTCCAAGGAGACAGAGTCCCCAGCAGTAAGGAATCCCATTTTCCTTTTCCCGGAAAACCAACGCAGGCAAACCAAAGATGAACAGCTTGGCGCGCGTCTTCAGCAATTTCCGTGACTTCTACAACGAGATTAATGCGGCCACCCTCACGGGAGCCATCGATGTGATCGTGGTGGAGCAGCCGGATGGCGAGTTCCAGTGCTCACCCTTCCACGTCCGCTTCGGCAAGCTCGGAGTGCTCAGGAGTCGCGAGAAGGTGGTAAGTGGAGTCGCTAGTCTCTAAAAATAGTACCCAGAATTTTCAATAACACCCAGAATTTTCAATAACACCCAGAATTTACAATTTGAATATATAAAGAAATATCAAAGTAGAAAAGTGTGGTGAAATGTTTATTTGAATACCTCTTTTTGTATGTATATTTGTACAAGAAACCAATTTTAAAACTAAGTAGATAACTTTTCTTTTAGTCTTTTTCATAAAACATTATATCTAAGGATGCACCGATCTTGTAAAACAAGAAACTGCGTAGAGTACTTATCATTCTTATATACAAATATGCAATCGAAATGAATAAACACATTATGACATATTATATTTATATACAATCCAATGTCGCTGACACCAACTCATAACGTTGCGATTTAACAAGTAGATATTCATTTGTTCCGAGGTATATAATATATAATACTAAATAATGCAGAAATAAAACAGCAGTTCGGGTAGCAATTCCGGAAGGAAATGGAATTTCTCTTCAAGAGAAATTAAATTTTAATAAGCGTTCGTGGGTAACATCAACCAAGTAACATTTGCTTTTTATTCAGGTGGACATTGAGATCAATGGCGCCCCCGTGGACATACAGATGAAGCTGGGCGACTCCGGCGAGGCCTTCTTCGTGGAGGAGTACCTGGAGGATGAGGACGAGGACCTGCCGGCCAACCTGGCCACCTCGCCCATTCCCAACAGCTTCCTGCAGTCGCGGGACAAGGCCAACGATACCATGGAGGACATCAGTGGAGTGGCGATCGACAAGTAAGTTGCACAACCTTGTTGTTTCAAAAAGCCGTACTCATCCTGTCACTTGCGAAATCATTTAGAAACGCTAGCGAGGATCTGCTCCTGCCATTGCCTATTCCGCGACGCAACTCCATTGACTTCTCCAAGGAGGAGCCCAAGGAAGCCGCCGTCGAGGGCGGCAAGTTCGAGAACCAGGACTCGGACTACACGCAGCGCAGGTACACAATGCCTTTCCGCACTCATTGCAATCGAGTCTAGAGCCTCTATAACGATATCACTATGCCACAAACAGATACACGGACAACACGCTGGAGCGTCGCAATCTGAACCAGAAGCTCAAGGAGTTCACCACCCAGAAGATTCGCCAGGAGTGGGCCGAGCACGTGGAGCTCTTCCAGGGCGAGAAGAAGTCGACGGAGTCGGAAATGGAGAGCCAGAGCAAAACGTCCAACGAGACGGAGACGGAGAAGGAGGCGCAGAAGTTGGAGGATGAGAATGAGAAGGAGAAGGAGAAGGACAAAGAGGAGAAGCAGCCCAAGCGGGATGTCACACTCACTCCGCTGACCACCGGCGAAGCCACCAAGGAGGTGTCCAAGAACAAGACCAAGAAGCGTCGCAAGAAGTCCCAGATGAAGAAGAATGTCCAGCGGAAGACCTCATCGAGCAGTTCGGTCGGCAGTGCCGCCGGTGGGGACTTGCCCTCGGCGGAGACTGCTTCCTTGGGGGTGACCAACATCGATGAGGGTGACGCCCCCGTGTCCAGTGCCACCGCCACCGTCAACAACAACAACAACAACCACTCTTCGTCGAATGACGAGCAGCCGTCGGCTCCCCTGGTCACCGCCCGAACGGGCGAGGATAGCCCACTGAGCGAGGTGCCCCACACGCCGACGAGCAACGCGCGCCTGGACTTGGAGATCCACTTCTTCAGCGACACGGAGATCGCCACTCCAGTGGGCGGCGGAGCAGGTGGATCGGCTCGGGCCGCCGGCGGGCGTCCATCCACGCCCATCCAGAGCGACAGCGAGCTGGAGACGACGATGCGGGACAAGCGCCATGTGCGGGATCCCGAGCCGGCCGCCTCGTGGAAGTGGGGCGAGCTGCCCACGCCGGAGCAGGCCAAAACGGAGGCCATGAGCGCCGCCCAAGTGCAGCAGAGCGAGCACCAGTCGATGCTGAGCAACATGTTCAGCTTCATGAAGCGGGCCAATCGGCTGCGCAAGGAGAAGGGCGTCGGCGAGGTGGGGGACATCTACCTGTCCGATCTGGACGCCGGCAGCATGGATCCCGAAATGGCCGCTCTCTACTTCCCCACGCCCAAGTCCAAGGAGACCTTGCTGCCCGAAGAGGACGGCGAGAGTGGCAACGGCACCAGTCTGCCCCATTCGCCCAGCTCGCTGGAGGAGGGTCAGAAGAGTCTCGACTCGGACTTTGACGAGACCAAACAGCAGCGGGACAACAGGTGGGTTTCCTACGAGATTAAACTTTAGTGCCTCATTTACAACATCGTCATTGGCTTAGGTACTTGGACTTTGTGTCCATGTCGATGTGCGGGATGTCGGAGCAGGGAACCCCGCCGTCGGACGAGGAGTTCGACCGCCACCTGGTCAACTATCCAGACGTAAGTACGCCCCGAACGGCCCAGCGCTTTGTTCTGTGTGTGTGTTCGAGTCCCATGCACTTCACTGCGCCCCCACGCACTGCATCCCGCCTTGTTAACCAGTCTCTTCCCATGCCACGCCCTCATTCGCACCTGCGCACAGGTGTGCAAAAACCCGAGCATTTTCTCATCGCCTAATCTAGTCGTACGGCTGAATGGCAAATACTACACCTGGATGGCTGCATGTCCCATTGTCATGACAATGATCACCTTCCAGAAGCCACTAACCCATGTAAGTTGGCCCCAGAGCCAAGCCTTTTGTGTAGAGCCACGCCCCGTTTGCATTCCCATCTAAATCTATTGTATCCCGAATTCCCTCCCCCGCCATCAGGATGCCATCGAGCAGCTGATGTCGCAGACTGTGGAGGGCAAGATCCTGTCTGCCGATGAGAAGCAGGAGGCTGCCGCCCAGGCTGACAATGCGGGACAGACCAAGCGCTATTGGTGGAGCTGGCGGCGATCACAGTACGCTGCGCCCAACCAAGTGGAACCCGGTCGGGACCTGCCCATGGGCAAGGATGAGAAAGGTAAATTGAGAGGAGAACTAACACGTTCGAAGCCAATCTCTATCTGGTTAATGTCCACTTCAGATGGCGATCAGGCCGCGGTGGGCACGCAAACATCAAGGCCCAATTCCCCGGACATCAGTGATCCCACGCTGAGCAAGAGCGACTCAATGGTGAATGCAGAGAACACCTCGGCGCTGGTGGACAATCTGGAGGAGCTGACCATGGCCTCCAACAAGAGCGACGAGCCCAAGGAGCGCTACAAGAAGTCCCTGCGACTCAGCTCGGCGTCCATCGTAAGTCCTAAAACCCTTTAAGTTACTCCACAGTATAATTATTATTATTAATTATTATCTCAACATTATAATTATTTTTATCGAACCTCTTATTTCTAAACATTAATTGATCGACAAAATATTCATCCTCTGTTTTCTCCAGAAAAAACTAAACCTCAAGGAGGGCATGAACGAGATCGAGTTCAGCGTGACGACCGCGTACCAGGGAACGACGCGCTGCAAGTGCTACTTGTTCCGCTGGAAGCACAACGACAAGGTGGTCATCTCGGACATTGATGGCACCATCACCAAGTCGGACGTGCTGGGCCACATCCTGCCGATGGTGGGCAAGGATTGGGCGCAACTCGGGGTCGCGCAGCTCTTCTCGAAGATCGAGCAGAACGGCTACAAGCTGCTCTACCTGTCAGCCCGTGCCATCGGCCAGAGTAGGGTGACACGCGAGTACCTCCGGTCGATCCGGCAGGGCAACGTGATGCTTCCGGACGGACCCCTCCTGCTAAATCCCACGTCCCTCATCTCCGCCTTCCACCGAGAGGTGATCGAGAAGAAGCCGGAGCAGTTCAAGATCGCCTGTCTGTCCGACATCCGGGATCTCTTCCCCGACAAGGAGCCCTTCTACGCCGGCTACGGCAATCGCATCAATGTAAGTCCTGCAATATCATGAGTACTAGCCCTATAAAACTAATAAATGGGGAGAGTTGAACGAAAAATAAGCATTGTTGGGAGAGAAACAAAATTTAACTACCTGTCAAGATACGAAAATATATTTGCATTGCTCTTTTTTCGCGAGGTTCTAAGTACTAAATTCAATTTCCTTTCTTTTTCCCATATGTCCCTTCAACAAAGGCATATTGGAGATAAGCTGATTTCTTTAATTTGTTTACGAAAACCTTTGCTTACCGATACGAAACTTGTATTATAATGTCATACATTGAAAAACAGTATATCCATTGAAAAAAGGCAAAATAAGGGTCATAAATATTTCTCTCCTTTAACGTGTTGCTAACAAAGTGACCTTAGAACATTTCTTATATTCTTATATTATTAATCCTCTCCAGGACGTGTGGGCCTACCGAGCCGTGGGCATTCCCATCATGCGCATCTTCACGATCAACACGAAGGGCGAGCTGAAGCACGAACTGACCCAAACATTCCAGTCCTCGTAAGTAGAAGCCCCAGTCTAGAGTTACATAGCTGTATCCGCACATGTAAATGGTTCCGGTGTTGCTCATTACTGAACTCATGCCACATCCGATAACGTTGACTAATTCGCAAAACAAACCAAACCAAACCAAACAAACGCTAATTGGCCCAAGTCGAATTAACTTCATTACGTAACGCTAGGTGTTTTCAAGCTGTTTGAGTGTACTCCCTATCTGTGTAGTATTTATCCATTGTACTACCCCAAAACGCACCCCAATCAGTCAATCAATCAATCAATCGATCGATCGAAAAGCCAACTCCAACTCCAATTCAAGCATTTTGGTTGTCAAATTTACACAGTGGCTACATCAATCAGTCGCTAGAAGTCGACGAGTACTTTCCCCTGCTAACCAACCAGGAGGGCTTCGATTACCGGACGGACGTCTTCGACGACGACGAGTCGGAGGTTGAGTTGCAGTTCAGCGACGACTACGACGTGGACGTGGAGCTGGCTACAAGTGAGGAGAGCAGCGGGGATGAGGACGATGACGAGGCCCTCTACAACGATGATTTTGCCAACGATGATGACACGCAGTCCGGCGACGAGCAGGCCGCCGTTGTGGATCTCATAATGAGAGTCCGTCGCGTCTCCACCAAAAACGAGCTCATCCTGGCCCCAGGCCGCAAATTATTCCTATAGAGCTCCAAACCTATTCCCAGCCGAAGGTTGTGCAGCTAGCAAATTGTGATAAGTTTTCTAAAAGAGTTAGGAGTGTCCTATATATAATATCGTACCTATATGTCTGTGCCTGATGTGCCAGGTCCGGAAGCTCCAAGTTCGCCGGCCAGTTAAGTTTCGAAAGTATTCTGCTCGCAGCAGCTTTTTATGTCTAGTTTTAAGGATGACAACTATGTGACAACAAAATATACCTATATATTCGCTGTGATGGTGATCTTTTATTTGCGACCTTTATCGCTGATGTGGCATGAGTTCTGAGCTAGATCCGGTAGTTTGTGTAGTTAGAAAAAGTTAGAGTATTGTAAACGATCTTATCTAAGCCGAAAACTCTTATTTTAGTTACCCTAAGCACAGGCTGTCTATAGTTTGTTTCACTGTACTTAAAAAAAAGTCAGCATATCCCGAGGCGCCTTTCCTGGTTCCTAAAGTACAAGTACTTCCGTTGCATACCCTCGGGCTGCTCGTGACTTCAAAAGATCATAGCCTAGCCATAGGCTTTAGCCACTTTTGCTTAATGTGCTCCAATCAAATCCGATTTGTTGTCTTCCAGATACTGCAGCATGACGTACATTGTTGACCAACTGTTCCCGCCAGTGAAACACGACGAAGCCTCCGCCGAGTTCTCCAACTTCAACTACTGGCGCGACCCAATCCCCGACCTGGAGATCCCCGAGCTGGAAACGGCACTGGTGCCGCCGAGCAGCAAGGTGGACTTGACCACTCTGCGACCCATTCCCGAGAAGTGAACTGGTTCCTTACTATAACCATATTTATACGGATATGCAACATGCAATATAAGCAGATAGCGCTTTTCAATTTGTTTGCTTGGCTTCAAATCCTCTAGATGTGCTTACCAAAAATGAAATGATATCTACGTACATATAACTTCAAATAAGCTTAGCCAGGATTCACGATTGCCTTGGTTTTATAGTTCATTTATCATCTGCCTTTATTACCTTTCGATCGTTTCTATATAGTTAAATGGGGTGGACATAAGTTGTATACTAAATTGAGTTATTATTATTATTATTACAATAGTTAGTTCCTTTGAGACTCCCGCAGGTTCTTAGAAGATGCGTATTCCAAACAGCGTATGGGAGTTGTGATTTTCGATTTCATTATTTTTCGTATGTGATCATTTAAATTTAGTTCATTGTGATGAGGTTTTATTTGGAGTTTTTATGAAAACTGTGCTTAGACCTACCTACCATATGTATACTTAACTGATAGTGTTTCAATAAAAATAAATGCTTCAGATTCAAAGAAAGCCAAAAGAAACCATCTCTGTTTGCGACTGGAGGACAGACAGGTTGTCTGGCTGCAGACATCTGATATTTGGTTTTACTTGGCCTGCCACTCAATTCCCATGGAACCACTCATGTTGCAGTGGAAAATTTTCGATTGTGGGTGCAAAAATCAGCGGGAGCGGGATCGGGCACTGCCATGATAATCAACGGTGGGGTGTGCGTTGGCGTTGGGGATTTTCATTTGTCAACGTAATTTTGCCAATTCAATTAATGCTCATTTAATGCAGAGCAGAGCAGACCGACCGGCCATCCAGCATTGGCGTACAAAGGCCCACGAACAACGAAGTGGGCAGCTTAAGTGACCGCAAATGGTCGGTCATGCAAACTCAGTGGCAGACTCCCAATTACTTTTTCCAGGGGGCTAGCTCTCTAAAATAGGGGTTTCATGGAAAATATTTTGGAGAAGCCAGCAGTTTAATATGTTCATAACATTAGCATGCGAAAATTGCAAAAGAAGTATACTTGATTATAAAATTCTACTTCTACTCCTTTGTTAGTTTTATAAAGGGTTTTACATAATGAATAGTTATTTAATTTTAGAAGTTTAAACTCTAAAATGTATCAGAATGAGAACAGCAGTTCGTTAACTAATTTGTATCCCCGCCCATGTGAACCGCATTTATGTTTGGATTACAGTCTTCGTTCGCAGACCCTCCAGACAAACGATGGAAATTTAAGCAGATTTATCTGTTTATGTTAATAATGCCGTAACTGAAAGCAAAATCAGCTGATAAACTGCTAGAAGATTCTTATCCGAGGCGACCGCTCATAGTTTTTGTGCACCCCTCAAAAGTTCATACAGTAAGACTTCAAAGTGTAAAACAGTTCAAACATTTCTAAAGATTTCATCTGATTTAAATCTGCAAATTAGGAACTAATTCGTAAAAGCGAAAGGGTTTTCTTCTGAGTTTTCAACCCTTTAGAATTTATTTCCTATGGTTTAATGCAGTTCTAGGAATTTAATTTCAATTAAAAAGTTCATTCTGAAACTGGATAGTTAATCTTTACCGCCGTGCTTTGCTCAAACCTTGACTCCAACTAAACTAATCAGACAACTGCCTGATTATTTTTGAAAAGGGATAACTCTTTTATAAATACAATACCTATTAATTGAATAAATAAGTTTAATCCATAACTGGATAATCTCAGCCGAAGCGTCCTTTGCCCAACCTCGATCCCATAAAAAATTTCCATAATGAGATTTAAATAACGGCCGGCGAGTGCAACTCAATTGAGCAGCACTCATTTCTCGCCACACAATTGAGTGCGACATACCGCATTGAGCCGTGCTCGAAGGTATAAAAGCGGGAGCAGCCGAGTCCACAGCCAACAGTTTCCTCCGGGTTACCACAGAGCGAGCAATCAATCCGAGTTTATTCCTCTCAGAAAGCAAAACCAAAACCGTTTCCAGCATGAAGAACGCGATTGCCATTCTGCTGTGCGCCCTGCTGGGTCTGGTGAGTATGAGATGGAGAGGAGCTGATGGCAGCCAGTTAACCGATTGATCCCGTCCAGGCCTCCGCCGCCGAGTACAAGCTCCGCACCGCGGAGGATCTGCAGAACGCGCGCAAGGAGTGCGCCGCCACCAGCAAGGTGACCGAGGCCCTGATCGCCAAGTACAAGACCTTCGACTATCCCGATGACGACATCACCCGCAACTACATCCAGTGCATCTTTGTGAAGTTCGATTTGTTCGACGAGACCAAGGGCTTCAAGGTGGACAACCTGGTGGCGCAACTTGGCCAGGGCAAGGAGGACAAGGCCGCGCTGAAGGCCGACATCGAGAAGTGCGCCGATAAGAACGAGCAGAAGTCGCCGGCCAACGCCTGGGCCTTCCGCGGCTTCAAGTGCTTCCTGGGCAAGAACCTGCCCCTCGTGCAGGCCGCCGTCCAGAAGAACTAGGGAGTGCAGCTCCATCAGCAGCTCACGTCAATTCTAGAGGCGCAAGCGCAAGAACAAACCGCCAGCGAAACGGGCGGCACTTTTGAGTCGAAATCCGCTCAGGCTCTGCAATCCTACAATTGAAATAAAACCATATAATAGTGCTTGAAAGAAGAGTGTTCTTTTTATTTTTCTGCCACAATTGCATTTGCTATTAATTAACAAGATCCACAGCAGCAGCTCGAAGTCGCACATCCTTATTCCCAAAACCTTGTCCCGCCCAAAGGAAAGGCATTGATAGCTTGTTTAATTCGATTATATTTGTCATCATCTTTTTCAGTTCAGTAAAATTCAACTTCTTTTCTTTACTCTATATATTTTTTCAATATATAAATTACGCACTTTCTTTTTATCTATTTTGTTGATTTACTTCTTTCCCAAGAGTCTTGTGTTCTTTTGATTTTTTTTTATTATTTTCTTCCTTCTTTTACTTGATTTTGCCATCTTTTAACTTCTTTTTATTATGGTTTGTGATTTCTTTTGCGTTTCTTTTATATATATGCATTGATATATATTTTTTTGTTTTTCTAAATCAACTTCTGGTTTTTCATATTCTTTTTTTGATTTTTTTTATTGGAAAATTAAAATGTGTGAAAAAGGGGTGTTTGGTGTTGGGTGCTTCAAAAAACATTATAGCCAAGTCAAGATATTCGTTTTCCATGCTGATTTTTTTATTATTATTTTCGAGGTCTCTTCTTTTTTGCCTGTTTTTCTTGCTGTGGATGTTTTTTTATTGAAACGATATTTTTTCTGGCGCTTCCTCTTGTGATTGTTTTCTCTTTTTTGTTTTATTTATCAAAGAAGTTTGGCAATAAAATAATGTTTTTTGAAATAATATTGTAAAAAAATCTGAAATCAAATAGTTATTGGATTAAAGAAGAGTGTCGGTAAATCAAATGAAGGCTTTATTATTCGTCCCAATACGATGCGGATGAAAGACAAGGCATTCACTTAAGGGATATTAAAGATCAGTCGGTCTGGCACTCCACACGTCCAATTGTATTATATATTTAACTATTCATTTTAAATCCTCCATCAATAGTGGTTCAGCTAACAAGAAACATACTACACAACGAAAAGGGAAATTGAAGTGTCTATCGGAATGAATAATTGTGAAATAGTGAGCCTGACACCATTTTAAAGTAAACCTCCGACATGGCTAGATCCTAAACAAAAATATGTGTTCTTTATGGATTTGCAAGCGCATCCATTTTACGCAACGAGTAAAGGGCAATCGGAAAAGTCCAATTTCGATTTGATAAAATTTTTAAGCGGAAGCCTTTACTTCAATTGTTACTCTAATGCTATATATATAAACCCTAAACTAACTCTAATAATAACCACATAAAACTGGCTCAGATAAATCATAAACAATCCCTACAATAAAAACCAGTTAAGATGGTTCAGGTAAATAGCAAGCAGTCTCGTCCGTTTTGGTTTTTAGGAGATGAATTCGAAATTGTACGCTTACCTTACTAAGGTTTTAATAAAACAATAATCAGTATGGAGCGTAGTAATTGGCGCGACCACGGTAACCCCTTCTGAAACGAAATACAGACCGGGATTAGTTGGATCCTTTCGGGATTGGCCAGGGCCCACTTACATTGCGCGTCGGGCGCCACGGAAGGTGGAGTGACAGCACGCCCGGGAAACGCGGGCTCCTCGACCCCGGAAGCTGCCGCGGGCAAATCGGTTTGTAGTTGAGAGGCCAGGGCGGTTTGTGCGCTTCGACATCACCTGCAGCGAAAGAATAAAAGAGTTAGCTTCCTGTACAACAATCAAAAGATAAAACCTGATTGAGCGATAAACTCCTTAGTTAGTGGTTGTAAAACGACAGTAGCATTGCTATACCCACCTTGATTTGACGCCCTCGAAAGAGGGTTTCGTTCATGGCCAGGGCGGTCTCGACGAACTCCTTCGATCCGAACTCGATGTAGGCGAACCCCTTGGGATGGCCGTCGGCCTTGTTGCAGAGAATGGTGACGCGGTTGATCGTGCCGCAGCCGTGGAAGTGGGCTTCCAGTTCCTCTGCAGAGGCGCCGTAGTCCACATTGCCTACGTACACGGACCGCGTGTCAATCTCCTGCTTCTCCTCGAGGGAAAGCGGCACGGTGGCCAAGCCGGTGGTGGACCCTCCGGCCATCTGTTTGTCCACCTCCGTCTGCATCTGCTTGATCTTCTCGGCCTCCTCCTCCATCTCCTTGACGCGCGCCTTGATGGCCTCCAGCTCGGGATCGATTTGCATGCTGCCCTCCTCCTTAAATCAGATTTTGAATTGATTAATAATTTATCGCCCCAAAATCCCAAGCAGACAATGGAGTGGTGATGCGAAGCGACGCTTTGAAAATGGCAGCCATTGCTGCGACTTTCGGCTTTGTATCCCTCTAAAGCTTTGCAAGCTTTTCCAGGGAATTCTGCGGGCTTTCGCAGGGCGGGCCACGAAACTGGTTTTTGCCAGACGTCGCATCTTTGTAAGCCAGACTCTACACTTACCTCGGTCTCTGTGGTTATCTCAGTCTCCTGTTCACCGTTCGTCTCTTCCAACGACTCCAGAAGCTGATCCTCGTTCAGTGTGATATCCTCATCGGCCATGGTTGGTTTTGTTTACGTTTACGTTGGCTACAAAAGCTCGAGTTTTTATGGCGTAAAAGCTCTTGGAGGGTCCGAAAAATGCGGCAATTGTCGAAGTTAGCTACTGTGAATGAAAAAGGGCGGCGAAAGTGTGAGCACAAAGAGAGTTGAAGTGCAAAGAGAGTAAAAAAAGAGAGACGGAATGTAAGAGCTGTGAAAATATTGGCACTCAAAGAAAGTCATCTTAATTCGTGAAAAACCACTAAACCGGGTTAAAAATAAGTTTTCTTCTTATACATGCCGTATTACCTACTATTCTTACATTAAAATTATCTTTAGAGGGTGCTCGGCCTGGTGACGTTGAGTTCGCTCAAAATGGCCGCTGCCCCGTCAAAACACACGTACCTTTAATCGATGTTTTCCGCTCAAAAGTCGCCTGTTCCGCAATCGTTTTTTTTTTCCTTTTTACGCCAGACCTCGTCAACACTTAACTGTAGTGTTTATTATCAACTAATATTTACAATAATACGAAACACACGCAAATTTTGCCACCGAAAACAGATCTGTATTCGCCTCGTTTCTAGAGATGACAATTTGGTACAGTTTTCGCCTCGATATTTTTGTTTGGGGTGGAAAGTGTAATAGGCGAGTTGTGTTTTGTTCAATAAGCTTTTTACACTGTATTGCTTCTTAAAGTCGCAACATGTCAAGTCTTACTGTAAGCGAGAAATATTTATACAAATTGCTGGCAATTAAGATTTATATACAAAGTACTAGTCCAGCATTAGTTGTCAAAAATGTGTGATAATTTTTCAATGTTAATTTATAAAAATTAATTTATTGTAATTAAATTATGGGATGGGATGGTATACACTGCAGAATTTCTCTCTTTGTTGCGGCTTGGTGTGAACGGCTTAGCTTTTTGCGCACATTATTGAAAACACCGGCGTTGACTTAGATCACCGGAAAAACATTAACCGTATTTATGTTATTAATACAAATAATCAACTCATAGCTACGTCCACTTCAAACATCAGCAATCGTCGATGAGTAGCAAGTAGAGCAGAAAATGAACGATTCTTCCGATTCGGAGTACGAGGACACCGAGTACCTGGTTTATGCGGATTTCAAGAACCACGTTCAGCCGCACCAGCTTAAGCACGAGGACGCAGCTATCAAGATTATTGGGATCGAGAGTGACACGCCTATGGCGGAAGTGAATGGCAACATCTACCGGGGACGCTACGAACATTCGGTGGGGACTAACGTGTTCTTTGAGAAAGACAAGGACAATCTGGCCAGCGACCCGCTATTCGAGTCAGTGTGTCGCCAGCGGTACCAGTACGTTGACAAGTCCACAAAGGTGATATCCTTTGAACGAGTCTACGTCGACAATTTGCACCTGGAAGCCGAGAAATCTGTGAAATCAGAGGAAGGCGAGCAGGCTGAGGGCAAATCGGAATCATTAAAGCTGAATATTAGCTACAAAGAGGCCATTTACAAGTTTGGAGAGGAGCACTAAGTGGGTATAAGTTAAATGTTTTTCGCCATTGAAACTATAGACTTATAGAAGAATTCGTTCCAGCATCATGGACAGCAATACAGAGCGAACTTTGAATTTACGAAACTTCCTGGCCGATTATCAAAAAAAACTATCAGGCACTACGGACAACGTTCCTTTCTTTCTACAAACGAACCCCGTGCTTGTGGACGTGGGTGAGAGCTGTTCCCTTGACCTGATCGAGTCCCCAGAGGACAGTTCAATCACCAAATTTCAACCCGGCGCCGACATGTTGCGCCCATCTATTGCAAGACCTCAAAAGGATCAACATGTGCCCTCCACCTTTACGGCCCTGAGCCAGTACAAGGCCAAGTCGCGTAAATGTGCTTTTGAACGGACACAATACAGCCATAAACTTTATCCGCCGCCGACGGATTGTCCCGATCTCCAGTTGGATGAATGCGAACTGGAGCTAACATTGCGACTCTACCGACCACCTCGTGCCTACCATCGAGGTTTCAAGGTGGAGATCCCCGTGTTTGCCGAGGAATTCGTTTGCCTGGGCAGCAATTATCTCACTGAGCTGCGCGACAAAATCAGTTGCATTTGTCGTGGAAAGCGCTTCGTTGACATCAGTAATGATCCGGAAGCTCCATTGCCCACCTTAGAGACAAATCCGGGATACTTCTTTATTAACGACACATTTTATAATGACAAACGCAATCCAAACAATCCCGATTATTCGCAGACTATTTTAAATTGGGCAGGCACTGCAAACGGCGTGAATGGAGAATCCCTTAAAGTGGAAAATATGGAGGGCAAGCGATTTATCGATCTTACTGTGAGCCCGGGCTCGCCGCTGCACTACCTGCACCACGGAAATTGCGAGCACCTCTTTGTGATCTCACAAATAGAGGTACTAACGCCTCGCAGCAAACGACCCGATATAAGTCTATATCCCTATCCTCACGCCTTCAACACATACAATCGTAGGACGTGCTATATGTGCGGCTTACGCAGCTATAGCTTCATTGTAGAGCAGTCCCGGCGACAGCTGCATGATCCTTCTTACCTGTGCCGTGGTTGTTTCTTTAGTTTTTACTACGTAGATGGTCAGAAGGTGGGTCAGTTCAAGGCCTATCGCATATACGACCACGGGATGGTGGAAGACGAGGAGGAGGAGAGAAAGGAAGGCGGAGAGGCGGTCGAAATAAATGATTAGGTCAAAAGTAATCACTATGCCTGTAAGTCATGTACATCGAAGCCCAAATTAAACATATGTTTGAGAGTACACAGGCTTGTCTTCAAAACATATTTCATTGCTCCAAATAAGCTTATCTTTGAACAACATAAGTTTCCGTGCATAAGTAAACATGGTATTTATTTATAGAATGTTAGCCTATAGTTACAACTAAGTGCTAACAAAGTGGATGGAGCTATAGCTACTAGAGTCCTTCAGCTTCATCTGTGGTAAACGTGTTATATTAGACGTAAAACTTGCTTTATTTGCGAGCTCCAATAAGTGTAAGATCGCTTAATAAATTGTTTGATTTTTTATTCTTGTAAAATATTCGTAGATAGATTTAAATAAAATACATACACATTGCAACAAGAGTAATTGGCATTGAACGGATTCGATTGCCGTAAAGCTGCATAAATTCCATGCAATCTAGATTAGCAAAAACTTAGTGTCCAAGTTAGGAATACGAAATGCGAACAACGTAAACAATACAGTGTATCTGACTTACGACTAACGTTAATACAAATATGCAATAGTTCAATTTTTACAAAAATTTAAGGTATTTCGCACTCGTGTGCACAGTATAGACTTGACCAAGACCCATAGAAAACAAACCGATAGACTAATTATGGCCAATAACATAGTAAATTTATCCTAGACAAGATACTAGTACTAGTGGTACTTCCATACAGTAAAAAACTGCGCACTGGGATTTCGGTGTGCAATTGGTAAGAGACTGTGCGCTTAGTTACTGGAGCGCAGAAATGCATCAAAAACATATTGCCAATCCGACCAACAAATATCATTATGAGTAACTGCAGGCTGGGATTCGATTGGCCCGGACTTCTTTGGTGTACGCGCTTGCGTTGACTTCCGTGTTAAAGCTTTGACCAGCGGGTGCTTGGCAGCGGACGCTTAGCTCTGGAAGACCAGCTCCCGCTCCACCGACAAGTACTCCAGCATCTGCGCTGGCACCGGCAGCTGGGCCAGCTGCTCTCGCGACATCTGTCGCTGCAGGACGCGTCGACACAGGTCCTGCAGCTTTGGCATATTGGCGTACCTGCTCAACGGGTACTTGAGGATGACCGGGAACGGCGGCTGCATTTCGTTGGGTACCTTCACGAAGCAGACGAAGTTGTCGTTGGTGCAGCGATGCAGGATATCTTCGATCATCTCCACAATCGACTCGTACTTAAGCTCCTCGAAGTGCCAGAAATCATCGCGAAACTCAAGGCGATAGTGCAGCGTTACATTGACTATTCGGAAGCTCAGTGTGAACTGCGACCCACTGGTCTCGGAGTCGCGGACGAGGAAAGACCCAGTCGGCTTATCGCTTAATTGCCGCTGCGAATCGCGCCTGGAGATCTCGCCCCAGTACCAAACTTGGCTGAAAACAAAGGAAATGAGTCATCGATCGTTGACCGTTGGAGGAGCACAGCGCTTACTTGAGCATCTCCGAACAGGCCTTGTACATGACCTGATTAGGCGAGAGAGGGTCTTCGCGCTCCAGCCACTTCTTCCGGATAAAGCGCAAGTAGTCGTGCGTGAACGGCAGCGTGGGCTCCAGGCAGATAGCTGGCGTGAGAAATTCGTAGGTGGCATCCGTGGTTCCTCCATCGTCGCAATCGCCCATCGAGTGCCAGTTACGCAGGGAACTTAGCCCCTGGCCCACCTTCCTCCGGAGGCGAGCAAACACGTTCCGCTTTTCTTTGTCCCGCCGTCTGCGCAGTGTACCCGTGTCCCCGTTGCTGCAGCTGGCCATGGAGGCCTCTGCCGCCTCAAGGACGCACACTTCGTTGTTGTTGTTCTGGGATCCACTCGTGGACGCGGAGGCGGATGCGGATATGGCGAGCGCTGGGTCGAACTTCTTGCGCCTGGTCAACGAGTGAAACCAGCCCTTCTTCTCCTTCTCCCTGTCCCTCGTGGAGTCACCTCCGCCAGTGCGCTCCTGGCTCCGCTGGTTGTGCTTTTGGTCGCCGTGGCTCATTTTGGAGTGGGATCGGTGTGGCGGGGTTCTTGTGGCGGTATCACATCATACATCTAATTCGGAGTCGTGATTAATGCCAAACTTTATTGATAAGAACTATTTGTACACAAGAAGTAGGTTATCGTTATCGGACGTTCATACCTGGCTGGTATCGATTATCCCAAGGGCTCTGTATTTTTTCTAGAGGTTTTCGTTGATGATTATCCTTTTAGATTGAGCATATTTGGCTCAAATGTGTAATAAAATAATAAAGCAAATTAATTTGGTTAGTAAAACTGTAGAAAAATTGCTAACGATGTTTAAAAACTAGGATTGGATTTTAAAGTTGTTGCATATTATTTACATATATTCTTATTTGATTTTCCTGGTAGAATTTTTAATAACTTTGAACGTAATATTTGATCATTAAAAAATATTTTAAAACATCGATATAATATTATCGTTACTATAATCGTGTTTAATTCCACCTCTAACCAAGTAGGCGCATTTTAAATTCTTGCAACTGATTGTCAATAAAAACAAAAAAAATCATGGCACAGTCTAGCATGAAGGTGGATCTCTCCAATTTCTTCAAGGATGAACGTAGTCAGTCGTTGGTTTTCATCAATTCGACTTGGCAAAACATCAAGGACGTACAAGATCATATCCAAAATCTATTTAGTTTGGTATGTATTACCTTACAGAAAGAACAATATTTTGCTTAAATTGAGACTCTTCTGCAGAAAAACATTAACCTGCTTACCACTGATGGATGTTTTTTGCCTCCAAAGGAATCTATCAAAGTGCTTAATTCAGCCAAAGGACTTAAGTATGTTCATTTCATTAGAGAATAATTAAGGCTAGTTTTATTTCTTACAGAGTTTTCCAATTTGCTGGTCAAGACAGGAACACCTTTGAGAGTCCTGCACCAGTAAAATCCAGCAAGAAGCGTAAGAGTCGTTCCGCCGATGAAGAAGTTCACATATCCGCATCCACTCCTCTCCGGTCTTCGAAGCGCTTTAAAATACAAAATAATCCAAAATGGGTGGACATTACCTCAGACAAATCTCGTGAAAAATCGGAGAACCGTGATGAGGCGGATCCTGGACACTCTTTGAAGTCAAAGCGTTCTAAACAAAAATGCCATGCTGAATCCCACGAAATAATAGCGGATAAGGAAATACCAAAGAAGGAAGGTTTTCTTCGGCCTCCGGCAAGTTCCAAAACCAAGAAGAAGCCGAAGTCAAAGGAAGTTTATGCGGCGAAATTCGATTTATCAGCTGCAGATAAGGATCCTGATCTAGCGATTTCTAACCTTGAGGAGCCAAACCTGTCAACAAACAATAACCACGCCAAGATCGCTTCAACTTCTGAAAGTTTGAAAAACTCAACTTTATCGAAATCGCCTGAGATTTCACTTACAACCTTTGTGGAACAAAAAAATGAAGAAATTTCTATTTCAAGAAAGAACATTTCTGATGCAGCTGAGCGGAAGGAGGAAGCACCCATTCGTCCTTCAATTTTATTTCGTTGCCCTCTCTCGGAACTGGACTCCAACATTGCGCGCACATTCAAATTACCTATTAAAAAAACGCAGGTTGAAATAATTGAAAATATAATTCTAAGGCCCTTAAACGGGAATCTTGCAGCGCAGAAAGAACCTAAAAAAAATGAAGCAAAGCCTTTACCAGTTCAAGAGGAGGTGAAAAACCTAGCAGTTAACGGAAATGAATCATCAAATGAGTTGTTAAAACCCGAGTCCCCTCAAGAAGTGGAAGTGCCAAGAGAGGCGATTCAAGCATCTCCAAAAGGTAAAGAGGATAACACAGAATCTAAAGAAATCACTTTTGCTGAAACAACTGAGAAAATAATTGAAGCTGAAATAACTTATCCAGAGGATCCATTTAGAGCTGATACCACTCTTCCGAAAGATACTACAAAAACTGAAGCCATCCCTCCAGGCGACTCAACTGGGACTGCGACTGAACCTGACGATTCTGCTGAAACTGAACTTATTCTTCCGGACAATACAATTAACACGGCTTTAGGTCTTTCAGCCCATACGACTAAAACCGAAGCAGCTTTGCCAGACGAGGCAGATAGTTCCCTCATAAAAACCGAAGAAGAATCTAAGGATATACAAATCCCACCAGCGCGCATTTGCACTGATAATTTTATTTCAGATTCTGACGATGACGTGATGCTGGTGGATGACACCAACATAGATGATTCGGACTCTGATGTGGAGGCCGTTCCAGGTGCGATATCAGAATAAGAAAATAATCAGTATTAAATATATGAAATTTTTAGACTCCAAGGAAAAAGGAACCTCAGATATTATTGAGGATCTATTGCAGACTGCAACTTCGCTAACCAGCTTGCCAACAAGGGGAGATACGATTTTGTTTAAGCTGCAAAAGATCAAAGGAATTGCTAGTTCAGGCACAACTGAGTTTATCGCCGGCAATTGCACTTATGTAAACCGCCGCACCAAAACGATCACTGTTGAGACCATAAGTAAGCAATCATAAGTTCAAAAAAAAAAAATTAAAAAAATTTTAATTTTAAATTATTTTTAGCCATCCCCCCTGGAATTAAACGCATTTTGAGCCAATATGTGAGCAGCTTAGACGATTCTTCAGAAGAATTGCCTACTTTAAGCATTAATATTAAGGACATGATAGATGCCAAAATCGTGGTAGCCACAATAGACTAATTAAGTGTACATTCATCTGTTCTACCTTCAGGGATTCGTATTTTTTATGGTTTTTAAAATATAAACGATTAAGCAACATTAAGATGTACGAATTCATAGCTGTCTATCCCCTACTTGATGTGTTCCTCAATCTTCTTTAGCAAGTCGTCTGCCTCGTCGCCGGTCTTAACGCGCAGCAACAACGATGTGGCCTTGGCATCCTCCGGCGTGGGTATGCAGAACATCATCACGTTGTTTTTGCCCATGCGCTGGCAGGGTATTCCCTCGCTTAGAATAAGGTTGACCAGGACGTTGCCCAGGTTTGTGTCGGCCCGCACCAGCAGCTGAGTCTTTTCCGAGTCCTTGACCGGCTTCAAGTACAGCGTGCCCACGCCACGGTCTCCAAAATCCTTGCCCTTTTTTATGAACACCTTGCACCGTTTTGAGTATACGGCGTCTTCCTCCACGACCTGATAGGTAATACGAGTTTTGAGAGGTTTCTAAATGCCAGATTCTCTAAGAACTTACCTGTTTGAACTCGACCTTTGGCGGTTTGTCGTCCTCATCCTCTGCTTCCTCACTGGCAGCAGCTGCTGCTGGCGGCTGAATATTTCCCAATGAGAAGGGCGTTGCGCTGGGGGCGAACGAGAAACCCTTTAAGCCATCTCCTCCGTTATCCGGTGCTTTGCCAAAACCACCAAATGTGAAGGTGGTGGGTTTGTCGTCGCTGCTGCTCTTCATTAAAAAAGAAAAGCCATTTGTTTTCGGTGGCGGTGCCAAAGACTCCTCCTTTTTAGTTGTAGTATTCTTTGCTCCGAAGCTGAAGAAGCCCGGCGGGGGGGCATCATCAGCCTTAACTTCTCCGACAGGTTTTGAGGCTAAGGTAAAGATACTAGTGGCAGGAGCTACTGCTTTGGTGGAAGTCGACGACGAAGAACTGGACGCTGCCGTACTGCCGAAGGAGAACATCGGTGTTGTGGTTGTGGTGGTCGTTCCACCACTGGTTATAGTGCAGTTTGGTTTCTTCGCGAATGACGATGTGCTGCCCCCAATCGGTGTGCTGGGCTTTCCAAATGAAAAGGTTGCTGTTGGCTTCGTTGGAGACGATATACTGGACACAACTGCAGCTGGCACTCCAAAGAGGGGCGGTGGTGGAGTTGCTTTTGTGGCGTTTGTTTTAGCGCTTTCCTCGTCCTGCAACTGCTTCAGGTGCTTCTCGTACTTTTTAAACACTGGTGTCAGTATGCAGTAAGCACTCTTGTCCATGTGCTCCTGCAGGAACTTCATAACGGCCCGATTCAGGTCGGCCACGCTCTCCCGGTACTGGGAGGACTCCAATGTAGAACCGGTACTGGCTCCCTTGCCACTATTGGCAACTACCGGCGACTTAGACTCGCCGCTATCTTTCTTGGCCCCTGATATGTTGCCGAAAATGGAGGTGGTGGGCTTAGCGGCATCTGTGGTACTTGTTGATTCCTTGGCCGTGGACGGGGCCGTGCTGCTGCCAAATATGCCAGTAGCGGGCGGCTTATCAGTCGCACTGGAGTTGGCAAGGAAGAACAAGGGCTTTGCTGGCTCAGATGTTGAGGATGAGGCCTTGCTTGTGGTGGCCGCTGAAGCCGGCAGGTTTGCCAGAAATGAGAAAGGCGAGCTGGCCGCCGCGCCTGCAACCGGCTTACCAAAACCTGAAAACAACACATGAGCCAGGAGGACCAGAAAACAACAACAACCACTCACCAGAAAATCCACTAAAGACGCTCTTGGGCTCAGTTGCCGGCTCATTGGGGCCATCCTCGCTTGCTGCAATGCTAGCGGAGGTTCCGCCGGCAACCTTGCGACGCGCCTTCTTGATAACGCGTGTCTTTAATTCCTCCTCGGTGGCTGTGCGGAATGTGCCGCGCTCCTCGGGCTCCTCCTCCTGATCCCAGTTTTCGTGGTTCAGGTTTGAGGTGGCCAATCGTTTGCCAGCCATGTTAGTTAACGTTCTATATAAAATTGAAAACCAAATGACAGTGAAAATGCAGGAAAAAACTAAACCCACACCGCGTTGCTGCTAGTCGATCAATGTTATCGGACATACGGCAAGCGAAGTTATGAGCATGCTATCGAAACATCGATTAGCGAAAGGTGCAGGTATCGATAGGGCAACAACACAAGCAATGTACGCAGCGAGACGCCAGCAGCACAAAATCGCAATAAAACAAAAGTATTAAATCACGCCTAAAGTTAGGTCGACCATGCCCAGTGCCGCGAGTCCCAGTTCGAGTGCAAAGATCCTGCCATGAGGCCCGCGATTTCTGGACCCGCTGTCCAGGCACTGCGCACTTTCCGCAGTCAGTGCAAATGTTAATTGTGCAGTATAGCAGTGGCAGAAAAAAGCAGAAAAACGACAAGCTATAGCCCCAAATCGCGAGAGGATGAGAACGCCAGTACGTGGATATATGGATATAGTACCAGAGAAAGTGCGTAGAGCCACAACAACACAAATCGGTAGTGAACAAAGGCGTAGAGACACGTACAGTGTATAGGCGTTATCCTGGTTTCTCGGCCGGATTCTCTGTCCCGCTCCCTCTCCCACTCGCTCCCTGCCACTCGGCCTTGGGCGCGAGTTGGTGTGCGTGCGCTGCGCGTGTGTGTGTTGTGTGAGTGAGTGATACGCGTATCCTGAGCAAAATGCCGCCATCCCTGATTGCCGTGTCCGAGTTTGTAGAGGAGACGCGCTCCGACTACAGCTCGCCCACCACCTCCACCTTTGCCTCCCGGATGCCCGACTGCCGCCACACGATTGGCGTCCTGGAAGAGGTAAGAGTTGTCCCAGTTGTATTCTTAAGGTTGCCTTGATTTCTTTTGATATCCATATTACATATCTATGTATTAATAAACAAAGCCAAAGATATATGTATGTAATGTTGTTATGTTTGAAATCGGTGAGCAAATCCAGCCATTTCACAGGTGTGTCCAAGGGACTTTCAACTGAACTAAAGTATTGCATTGTTCCAAGGAATTCTTTTGGTTTGCAAAGCAAGTTCGCTGCAATGTAAATTTTATGTTCATACGTGTGTTAATTGATCCAGACCCACCGGATCATAGCACAATAATATTACCATTTTAAAAAAAAATTTCTCTTTCGATTGCTTGATATAAATAACTGTTTTTATTTTGTCGATGTTTAAGTACTTTAATAATGAATAACATTAACTTAACTCAAAATCACAATTCTCTTTAAACTGATCCAACCTTAATGCAACACTTTTGTCCAATCAAATTAACAAAAATTTTAATACAGATAAAAACATTTAATAAAATAAAAATAATTTAATTGTCCTTAGTTATTTCTTGGAATGTTTTTAAAAGGCTTTGGACGGATAAGTGAAATTGTCTTTACAAAATTAGCAATATTTAATTGAAAAAAGTTATTAAGGCACATACATTCAATTAAACGTTTTTTTCTAGAAGTTGTTTTATTTTTCACATATGTATTTAGAATCTTTCGCTTCGAAACAACTCTTATGAATAGGAATGGAAACTCAGGAACTTAATTTTATGTGGTTTTCTTTTATAACAATCTCCAATAAAAGGTACTTAATCGAATTCCATGAAAGTGAAAACCGAAGTATGACAAGGTATATGTATACACATATGTATGTATGGCCATGCAATACTGCAGTAAACGCGGTAGACGACGCCCCCTGCAAAACGACGATGATGATTATTATTTGCACAGGGGGAGGTAGCGAAAAGATTTGTAAATTGGCTCGGCGCCAAAATGAGCCACCGCCTGTTATTTTAATCCGGTCTCTTTCTCTCTCCCGCTCTCTCTCCCTCCCTCTTTTTTTCTCGCCGCAAGGTGGTTTTCCTCGAATCCACAAAAATAGTATTATGAAAATACAAAGTGCATTCCGGGGCATTATCAATGCTTATGGAGCTAGGGGTGCGGGGAACTGGGATCCGTGGTGGGAGTGGTTGCCACATGAGCATGCTGCAATTTCTATATTTATTCACGGCAGCTGTGATGTCGCTTCATGTATATAGAAGTATATAGTACGTACACCCCGTCCGCCCGCTGATAAAGCTAAACACACAAAGAATATTGTGCGCCGGAAAAGGCGTGTGATAAGAAAAGCGAAACTATTCCAGTACGGAATTTTAGTCAGTTGAGGATATCGCCCACAGAAAGCTCTGACTGCCTAAGTGGAAAACTCATTCATTTTGTCATTCGAAAAGACCTCTGAGAAGTCTGATTGTGCAATATACAAATATATGCTCCAATTCCCCCGGCAAATGCAGCGCCCAACGAAACAAAATTAGACGATTTATTGGGCACGTCATTCCCACTTTTCCCGGAACTCTGGTTCGCCTTCTTGGACACCACATCAAACATTTAATATTTAATTTCGCTGATGGATTTTTGGTGTAGCGCAAAGCAGCCCAGTGACCTCCATTCCGCCAGTTATATGAATTTTATTTAGTTTTTTTTAGCCAGTCTCTCCCATTGCGTGTTTATTATATTTGGAGCAGCTGTAAAACTATCTAAAATGAAATTTAATTTGGTTTAGCCAAGAGTTTCTCTGTGTGCCATTCATTTAGCCACTTCTATAACAAAGTGTTGCGGTTTTAGCCTTCTTCTGGGGCTTTGACTTATTATAAATTAGCATCTTTTGTTATCAAAACAGCCAACTGGATGAACAACTCGTCAAGAGAGCGAAACAAGTTGACGAATAATGTTAGCTGGTTTTTGTTTTCGTTCTAGGCGTGTTGTTTGCATTCCCAGTAATTTGCTCAACCTCTGCCTATGACTAATCTTCTCCAACGGCCAGGGGTTCGTTTGTCCCCAGATGTTTGCTCCTATCGCGAAGTATTAAATTTCAATCGCAAATAGTCGGGTTTTCCTGGAGCTGGGTCTTTGCCGAAACGCTTGTAAATTATTTTCAGCACATACAATTTAATCTAATCTTCGGTATTTATTGACCAGTTGCTTGCCTCTAGCTCGTATTTCAATTTCAGCTAAAATAAAAGTGATCTGTGTCGATTTCAGTGTGATTTCCAGAGGAACTCGAATCCGTTTGCCCCTTCTTGGCGGCTAATTCAATTTTCTGAACAACATTTTGAATTGAAAACAATTGGGAAGTCAATGGGTCAATGGGGGAAACGAACTCTTTCCTTTTCCACTTCAAAAATGAACAGTATTAATAATGTTCCGGTATTTTTTTATTATAAAACTCGAGCTGAAACATTTATGCCGGAAAAGAGGGCGTGCGTATCGGTGGGGTGATATGGTCCAAATCTTTTTCACTTGGTCTTTTAATTGGTGCATGCGACTGCATTTCAAATGGGGCTTGTTCGGTTATTAAGTTTAATAATAGAAGTGACCTTGTCGTACATTTTCAATTAGCTAGTGCCATAAAATGTGGGGGAAACATCGAAGGGGTTGGTCGACCTACAGGCGAGCTGAATAGCTAATGCCGATATTGACGCGTATACAATCTGGGAATATTGTTCATTCGCTGCCCAACCAAGGCGTTTCCTCTATTTTGACTTCCCATTTTTGGGTCGGGAATGCATTGTAGCTGCTCCTTTACAACAAAGAAGGTACAGCAAATTATTCAACTTCAAAAATTTTATAATTTATACATATATGAACTAACAATAAAGTGGAAAATATAAAATTTATACATATATGAACTAGCAATAAAGTGGAAAATATAAAGTTTATGACTGGATTATAACAGATATGTATATTATAAATATAGTATAAACACATTATTCTTCAAAAAAATGTTCATATTAATTGTGAGCGTTTCTTGTTTCTTGAAAGCGAAAGTGAATAATTAACTTAATTATTATTTTCTTTTACAGCGATTGGAGTTTGATCGGGAGGGTCTAACTAAACTTAAAAAGGCGGTCAAGGCCATACACAACTCGGGAAACAGTAAGTACAGCCTCTGAGATATTTAAGAGCATATATTAATTACTTGCCAATAATCTGTGGTGGTTATCTTTCAGCCCATGTGGACAATGAAATGTTTATGGTGCGGGCCTTGGAGAGGCTGGGTGGCAAAGTTATCGAGCAGGATGAACCGGACATTGGTGCCGCGTTCCTCAAGTTCAGCGTGGTCACCAAGGAGCTTAGCGCGCTGATGAAGACCCTGGTAGATATCACTTGCTTGTGCCATTTAAAGCTTTATCTATAAACTTACTTGTTTACCCACCAAAAACAGATGCAAAACATCAACAACATTGTCATGTTTCCGGTGGACTCGATGCTAAAGAGCGAACTGCGGGGCGTCAAAGGCGACATGAAGCGGCCCTTCGACAAGGCGGCCAAGGACTACGAGGCCAAGTTCATCAAGATCGAGAAGGAGAAGAAAGCCCAGGCCAAGGAGGCAGGTATGGTGCGCACAGAGATCGATGCCGCCGTGGTGGCGGAAGAAATGGAGAAGGAGCGCCGGCTGTATCAACTGCAGACTTGCGAGTATCTGCTTAAGTACAAGGACATCAAGACCAAGACGGGAATCGAGCTGTTGCAGCACCTTATTGAGTATTATCACGCGCTGAGCAAGTAAGTGGAAAACTTTACTTCCCAAGACTTATCTCTTTATTAACTTTATGTCTGCCATTTATACAGCTACTTTAAAGATGGCCTACAGACGATCGAACACTTTGGCACTTACATCGGCGATCTCAGCGAGAAACTACACGAAATCAAGCAGAAGCAGGACGAGGATCGTCGCAGTTTACTCGACCTGCGAACAGTTTTGCGGAGCACTCCGGACTTCGAGAGAGTGGACAACGTGCCATCGTCCGAAAGTCGAAGCGGGGGAGCTGGTTACTCCCTCCATCAGTTGCAGGGCGACAAGCACCACGGTGTCACCCGACAAGGCCACCTGCTCAAGAAGAGCGAGGGCAAGGTGCGTCGCGTGTGGCAGAAGCGACGCTGCCGTGTCACCAGCGACGGATTTCTCGATATCTTTCATGCCGACGAGTCAAAGCCACCAACGCGCGTCAATCTGCTCACCTGCCAGATTAAACCGGTGCCGGATGACAAGCGCGGCTTTGATCTGATTAGCTGTAAGTACAATCCTGAGATATTTTTCTTATAGATCGTTTGACTTATAATTGATTTTTTATACAAATCTGACATTAAGTTTAATACCATTGGCTAGCTAAGAGTTAGGATCAATATTAGCTGTAGCCTTCCGTTCGTTTATGACTTCTAACATATTTTATTTAATTATGAGATATTCTGAACATACATTTTAAAATGGATTGAGCTTTTTAAAAGAAGGAAATGAATTTTAATAAATTTATTGGTGGTGGAATAGTTATAGTTATAGCCTATTGAACTGGGTGAAAAGAAGGTTGCAGTTTCGTGCTGGGAGAGGGATATGCAGTTGATTATTATGTGTATTAGGCTTATAACGTATAACTCATGACTTATCATTGAACCCCTGAAATAGAACCATAATTAATATTTAAAATATTTTTAGTTTGATCAGTGGTGTATCCATATCGATTAATTTCTTGTCTTAATTAAATTGTCTTTCTTCTTTCAGACAATCGACCGTATCACTTTCAGGCCGAAGACGAAGGCGACCAGAAGGCCTGGATGGCCGTGCTCGTTAATTGTAAGGAAAAAGCATTGACCAAGGCCTTCCAGCACGCCAATCCGCAAATGAGTCCCAGTCTGGTGGAGCTGCAGAAGACTGTGATCCGCTACGTGCAGCTACTGCCTGGAAACGATCGCTGCTGCGACTGTGGGTCGCGGAACGATGTGACCTGGATCAGCCTGAACTTTGGCATTCTGGTCTGCATCCAGTGCTCTGGTGTGCATCGCGATCTGGGCGTGCACCACTCGCGCATTCAGAGCCTCACGCTGGATAACCTAACCACGGCTAACCTGTTGATTGCCCGTGCCATGGGCAATAGCACGCTGAACGACATTATGGAGGCGAAACTGGGCAGGGGAAAACTCCAGCACGAGAGCAGCATGTAGGTCTCATCAAAATTTGGGTAATTTTTTTCTCTTGATTAGTCAAATTCTTCGTTTCTAGGGAGGAACGCTACGACTTTATTCGTGCCAAGTACGTGGCCAAGCGCTATGTGATGCGCACCTGCGCGGATGACAACGACTTGCGCTGCGACTTGGAGCAGGCGGTGGTCAATGCGGACATGAGTCAGTTGCTGCAAGTGTGGGCGGAGGGAGCAGATCTAACATGCTGTCTGCCAAGCTCGGATGCTGGCGAAACGGCACTCCATCTAGCCGTGCTGCGCGAGATGGGATCTACGCTGCACATAGTCGACTTTCTCATCCAAAATATGCCGCCCAAGGGTCTAAACAAAGCCACCAATCCCGCTGGTTTGCTGGACGTGACTGGAAAGAACACGGCCTTGCATCTGTGCGCCCTTCACGATCGCAGGGAGTGCATGAAGCTACTGCTGCGTTCAGGAGCGGATTACGAGCTGAAAAACTCGCAGAATAAGACCGCGCTGGATATTGCCAAAGAGATGGGACACAATAGCTGCAGGGAGCTGGTAAGATCTATTACGAATCTATTTTTCAATCAACTTTAAACTATTTAATAATTTGCAGATTGAATGTGCCATTAAGCGGGAAAAAAGCGCCTTCGACCACATCAACACTGACTGGAATCTGCCAAACGAGGATGGTTCCACGGATTTCAGCGACGATGAGACGGTCATCGATGAGCGCGTAGGTTACCCTTCTAATCAAGTCGCGATGCATGCTGATCCCTGTTTGGTTTGCTTGCAGAAATCCCGTTCGCGTCCCCCCAGTTTCGCTGGAGGGGACTCGCCCGTTCTACGCTCACGTTCCTCCACTTGCGACTCCATACAGTCCAGTTCTAGTCCAATCGCCAACTGTCCGAGCCGCCAGTTCACCCTGCCGTCCGGTCTGCCGAGTTACACACATTCAGCGGGCACTTCGCCCAAGCAGCACATCAGCGTGGGCCAGTATCTGGGCAGTGCCACCAATGTCGGAGGCTGTGGGGCCGGAAACGGTGGATCAAGTCCCAGTTCAGCTTCCAGTCAGAGTGTCCGTGCGGCGAGAAACAGCCTAAACATGCAGAGCGATCTGGGCGGGCATGTGACGGGTGCCCGGAAGTCCACGTCCACGGCCAATATGAACTCGCTGAAGAAGCGTACGGCTCCAGCACCGCCGCCCGGAACTCTGGGCAGTGCTTCGTCCAGCTCCTTCTACGGGACACTTCCTCATCCCCCGCGGCACTCGCAAAACTTCGATGCCAATGACATTCGCGCCATTAATCACAAGAACCAGTCGCTAGACGTGGCGTATGGCACTCTACCGCACCTTCGGAGCGTGGAAAACAGTCCTCGGAGCGGCGGAGGATATGGCTATGGGGTATCCCAGGATCCTGGAGGATCGGGCAACGGGAGCAACAACAGTCTTATGCCTGCCATGACCACCTTTGGTCATAAGCGCTCGCCCAGCGGTGAGTCGCTAAACAGGAATATTCACTTGGCGGGAGCAAAACTGGTACTACCGCCAACCGGTGAGTTGCCCACTCTGAAGCATGTAGACAAATCGGCGTTGACCAGGCCAAAGATTCCTCCACCAGGGCCGCCATCAGGTGAGCAATCTATCTTTCCCCCCTATGATTTGGTATTTAACTTTTGCTTCCCCGCAGAGCGCGAAATTTCAAACGGCCAGTCGAACGAGAGCATTAGTTCAATGGACGAGGGTCCCGTGGCGCCGCCTCGCAAGGTAAGTCTCCCGAATCACCGTGTTATGGGTGATTGAAAGGACGTGTAGCTCAAAACCCCAAACCTTTCTTTGTATTTGATCTGATCCGCACTCGGCAAACAATTTGCAGCGCAAGCAACACATCATCGCACTGAGAAGCCAGTCCAGCGAGGAGACGGTAAATGGCAAGCACCACCGCTCATTTGCATTTTCATTCTTTGACAAGCGAACTATGCAAACTTATTGTTGTCGTTGCTGTTGCAGTTGCTGTTTCTCTACTAAGTGTCTCGTTTTGTGCACCTCTCATAGCTCTAACCACAGGCGCCCATACTGACAAATCTTTTTGTGTTCTTGTTTGCTCTCTCTCTCTCTATGTTCCATGTTGAGTTTAGTTTGCCTAACTATTTATATTTTTTAAATGTTGCAGTTGATTAATCAGTCGGCCAATTTTACCGAATATGAGTCCTGGCACACGGACATGGATAGCTCTGGTGGCGGCTTGGACCATTCCGCTGAGTCAAATGTGTCCTCGAGTGACAACGACCGACTCAATTCATCGCCAGACAATCCACCGAAGAGCGGCGGACCAGGACCAGGCGGAAAGTTCCACTATGTATGCGTTAAATTCTGTAATTTACTAAATCTCGACCTAATCTACATTTCCCTTTTTAACAGAACGGCCAGCGGCGGTGTCGTGCTCTCTACGACTGCGTGGCGGACAACGATGATGAGCTTGAGTTCAAGGAGGGCGAGATCCTGATCGTCCTGAATGAGCGCACCGACGACGAAAACTGGATGGAAGGGATCATCGAGGGGCAGCCGGCGAGGAAAGGCATGTTTCCCGTCAGCTTCGTCCACATGCTGCCGGATTAATAAATCTTTAATTTTTGCTGAGTGTGTGGTCGCGCGTGATTGTATATAGATATATATATATATAGATTTGTGTGTTTGCGTCTTTTTAAACTCTAATGATACGTAAGACAAGTTTTTATTTATTACGAGGGTTTTATCACAAAGCGTGTGACTATTTTTTTGCCTAAGACTATGTAAACGTCTCAAGTGAGCTACCTTTAGCTTAGAAGCCAATTACTCATTTACACTTGTATTTCAATCAGAGCCTTTAAGTAGAGATCTTGCTATGCATTTCCCGAGGGCTTCAGCCCCAAGAATTAGCGCTTTGATAACTGAATATGTCCTGCAAACGCTGTAATTCGCACCGTAACTAAATCTAACTTAATCTTAGCCTAACACGCTGTGCGCAAAAGTTACTCAATGTCAGAGTTGTCCGAAGATGAAATTATGTATTGTATGCTTACCGCTGCCATAATCAGATACTAACGATATCCACTGGAGGACCCACCTGGTCGGAATCTTAGCTTACACTCGTAATCAAGTATTCTAAATCTGTTGTTGATGGTTTGACTAAGAGTTTATAAAACAACGTTGAAAGAAATATCCATTTACCTAAACCAATACCCAAACTAACCCAATCGCGAACGTCATTCTAAATCACCAATGCTATCATTATGAAAGGCAAGAATAATTCTGCGGAAAGGAAAATTTAAACCCTTTGTACCTAGGACGTTACAAAATAAGTACCCAATATAAAAAAGTAATTAATTATTGCAAATTACAAGGTATCTACTAGCGAGACTTGTTTGACACATATGATCATTTCGAAAACCTAAACTGTATATAATCATTTTTTTAAGACACTACACACCGTGTTTCTTTTCACACATTTTGTATACACGTTTCAGTATTTATTTAGCAAAACCTTAAAACATATTGATATTATACTTAAGTCAAATAAAAGGAAGAACATAACGCTTATTACATATACACATATATAAGGTTGTGTTTTTACCAAAAATAATTGAAAATGTTTTGAATTTTTTATGGTACGTAACTTATTAGTTAGTTAGCGACTTATTTTAGGATTAAAAAGTCATATTTCCGCCTCTGACATGGCACTTTCTGGAGGAATCGGTTCAATATCGGGCTTCGTTTTCGGTTTTGGGCATTTCTGAACTATACCGGCATATTCCATGAATACTGTAAACGAGACCTTTTTCAGCATAGAATCTCCGGAGTGATTGGATGCCAATATCTTGGCCAAATTCTTATAATCCCGTTGCATTAGGCAACTCCGAGCTAGTCGTAGTTTTTGAGAAGTAATTGAGCGTTTTACTCCACTGTATAACTCGTAACTAACTGGAGGAGCACACGATGTGTTTTTATTTAGCCAAAAACCATCCACGGAACTAGTTGCAATTTCCAGAGTGCGTTTTAAGGCATTATTGGGGATCCTTCTAGCTGGAAAGTTTTCCGCATTTACTCGCCGGCTTAATATTTTGGGAGGTGATTTTTTTTCATCTGTGGGTTTCATTTCACTTGTGCTTCTAAAAAATGGATACAAGAAATCAAATTATGCGCGTTGTTCGTGTGTATCGTCTAATTGTTGGAAACAAGATAAATATGCAAACAATTTCAAAAGACCGGCTCTAAATACTGCTGCAACCGCTCAAATAAGAAAATATTCAATATTTACCTCAACTTCATTTCTAAGAAAGAATAACAAATGTGAGGCGTTCACAGCAAAAACAATGTTAACCTGCGTGACAGCATCGAGGCTTTACAGTTCTTCCCGGTAACTATCGATTGTCCGCTGCCAATCGATGTTTCGATTCGACCGATATCCACATCCCTACTACAAAGCAATATTTTCCGCATGCGACCAAAAACCAAATAATATAATGCTAACTGTGGAATTGTAACTGCGAAGTTGATACGAATTGGATTGTCCTCCAGACGCTTAAGGATCACCATCTGGCTCCTAGAACGCCGACTGTCGGAAAAGCCTAATCCGCAGCAGGAACTTGCACTATAAGTCTTTTCGCCTTGAGCTCGCAAGTTGCCAATTGTTTGTCGGCTCCAGTGCAAAAGTCGCAGAAAACCAACGGGTACCATTGCTTGTAGTGTTTAAATATAAGCAAGCGGTAAGTAACTAACCAAACATAATCCCTGCATGTGAATACGCAGTCTGCAAAGCATATCACATTCCAACTGGCAGGACAAACCCAGACCGGTGCAACTGAAGCAGGGCAGGATCAGGCGAGTAGGAGCGGAGTGGAGAGCCTGCGGGCAACCGGGGCCCAAAGCTATGAGCGCAGCCAAGAAGCACAAGCCCATGGAAACAACTGAGCTGCACGAGAACACCGAGAACATAGCCGCTTGCTTGAAGAAGGCCGAGAACGTCGCCCCCACCGCCGCTGCCGCCTCTAGCCTAGGTCGTAGTGCTTTCGCTGCCCAAAACATGAACTCCGCGTCAACCAACGGCGAGCGCCTGCCAAACTTCTCCAAGCTAGGTGGAAGCCATGGCGAGATTCGCACGGCCTCAACTACCTCAAACCTCCTCAACCGCATGGGGGCCATTCACAATAGCAAGCCTGGCGATGTCAAGAAGATAGTGATTAAGAACTTAAAGGGTATGTTTCGCCTGGAGTAAATTCTTTCCCCACTTCATGGTGCCATTTTGTTTCCTTAGCTATGCCCACACTGCCCGATAACTATTCCAAGGACACACATGGAAAGCTGGAGGAGGCCGTTCTCGCCATCCAACTCTCGAAGCCAATCAAATATTCGCTGGAAGAGCTCTACCAGGCGGTGGTCAATATGTGCACCCACAAGATGGATGCACAGTTGTACTTGAAGCTTAAGGAGCTAACCGAGCTGCACGTAAAGCGTAATATAAAGCTCAAGGAGCTGACTGGCGGCAGCATGGACAAACTAGTAAGTTGGTGCTAAGAAAGTGACTTTGTGAGATCACCTAACACTTATTATCTCCATGCAGATCCTGCTGGAAAAGATCAACCACTGGTGGCTTTCGTTCTGCCAGCAGATGATCATGATTCGCAGCATATTCCTGTACATGGACCGAACCTATGTTCTGCAAAACTCGTCCATTCACTCGATTTGGGACATGGGGCTGGACCTTTTTCGTATACATTTTGCTCAGAACAGCGTCGTCCAAAAGCGAACCGTCGACGGGTTATTAACGCTGATCGAAAAGGAACGCCAGGGCTCCACCGTGGACCGAGGGCTGCTGAAGAGTTTGGTCCGCATGCTGTGCGACCTTCAAATCTATACCAGCTCTTTTGAGGAAAAGTTCCTCGACGCAACAAACCAATTGTATAAGGCTGAAAGTCAACGTAAGATGCAGGAACTGGAGGTGCCAGAGTACTTACAGCACGTAAACAAGCGTCTGGCCGAAGAGAACGAACGCTTGCGGCATTATCTGGACTCCAGCACAAAGTATGTGACCGCAGTCACTCGCTTACAACAAAATATAAAAATAATTTTTTTTAGACATCCGCTGATATACAATGTGGAAAAGGAGCTACTTGCGGAACACCTAACGGCAATATTGCAGAAGGGTTTGGATTCATTGTTGGAAGACAACAGGCTGAGCGACCTTACGTTGCTGTACGGGCTGCTGAGCCGGGTCAAAAATGGAACTTCTGAACTGTGCGGAAACTTCAACGGCTATATTAAGGTATGCGTTTTCTTGTACTTGGTACTGGATGGGATTATTAATAAAAATGTAATACTTATTGCTTTGCAGAAAAAGGGACGCACCATTGTCATTGATCCAGAAAAGGATAAGAGCATGGTCCAAGATTTGCTGGATTTCAAGGATAAGATGGATGTGATTGTTCGCACCTGTTTTGAACACAATGAGAAGTTCACCAACTCTTTGCGCGAGGCCTTTGAGTTCTTTATCAATCAGCGCGCCAACAAGCCGGCCGAGCTCATCGGTATGCCCAGCAGTTACTAACAATCTTTTACACAGTTAAATAAAACTTAACTTTTCCATTAGCTAAGTATGTAGACATGAAACTACGATCTGGCAACAAGGGAACCACCGATGAGGAGTTGGAGAAGACTTTGGACAAAATCATGGTTCTGTTTCGTTTCATACACGGCAAGGATGTCTTTGAAGCGTTTTACAAAAAGGTTTGTAAATTTTTATTTTATTTGGCATTATTTTAATACCCATCATTTATCTAGGATTTAGCCAAACGACTGCTAGTGGGCAAATCGGCATCGGTGGACTCCGAAAAGAGTATGCTGTCCAAGTTAAAACAAGAGTGCGGCGGGGGATTCACGTCGAAGCTGGAGGGCATGTTCAAGGACATGGAATTGAGCCGGGATATCAACATTGCGTTCCGTGGACACGCGCTTAGCAACAATCGCGATGTTCATAACTTAGACTTATGTGTCAGTATTCTGACCATGGGATATTGGCCTACTTATGCGCCCACGGAAGTCACAATGCCGCCACAGTTTATTAATCCGCAGCAGATTTTTAATAAGTTCTATCTTGAAAAGCACAGCGGTCGTAAGTTGCAATGGCAACCTACACTGGGGAACTGCATGCTGCGTGCTCAGTTTGATGCGGTAACTTAATAAGATACAAAACTGTACACCCTGTTTTTTTACACTTGCTTTACTTTTCTAGGGCCCAAAAGAGTTATTGGTATCGCTGTTTCAAGCTCTTGTTCTGCTACTGTTTAACGATAAGGCGGCTCTAAGCTACGAGGAGATTTTGGCTGCCACTCTTATTGAGGACGGAGAATTGCGTCGAACACTACAATCTCTCGCTTGTGGTCGGGCCCGCGTCATAACGAAAACACCGAAAGGTCGCGAAATTTTGGACGGCGATCAGTTTGACTTTAACAATGAGTTTACAAACAAATTGTTCAGAATCAAAATCAACCAAATACAGATGAAGGAGACGGTGTGTACATTGAATACAAATTCTTGTTCCCAAAGACTAAAATATCATTTTATCTTCAGAATGAGGAGCAAAAGGCGACGGAGGAGCGCGTTTTCCAGGATCGTCAGTATCAAATTGATGCGGCTATTGTGCGCATCATGAAAATGCGAAAAACATTAAGTCACAATCTGCTCATCACTGAGCTGTTCAATCAGCTCACCTTCCCCGTCAAGGTAAACCAATTAGTCATTTCTGTTATAAGTATGCTTTTAACACCCTTTTTTAATTCTAGCCTGCTGACTTAAAGAAACGCATCGAATCGCTCATTGATCGCGACTACATGGAACGGGACAAGGATAATCAAAACCAATACAACTATGTGGCATAAATAGCCATTGCTTCTGTGAACTCCGATTCGATTGTAACTCGTTCTATATACCATACGCATACATACTAACAGTCCAATTAAATTTTTGGAATGTCTCTGGTCTGGTCAGCCAAGTTCAGAAAGTTGCAGCTATAATTTTGTTTCTACTAAAAAGTTGAACGAACCTCAAGCTGATGGTAGAATAGTTGCTACAGTTCTTTTTGTAAGTTACCTTATCAACCAATAAATTAAGCGTTTAATTTACAAGCAGTGTCCTTTGGAAGAGGTCATCGCCATTGAAAAATAGCCTCAGCAATATTAAAATGTCCTCGAACCGGAAAAAGAACCAAGCGTTCAATAAACTTATTTATTGGACTAATTGTATTTGGTTTATTTTAATTGATAATTCTTCTTCAATTAACAATAAAAGTGACACTTGCAGGCTAAATTTCTAAAGAAAATATTTAAATAATTGTAACTCGTACTCGTAACTCTGTATGCAAAACGGATACGCATAACTTAATAGTTTTTTATTTACCATAAATAAAAAAATTACGTGAAAATATAATAATGCACTGTGTTTCATTTGCTTAAAACTACCAGCATTGATGCCGTGAAAATATACGGTCGAGCCATTTGTTATACATTCAGCAAGGGAATATAATATGTACAGTTGTTACAGATAAAATTGGTAAATTACGCAGATTATATACAAATCAGAAATAAATATAGCAGGCGCGTTAGCGTGCAGGGGTCATATCAAAAAACGACATTGAGGCTGGTTTAGGTATCACAAATTCTCTTTTGCTGTTATCCTCCTGTCTTTCCGTTCGTATGCAAATCAAAGCCCTTAACTTGCAAAGTTCTCAGTGGCTTTTAAAGATATTTTACAAAAATAAATGTGTCTTTCGACATTAATACCATTTACGCCTCCACACTGTTGACGCTGTATTGCGAGCTGTCGTAATCGGATACACTGTCTGAGCCGTAGCCCCCAAAACCAGCCGCCGAGGGCCGAACGCTGCTGGTCCTTATCCCATTATCTTTGAGAACATCGGGCACATAGATGGGCGCCGGACCCGCAATCTCCACAATGCTGGGACGTCGCGTCGCTGCGCAGCGTTTGATCGGCGACATGAAGGTGAAGAGAGTCAGGGTGATGGCCAGACTGATGATAAGCAGCAGAAATCGAGCCATGCCGTCTTCGCCTCGGAAGTAAGATAGCATGGCCATGACCAGCACCAGGATAATGACAGAGAACTTGGTCATCGTCACAGCCGTCGAGTGTATCTTTCCACCCTTGCGTGAGATCATATTTGATGGTCCGTAGGCAAAGTAAAGGTTGTGACGGTCCACAAAGTGTTTCAGGCATATGTAGATCATGGCAAAAGGCATGATCAGCGGGCAGGCCACGCTATACACAATGGCTATGGTGAATACAAGCGTCGTCCAGGCGTAGTGCGTACCGAAGGGAAACTCAATCAAGATGGCTTTTCGGATGTAAGGGGTCTCGGCTTTTGATTTAGCCTTCAGCAAAGACCAGATGTAGACGATCAATTCCGGGAAGCGCAACAGTTCCAAGGCAGTACCAATAAAGGCAGCCGTTATGATGTAGTTCACGTAGAAAGAGCCACGGTCCGGCAGGAAGATGCATTGCCAGCGATCGGTCTCATTGGTGAACCCCCACTCTAGCATCGCCTGCGCCGACGTCAATCCTAGCGACGGCAGAATCATGATCATCATAAGCAGATAGCCGAAGCACTTCGTCATAATGGAATAGTTCTGCTTGGAGCGTGTGTAGTGTCGCATCCACTTATCCGAAATAGCTACAATTACTGGCATCAGTGCCGACAGGGTCCAGAGCATCAATGTCGGCAGGAAGTCAGACACCAGTGGCGAGATCTTGCCCTCTGTTTCTTTTATCCATGACCGGTTGTTAAGCAGGTTCACCACCATAGCCGGCGTAGAAAGGAAGAAGAGAACCAGAAAGAGCACCGCGTTTACGCAGAAAAACTTCAAGTACCAGTGGTTTTTGTTCACGTTCAAATTCTCCCAGAAGAGGTCATCTGGTGAGGGAGCGAACGCCAAGTGCCATTGGCGGTAGGTGCCCGGAGTAAAGTGGGTGACAATGTTCTGCGCTTCCTGCACAGTGGATACCGTAATGAACGCAATGTCTAATGGCTCATTCATCGTGGAAGCACGCAGGCGAGCTACATCTCCTGATAACTTTCTCTCCTCCCGCTGGTAGTACTCGTAGGCATTTTCTTTTTTGCATGAGCACATGTCCGGTTTGGCCTGTGGTTAAGACAATTGTTTATTGTTGATTGCATTACTCTTTTAAGAAGATGAACTTACCATGAGAGTATCCCTGTTCCGGTGCTGTTCGCAGTAAACACGAGCATCGTGAACTCGCTCGAACTCAGCGTTTCTTACGTAGAGGCGTGAAATGTTGTACGCTATTGACACATTCTCGATTGTGACGTCCGGGAAAAGCTCCTGCATGTAGTTCCGCACCACCGTTTTGTTTCGATCGCTGGACGAGATGTTCGATATCATAATGGTGCGTGTTGCGGCTTTCTTAAAGGCGTTCCGTCCTGAGGCCCGCCGCATGATGAGAACCACGAGCGGAATGTAGAGAATTGTGATGATCGTGTGCACCCACAGCCAAGGTGAATCTGGCGAAAGGTTGGCCATTGTGGTGCGACCAAAGGCATTCACTTCGTACGGGTTTTCCTTGGGACCGTTCAGGAAATTAACTGGCAAAATGATGACCAGGGATACAATCGTCACCAGTGCCATGACAGCCATCAAGTGCTGCTGGAAAGACAGGTAGTGCACGGCGTCCGGGCCAGTGTGCAGAAGGATTGTTTCCTTGCGTAGCTTCAGCGTGACCTTGATCCACCCGAACAGACCTTCCTCCGGCTGAATAGGAGACAGGGGCGTGGAGTCAGCTATTCCCTGCGATGTGGCACTTGGCCTCGGTGACACCTGCGTCGAGGTGCTCGCCTGTGGTTCAATTACACTGGTGGCCCGCGAATAGAAAATCTCCGTCCAGCGCTTTTTACTGCCATTGCTGTTCACCAGCGCCAGACGACCAAAGTCCCCAGCCTGATGTCGCAGAGTCGTAAAGAGTAGAACGAGGAGAACCCAGAATATCGTGTTCAATATTAGAGTTTCAGGGATGCCATTATAGGCGGTGGTGAAGAACGAGGTGCGATTGCCCACCGCCTGGCAGTAGGAAATGTTACTGTTTTCCGACATGGTCTGCCGCTGATTCACTAAAACACAAAGAAATCAGAAGCCATTATTTGTTTTTGTTTGATGATACTGATAATATTTCGATAAGGCCCAGCTGATCGAATTTTATGCGAGCAATTACTTGTTTGTGCAGTGATAGCACCATGGGAAACCCTAGACCTCGAGCCAATGAATACGCAGACTCGACTGATCGGTTTCTTCCATGCCCCCTAGACAATTTTATCTTTTTGGGTCACCCGGTCAAACTAAACAAAGTCCATAGACCGCAGATGCTGGTCTACAGAAAGAAGAGCAATGTGGTCACAGATTAGCCTATTTAAAACTAACCACTTCGTAAATAACACACTCTACACTTTATCTGCATGAGCGAAGCCAAAGCACAAGGCAAAGACGCTTAGCTCTCAGCTGAATTTTAAAAATGAGATAATAGGCGAACAACCAAACATGTTTTTTGTGGACATGAGCTAACCTGGAACGGGGTGGTTGTTTGGGGGGAAGAAGCACTACGTCATGTTGGTCCACTACCCTTTCTTTTAGCTTTTGTTTTCTAAATGAATCATCAACAGCTTATTTTCGCCTTGGTCTGTTGCGTGGCAAATGTGCAAAAAGCCATTAAGAAAAACTATTCGGTACATACTTATTTATTTAATTATTTTCCACAAATTAACTAGCTGAGTGTGTTTGTGTGTTTTAGATTGTTATCCACTTTCTTTTCACAGTAGTTACAAAACATTTTGCTGCTTACCTTGTCTTAAATTTATCACTTGCAGTAAATAATATTGTGTCACTCCACATTAAACATTAGCCTCGACTCTTTTCAACTGCACATCAATAAAATCAGCTTTGTGTTGTAAAAATTATAATGAATTGCCTTTCGCTTCTTCACTGCATTTTGCTGGCAGCTGTCGATATGTCACTGTTAAGTATCGATAGTTTTTGTGCGTGTGGGGTAGTTACTTACGGTAGTTTTTTCGAGAAAGTTTTAAAAGTTTTGAAAACTGGTTACTTAAACGTGCTTAATAAATATAGTTTATATTTTTTAAATGTAATCTTTTTGTTTAAAAATTTTTTTTTACAATATATCGAATTCAAAAAATCTCACCACTGGTCGCGGTCAGTAAGCCTTTCTAAGTAGGGATCGGCTCCGTGGCAACCCTGTTGTATTAAAAACCTGGTGCCGTAGAGGATTTAAGCATTTAATTTCTTTTTTAATAGAAATTATGCTGTTTGCTATCAGTTTTTGGCACAGTTGACAGTTCGTTTTACTTCATATCTTTTGGTTCGTCAAGCTTACCTTAAAAAACACTTTGTAGTTCTTTACATATTTGTTTTTCGCAGTCAAACACAATTTTGTTACGTTACCAAACCTAAGCGATGCACCCCACACCAAAAATGGACTTGAAGTTCAAGATCGAGCTGCTGTCCGGCAAGAATGTTGTTATGGTGAACTGTCCTGGCTACGAGTGTGAGCTTTTTATGCCGCAGATTGTCAACGAACGGATCACCTTCCAAAACATAATCCCTAACCGAAGGTGCTGTCCGGAGAGCAGAATGCTGACGGATCCTTTTGAGGGGGAAGTAGGCGTCAGGACCAAAACTATGAGGAACATTCCCCTGCGTGCCTCCCCTGCAGTCAATCTCTCGACGCCTCTAGCCAAGAGCACCCCATCTAGCACGTCCTCTCTGCGAGTTCAAGCTGGCAAGGAAAACTTATCTCCGCAACTGACGCCGGAAGGAGTCCGCTGCCGTCCCTTTCGTCTGACCTCTGTAGAGGAGGTGGAGATGGATGTGGATCCCTTAAACGAGTTTCTCTTACAAGGACAGCCGTCAACTTTTTTGGGCCAACCTACTCTTAGAACCCAGCTTCCAAGTTACCAAAGTGAAAACATTTCCGAGGCAAGCATAACTTCGCCAATGCTTTACAGCTGCAGCCTTGCCAAAGTTCAACCAAGCGAACCCGTGCTCACCGAAACAACGGCAAAACCGCCGTCCGTAAGGACCTACATACGTAAAAAGGCTGGTACTCCCAGCAAATCAAAGCCGACTGCAGCCTGGTCACCTCTTCAAAAGAGAAAAAAGAGCTCTGCGGTTTCATCTACCAAGGCTCCAAGTCCCACGCTGAAGCTGGAAGTGCGCAACCGCAAACTGATCGTAGACTCCAAGAAGACGTTGGCCGCCTATGATCCCAATAAAATTGCCTCTGTGCCCATAACAAGAAAAAAGATCATTCGAAAACAGGTGACCGGAAAGACTCGGAAGCAGTTCGAGGCTCTGAAAGTCACAGCTTTCGACTTGTTGACAAATCCTTCTGTAGGCCACATGTCACAGGATCTGAGCAAACAATTTCAGCATTCCTGCGTAAACAAAGTATCCACTACGCTGCCAAATTACGCGGAGATCGCCGTCACCTCTCCTTTAAAATGCGATCGGCAGGTCAAATCGTTGATGGCCAGGCAGAGGCGAATGGACCGGGTGAATCAGAGGCCAAAGTGTACGAAATCACTGAGCAACAAGTGGATCTAAAGTGTCCCGGTGACATATTCTTCATGAACAATCTGGATGTAATTGTTCTGGCTTCAGCCAGTAGTCCAAATGTATTCGTATTAAACGTAGATGACTTAAAGGGCGATTTTCGATATCGTTTGTGTTTACTAGTTTATAAATTTACCGAAAAGGAACACATTCTGCCTAGTTATATGTACACTTCTATCTTAATTAAGCCTAGGGAAGTCTACATTATCAGTGAATAATTATATGATTTTGTACGACGAAACATATTTGTAAGTGGGAAGCTAGGTAGTCTTCTAAGAACTGCGGCATCGAAAGCAGGCCTTAAATCCTCGCTTAATAGCCCGAATATTGTGGACGACCTGCTCCTGTTTAATACGAAAAATTATTAGAAAAAAGGTATTAGCAACCAGATCTCAATAATACCTGCATTAGATTAAAGCACATGGCAATTACAGCCATACCAAGTAGTAGGTATATGGCGCATAGGATAAAACTGACCTCGACCTTATCTTTATCGGCAGTTATCTGAAAAGTAGTCAAGATGCATGGTAAAGTTATTATAGTATATATATATTCAATTTTAAATTCACTACCAATAGTATCCTATTGGAAATAAAATGAAAAAGATACAAAATAACTATATTTTTGGAAAGCTTACAACACGATCGCCTGGCACCAGATCTCCAAATCCAATGCTGCTGAGGGATATGAGGCAGAAGTAGCTGCCGTCCAAATAGTTCCAATCCTCCCAACGCCCGAAAAGCAGGGCTCCCCAGAGTATATATCTGTAGTTACATTGCACCTTCAGAACTAATATCACTTACTTTTACATGTAGTTCATCTTACCCAACCATAACGAATATGCAGACAGTGACTGGCACAGTAATCTCATCCGTACTGCCTCGTATTTCCCGCTCAATATCCGAGTCGGATTCGCTGAACGGTATATCCACCAGGCTCGAACTCTGCCGGGAACTCCTGGTGTAGTCACTGCTGCTGCTGTTGGAGGTGGTGGTGCTACTGCTGCTGGAGTAACTGCTGCTTCCCCGGGCGTTCTCCATGTCGTTCATTTGCATCTGCAGGTACGATGTCATTGGCTATACTAATTAAATTACACATTTTCCACATACCGCTCTGGCCAACTGCCGCATTTTTCGTCTCTCGCGGATTATCCGACGCTTTGCAACGCCGGGACAAATTCGGCACAGGCAGACCTTGGAGTATATCCACTTGAACGACTTGGCCAGAACATCACCAATGTTCGACAGATAGAGAAGGAATAGCGGCATGCCGATAATCGCATACAGAATGGTCACCAACTTTCCCCATTCAGACTGGGGCGTTATATTCCCGTATCCGATCGTCGTAATCACGGTCAACGAATAGAGAAAGGCGCCGGAGAAGCTCCACTGCTCCACGTAGGGTCCCTTCAGCTGCTTCTTTACTATGGCCCTCTGGTAGTCCAGCAGCACATCGTTAACCCTGCAACAGTTTTAGAGAGCCAATTGTATAGTTAAGTTTTTCTTTAAGAAAGGGTTCGATTTAATGTCTGAAGTGTTTAATAGCCCAACAGCTCTAACTGTTGAGCAATTTCCGTGCATTTAAGAGAGATTGGTCCATTGATGACTAGGACTAAAATTGTATTCCAAAATATTGTTTTTTTACATGTGTTATTCTTAAATTTGATATATTTAATAACAGGTAATCATAGGTGATTAATTTTACTTCCTTGCATTGGGTATTTAATTTGCAACACAGAAAAGGCGACACCTTATGGGATCGGAGGTACATATAGTTTTGATCAGCATGACCTCTCTCTTAGTTTTAAAACTATCTTGCTGAACCCCATCAGAAACCTTGTATCTCGAAAATTACTACACAGTTTTCTGCTGAACCTAATCAATTTTTAAACTTAAGCTCTAACTTCTCATTAGGTTGTGGCTGATTTCAAATCATGTGTTGTGGTATCATATAATTATTATATAAATAAGAACCCTTGATTACTTACCGCCTCCTGTATGCCTGGTGATCGAAGAAGCTAATGTTCTCCGCCGTGAGCTCCCAAATCCGCGTGAGGCATTCGGCACTAAAGTTTTTAGCAATAAACCGTTTCGGCTCTTCCGATTTCAGCCGCTCATACTCGAAGATCTCGATGCCCTGGAATATGAACGCTCCACCGATTATGTAGAATGTGACCAGCAGGATAATGCCCACGTTGCTGAACATGAAGGCCGTGAAGTGGCGGCAGTGGTCCTTGAAGCGCTCGAAGGCCGGCTTCTCCTTCCGGCGGAAGGAGCTCCGTCGCGAGGACATGTCTCAGCGGCTCGCTTCCGTGTTGGTTTCAGTTCCGGTTCCGGTTTCGATTGGCCTTCCACTGGCGTTCGCCTGGACATACTCGGGTCTGGTCAGACACTCGCATCGATGATAACGACTGGGAGGACTTCCGGCAACCTAAAGCTATAAATATTCACGATTAGTTTACCAAATCCCAAGTGCAGAGTGCTATATAAACAAAGCACCCGCTAGAAGTGCTACACTATCAAAGTGTTTGGCGGCATAAATCTCCCCGGGAAATAAGTATGCGGTTCTCTGATTTGTGTGGGCGGTTTATTTTCATGGCTCGGGATTATCGCGAAACATACGATCTTCTTTATTGTAATAAATTTGCGGTTCCAAAAAAATAGACAAAAACTAAATATTGGTATTCAGGTGTTAGGAAATATATAAGAGGATATTTACTACAAAACTTTATAGCGGCAGTTATAGCATTCTTAAAAATAAAAACCTTTATACCTTAGCACGCACATTAAATTGACGTACTGACAAATTATTGTGTGATTTGTGGCGAAAATACTTATTTCTGCATTTTTATTTTTAGTTTTTACCAGACGGTTAAAAAATTATAAAACTGCATGTAACTCATTCTCTGTGACAGTTTGGCGGACATTTTTGAGAGTGGTGAAATATTTTGCTCAGCAGCATGAATGGGTTTTTATTTTTAATACGGTTTTTTCGATGTTGTCTAATAAATGGCCAACATGAACATGAATTATTGGACTACAATCTTGGCAGCTGGCCTATGGAACAGTCACATCATCTAGCCTCCTCCCCACGGATCGTTTGTGTGTGGCATTTCAATTTTCTCGCGTGGCCGGAGGATGACACTCGTCTAGATTCGAGAATTGATGGCGTAGCCGTGGCGTCAAATTGGAAAGTTCCTAACGATCCTATGCGTCGTCTGCGGTTGCCAAACGCTGCTTGTTTTTGTTTGGTTTTCAATCTTTTTTTAGGGTTTTATTTAGTGGGTGTGAAATACGAGTTCATTGGGGATTATTTTTATAAACTTCTGTTTTGGTCTTGGGCCGACAGTCATTTGCTTGAATTGTGTGCCGTATTTTGCAGATCCACGGATCTACATGCTCGTAGATAGCCTTGGAATCAGCCCACCTTACGCATTCGGATAGCATATCTGTGGAAATCGGGCAGGTATGTACGCCAGTGTATATTTTTATTGATTTGCTCAATCTCGCGCGCACTCTGCCAGCGGGCATAAATTAAAATCAATTTGCAATTGATGTCTGCCTTATTTACAGGCCATCACATATATACATAATTAAAGAATCCAAACACAAAACAAACACAAACTAAAAACTGAGGCCCGCCGCAGGCCGAGAAAATGTGTTTCCAATGAAAATACACAAACCGCGGAAGAAAAACACATTAGTGGATGCTTTTCGCAGGTTGGCTCGAGGGTCTGACATAAAAAACATGGGTCTGTTTATGTTTTTAATGCAATTAAGCCAAACGTTGAGTGGCCAAAAAGACTGACACTGATATTAAATTCTGGCCAAGACCGAGTGCAATTTGTGGGAGGCAATTAAAATGCACTTCGGGCGAGTTTGTCGGAATATTTTTGGCCAGCCAGCGGTAATAGAGTCATTTTCCATTTGGACGTACACCCATTAGCTCGAAATGTCTGTTTCTCAAATCATAAAATTTTTAATTATAATCGTGCTGAAATTTTCTGAGACGTTTTAACCCGAATCCGAAAGATTACCGAAAAGATCAAAGCATTAGGCGGAGGAAATGGAAAGCTAATGTACTCGTTTTGTATTCAGAAAGAAGGTCTTTGGGCCAGCGTTTATTATTGAACAATTTCATTAAGGCGCTATAAAGTGGAGCATTCTCCTTGCTTCTTGGAAGTGCCTTTTTCCAGTCTTCCAATTGGCCAATTGAGTTGCCGTTTAGTTAGCAACTAAATTGCGTCATGTCTCTCTGCTTTTGTTTATACGCGAGATGACGGCAATAATTGGAAACACACTTCTCAGATATGTTTACTCGGGCATTACCTCATGCAGGTGCCCTGAATTTTTGTCTTAACTACTGCCAAGTCGTCGGGCAATCAGCTGGTGTCAGTTGTCAATCATTGCTCATCACAAGGCTTAGTATATATACTAAGAAGCACTGTACTAAGAAGGTCCTTCAGCCAGCACACTTGCACAATTAAATCTCAACATTTAATTTGCCACGCCAAGAGGAAAATGGAAAGCAAGCGATGCTTAAATGTGACAGACAGCGCCAGAATGTTAAGTGTCAGCGGCTACACGAGAAGAGATTTCAAAATTTAATTACAGTGAAAATTCGGTGACAACGGCGGGGTGGGGAAAGCGCTGCCCGGCATGGAAAATAAGAAATTACGGCGACGACATCATCAGCACACATTGATGGCCGGCAGCCCAATTGACATGACAGATCGGCACAAAATCGAGAACGTGTGTGAACCAAAAACTAATTTTCGAGCATTGACCGCAGAACGGGAGAATTGGTTGCGTATTAAGTTGCTGCTTTTGCCTCATTCACAATTAGGAAAAATAAGGAAAAATAGGGAAAAATGTGAAAAGAAAACACATAAATGCTTTAAACATTAAATAAATAGAAACCATTTCATAATTGAGTTTTCGTGTACTCAGAAATTACAAATTCTAAGTTTCTTTTTGAAAAACATAGTTTATATAAAAAAAAGACTACGTATTAATTTACAATTCATTAGCTTAAAATAGTACTTAAAGTTTTTATCGCTTACAAATTGGTTATCGTTATGTATGTAGAAAACAAACATTTATAAATGATTCACTCAAAAGTGATTTTGAGTAGAAAGTTGATTGATGATAGAGAAGCACTTGAAAAAGATTTCAGTTTTAAGAACATCTGCTTACTTTTGTTTTGATACATTTTAATAAGAAATCATAAATTAATAGTTCCATCAGTTTTGTTGTTGGGATAAATGCCTTATTATTAAACAAATTCATCAAAACGAATGTTGGAATGTTTCTATAAAAATAACCTTTTTAAAAACAAAATTAACTTTATTGTAACCAATCGCAGTAGTAAAAACTATTTAAGATTATTTTTAGGGATCGCAAACCTGTTTACTATGTCAGTTTAATGCGAATGCTGATGATGGGGTGCTACTGATGATATGATGCTCCTTGCCAGATGCTCACCCGTGACGTCATGAGCGGGCAGGGTGCGAGCGGCGGATCGGCTGGCTTTAGTTGGTGCTCCGGCCGCTCCGTTTATTTTAGCAGCTGATGTATTTCCGAACTGTGCATGTGGAATATTATTTATGTTTGCGCGCTCTGTATATTGTTTTATCAGTGTTATTCAACGCACGCCACGAAATTCCTCCGACAGGCTATTTTACAGATTTTCCCGAGAGATTCGCCATTGCGATCCGGTTGACCTGCACAAAATAACTTCTTTCCTGGCTCGTTTCGCGTGCCTTGTTTATTTTTAACCGCACCACACTTGACTTCACTTAGCCATCTCCGTCCGCTTTCCAATACCGAATGCGATTCCGGAGCAAGTGCCTCATTCGCCGGCCGTGCGCGCTGCTCGACGTTCCGTTGCCCACTGAAACCCGCACTCGCACGTATTTATAGACGGCGATCTTGACGCCTTACCTGTGACGTCGCAGCGCCTCAATTGTTGGACTCGGATCGAGAGAGACCGATGAATTCCACTCTCTCGTGGAGCCGATTACACCGATCCACGCATGCCCTACCTATATTTTAGGGTGTACGGTATAACTTCCATAATTAAAACTCTTTCTGGCGACAAACGCGAATGTTGGTTTGGAGATTAGCCTTCAGCCTCTGTACTAGAAAATATAGAAAATAGTTTTTAAAAAAAAGAATAGCATAGACCTCTTATTTAAACTTAAAATCAAACTAACGAGGCTAAAGGACTTTTTAAACAGTACTCTTCAAACTTTAGAAACCTACACTACAACCAACACTACTTTGTTATGATATACATAATGTATTATTATTATTTTTTCTTTATAATAAAACAGTGCCCACGATCTGTATTGAAAGTTTTCCCAGCCAGTTGGCCTCTACTTTATCTTGGACTTGAATCCGTTCTCCATTAGCGGCGCCACCTCCTTGGGATCACGGTTTCTCGTTTCCGGCAAATAGCGACAGGTGAGCAGAAACCCGTAAATGCAGAAACTAGTGCATATAAGGAAAACGAAAGGTCCAACTGTGGAGTTCAGGATAGGGAAGACCATGCCAAGAAGGAAGTTAGCAAGCCAGTTGAAGAAACTCCCAAAAGCCATCGCAGAAGGACGTGGCCTTGACTCGAATATCTCTGTGTACTCGGAAGGGATGAGCTATAGACTAGATATCATGATCGATATTAACCTGTACCAATGAAGTAGGGGATGCAACCCAGACCCAAGTTAAAGCCTACGATGTACAGCAACAGGGAAGCAATGCCGACATAGGAAAACACATTGATTGATACCTGTGAGGCGAAAGAACCAGCTTGATAACTATTTGTGAATCGGAAACAATATCTCACCATAAGTTTTAAGGAAACGACGAGGGTGGTCAAGAATAGAGCACAGAGCAGGCAGGAAAGCATCATCATGAGTCTTCTGCTGAACCTTCTCATCAGCACTGGCGCTAAAAGTGAGTTGAAAAAGTTCTGCAGTCCCAAGGCGAAGTTGAGCCACATGGCTTCCTTAGCACTGAATCCGGATTCGGTGAAGATGTCCACAGAGTAGAAAAATATCTTTAAAGGGGAAATCACTGTACTTATTCATGCATGAATATAGTTAATCCACTTTGTTTAAAATTAAGTAAAACGCTTTGAAAACGGAAACGTTAAAAACACAAAAAAATTTGGTGTGAAATGGTGTGAAAAACAAGCAAAGATCACTTAAAACTATACTTTTTTCTTGGTACATTTCTTTTAAACGAATCAAAATATTTACACTAAAATTTATTTCTAAAAAATACTTTATTTTACAGATCTGTGAGCGGAGGTGCTTGTATCAACAATCAATTATTGTTCATTTTTATACCCTTGCAGAGCAAAGCGTATTATAATTTCAGTCAAAAGTTTGCAACGCAATGAAGGAGACACCTCAGACCCCATAAAGTATATATATTCTTGATCGGTATCACGATCAGAATCGAAATACGTCTGTAAGTCTGTCCGGCTGCCCGTCTGTCTGTTCCTCTTCAAACTAGTCTCTCAGTTTTAAAGCTATCTTGCTGAAACTTTCCCAAAAGTTTTGTAGTTATTGCACGCAGTATATAAGTCGGAACGGGCCGGATCGGGCCACTTAATAGGATAGCTCCCATACGAGAGATTGAAATAAAAAAAATCTATCGCCGTTTTTGATCAGATCGACTTCATTTCTTCAAGATGGCGTTTTCTAACTTCTTTTAAATTCGGATTAAATTTTATAAAAATCTTATAACTCTATCATAAAGCTGCCATAGGAAAGATCCAAAAATATACATTAAATATATATATAAATTGTGTAATCAACCAACTATATTATATAGCTGTCATATGAACAATAGTCGAAAATATGGAAAATTAATAGAAAAATCTGCAAGGATATATATATTCCTTTCTTGTTTTCAAAAAAACTCACCGCACTTATGCCGCTCATCTGCAGGACGAAATTAAAGGAGCTCACGATGATCAGGGGCATCTTGAGCTTGCTGTTGCAGAAAACTTCCTTCACTGTTATCTTTTGACCCGCCTCCCGGGTGGCAGCCTCGAACTCTGCCAATTCCGCATCCACCCGACCCTCATCCTTGCGCAGACGCATCAGGGCCACCCGGGCCTTCTCCTTCCTGCCCTGGGACATCAAAAACCGGGGACTCTCGGGGAACCAGAAAACGGGCGCCAGACCGATTACCACAAATATTCCGGAAGCGGCCAGGGCGTAGGGCCACAGCTCCTCCGTGCCCAGTAGAAAATCGAAGGTGAAGACCTGACCCAACACAACGCCACCGGTGATCCCGATGGCGGTGAAAACGCCCACACTGCCGCTCAATTCCGCCGGGGCCAACTCCACCAAGTACATGGGCTGGGTGGCGAGGATCAGGGCGGCGGCCAGACCCGCGATCAGTCGACCCAGCAGCAGCATCTCGATGGAGTTGGCCAACCGGCAGGAGCTCTGACAGATGCAGGACACCAGCAGCAGCAATCCGCTGAGCGTCAAGACTCCCCGACGGCCGAGACGGGCACTGAAGATGGGGGCAAAGGGGGCGCCCAGCATTCCGCCAACCAGGAACACGGAGACCACGCTCGACATCATTATCGTCACCTGGGAGTCGCCCAGCTGCGACGAGTAGCGGGTACTTGCCGATTCCATTATCCACGATCTGATGAACTAGGGGATGCTCTTCAGTTAGGAGTTGGCATAGCTAATCCTCGGGATGACCCACCGCCGACGGAGCATTCACCACGCCGAACGCATAGCCAATGGGGATGACGGTGCCCACGGTGATGGACACGCAGATCAGCATCAGAAAGGCCGTCCAACCCTGGTTCCCCTCGGCCATGAGAAAGTGTTCAGTAGTGTACTTCGATTTCAGGCTATTTGATGTCGATTTGTTGACAGTTTAAGTGCTTGTAAAGCATACTTTTAGGGCATTTCATGCATTTCCGTAGGTGGACTAGTGGGTGAACTGAAGTTTAGCTATTAATCTTTTAAAGGAACAACTCATTCAAACATGGTTTTAGGGGACAAAGCCAAATATTTCTCAAATAGTGTGTAACCAAACTGGGACCGAATAGAACATAACAATGGTTTTAAAAAATTAAAAAAAATAAAGTGTTTAGGTTAGATTCTTTGGATATTATTTACGAAAGACCAGCTCGATTTGTTTTTTTGAATGGACATTACAACACTTGGCCTCAGTTCCGCTTGGAGGCGAGGAAGTGGCTCATCAGCGGCTTGACATCCCTGGGCTCCCGACCTCGAGTCTCCGGAAGGTATCGCCAGGTGAGCAGCAGGCAGTAGAGGCAGACGCACATGCACGGGATGAAGGCGAACGAACTCCAGACACTCTGGAGCAGGGGAAAGCACATGCCCACGAGGAAGTTGCCGATCCATGAAAACAGGCTGCCCATCGACATGGCCAACGGACGAGGAGAGTCCTCCAGAAGTTCTGGGGAATAGTTGTTAAGCAATTAACTTGGAAGAGTTACTTTATGTCAACAAACCAGAGCCAATGAAGTAGGCAATAGGACCCAGACCCAGCTGGAATCCCAGAATAAAAAGGAGGATAAAGGCGGCGCAAAAGTAGGTGAGAATCGTGCTCCCGGATCTCTCCAGAAAGAAGAGTCCCAAGGACATGGCCAGTAAGGAAAGAGCACAAATGGAGCAGGAGAGAAGCATCAGAGGGCGACGCGGAAACCTGCGAATTAGTAGGGGTCCCAGCAGGGCAGTGCAGAGATTGAATCCGCCGATTCCCAAATTCAACCAAGTAGCTGCTCCATTCGAGAAACCCGCTTTTGTCAGAATCGAGAGCGAGTAAAAGAAGATCTGCAAGAGATGTCATTATTAGTACTCAAATTATTACATTTGAATATATAAAAAAAGTAAACAAAGTATAAAAAGTAAAAGGGTTTTATGTGCTTTCTTTGTAAAAGTAAAGACTCACCGCATTAATCCCACTAAGTTGCTGGGTGGCCTGAAATGAGCAGACCAGGAGGAGCGGCAGCCAGAGTTCTCTATCCCCCAGCACCGAACATATAGAACTTTTCTCCGAGCTTGCTTTAGCCTCCAGAGTGGCCTTCATCTCAAGAAGTTCCTGCTGCACTTCCTCCTCGGAGTTTTTTCCCCTCAAACGCAACAAAGCCCGTTCACTGGCGGCGAAATCCCTTTTGCACAAGTAGAGCCACCGAGGACTCTCTGGAAACCACCAAAGGAGCAGCAGGGAAGCCATCACCAACAAGCTGTAGCTACTGAGGGCATAAGGCCACAGCCGTTCGTTACCCAGCAAGTGGGTTAAAGTGAACACCTGGGCGAGCAGGATTCCGCCAGTCACTCCTATGCAAGTGAAGACTCCAACGCTGCCGCTAAGCTCCGAGGGAGCCGATTCCAGCAGATACATGGGTTGGGCGGTGAAGATCAGGGCTGAGGCAATGCCGCCCAGGAAGCGACCGGTCATCAGCATCTCCAGGGATTTGGCTGCACGGCACCAGGTGAACAGGATGCCGGATATCACGAGCAGCACTCCGCTGATCATCAAACAACCTTTCCTAGAAAGAGAAACCGGAACTAATTCAATTAATTCTCGAACAATTTGAATGGCTATGGAAATTTTAAAATCTGCATGAATAATCCTATTACTTGACCAATAAAGCTGTGTTTTTTTTTGACAGAATTTGCCAGTTTTTGTGATGAACTAGAAGCCTTATGCTCGACCTTATTATTGTAGGTCTTGAAATCCAAATCTTCCATGACCAGCCAATTTAATGTTTATGAATGAGTTGTTTTTTTTCTTGTACCACTAACACAATCACCGACTTAATACTTTTCAGACAACCGGATTGTAAGGGGAACCCTCTTAAAAAACACTGAATGACGCACTACCGGTTTTATCTATTACTACCTGGCAAGACACAAAATAAAGCCTCAGCAAGCCTATGAGGGTTTTTGATTAAATAAATTAACTTTTATTAAAACTTTTTCACAACTCATGGAATCATAGAACTTTATCCGCAATCGTTTCACTGTGACACACACAACAATGTCAAGGACTTTCTTACCGGCCATATTTGTCGCTAACTAATGCGCTGAAGCAGGACCCGCAGATGCCTCCGATCAGGTAGATGGACACAATGCTCGTCCAGAGGATGTCCAGCTGGCCGGCAGTGACGATGGTGTCGTACTCGGTCGCCAGGATGTCCTGGCACCACTTCCTGATGATCTCGGCCGGGGCGTTGAGGACCCCGAAGAAGTAGCCGACGGGAATCGTGGTGCCCAGCGTTACGGTCAGGCAGATGAGCAGCAGGAGCGGGGTCCAGCCATTCAGCCTGGGCGGGTTCACGTGCTGCAAGGAGAGCAACGGGGTTCACCCGATTAGCACTTGGCATCGAAATCGAAAGACTTAAGCAAAAAACTTTTCCCGGATGAGGGAGAAAGTGAAAGAAGGGCACGGAGAATCACCATAACAACAACCATGGCGATGGAGCGATGCTGGCACGCCGAAAGCTAAACCGAAAGTGATTCGCATCCAGCGGTTCGATTTTTGCCATTCCACACTTCATTGAGTCATCCGCACCGCCATATATCATCACATAAATACATCTTCGTTTCGCTCGTCCGGAACTTTGGAATACGTTTACAGCACATAAGCGAACGTAGATAAATTCAGCGCTCTTGTCTTACGACTACTTGTTTTCTTATCATTTACACGGGAGCGTTTGTTTGCTCAAACTTCAAGCCCAGAAAATAGGTCAATAGCTAAATACTCTTTCGCAAATTACCAGGGACTTGGGTCTTGAAGAAACTGACTTTATTAACCACTTAACAACTTAAGCCTAAGATAAAGGCAAGTCATATACAATTTAAATACATTCTTAAGCAGTCAACATTAGCCTGGCAAGAGTGGGGCAGTGAACCATTTAACCCATTTAACCCAACGCCGCAGAAGAGCATCCAGTTGTGGTTGCGCGGCACTTTCTGTTCAACAATAAATCTAATTAACAGAGTATTACTTTGCGTTCCGTCCCAAGGCGTTTTAATTGAACTTGTGCAGTGATAAGGGGACGGAAAGCTGAAAGCTTTCTTACAGGGTGACTCTTAAAGTTAGATACAGTTTCGCATTTATTGGTTTGTACAAAAAACTTACGGACTAGGTAAAAAATTGCAATTAGTTAGAGCAACTCGACCCTGAACAATGATGATTCCGGCTTATTGTCGGCTTTTACAAAAGGCACTCGACTTGGACGAATCATTGAGTGGCCATTAAAGTTAACAAGTACTACCACATATTTCCGGATACTAAGTACTAATTGCTAAATGAGTCCTTTTGTCAAGGTCTCACTTGACCTTGGAGCGGAAGCCCTTCGATACGAGTGGCGCCACCTCGGAAGGATCGCGCCCCCGCGTTTCCGGCAGATAGAATTTCGTCAGCAGGAAGAGCAGCACACAGGTAATGGAGAAGGGCAGGAAGACAAAGGCGCCCCATGCATTCTGGAGCAGGGGAAACGAGATGCCAATTATGAAATTGCACGTCCACGAGGCCAGGCTGCCCATCGACATGGCCACGGAGCGGGGAGCCACCTCGAACAGTTCTGCAAATTGAAGAGCACAATTCGAATCAGTTAATGGTCCCAAAATACCCCAGCCATTCAATTATAGAGTCTATGGGCTATAAGCATATATATGTGTGGCGTGCCAATGAACCCATTCGATTCAAATTTCGAATCAAAACCAAACCCGCTTCTCCGAAGCACGAGCAGCTGTCCCAGTCGCGCATAATAAAGTTGTACGAAAGCGTGTAAACAACGAAGTCACGCGACAAATTACCTGATCCGATGAAGTAGGGAATGGGACCCAGTCCAAATTGGTAAAAGAATATATAACCCATTATGCAGACGATGCAGGCAATCGCGAACCAGCTGACTTGGTCCTGAAAAATAAATAAAATAAAATTGTGACAATAATTTAATTGAAATATATATATAGAGTATATAGCGCTTTTAGTGGATTTTAATTTTTTTCAAATCAAATGGTTCAATGAAGAACTCAAACATACAACCAGACAAGACAGAATAAATTAATGTCAGACAGTTAATAAGAAAAGAGGGACTAGCCAAAAGAAAAAAATGATGAAAACGAATTTAAAAGAGCTAAACAAATATTATATAATGAAAGGGACTTTGAGGCAGAAAGTTAACGTCGTCTTTCGAAGATATTAATGAAAAAACCAACTCACAATATAGAACAAAACGAAGGCGATGGTAAATAGGAAGACGGAGCACAGGGCGCAGGAGAACATCATGAGTGTTCGCCTGTTGCAGTAGGCCATTAGCCAGGGTCCCAGAAGGGAGACGGACAAATTCAGGCAGCCAGCTCCCAAATTGGCCCACTGAGCATTCACCGTTGACAGTCCGGCCTTCTCGAAGATGCTCACCGAGTAGTAAAATATCTAAAAAGTCAACCATTAATTAAGCATTGTAGCAAAATAAGAAGTAAGACTCCAGTTACCGCATTGATTCCCGACAGTTGCTGACCGCCATGAAAGCAGCAGACAATAATGAGGGGCAATGTGAGCCGAGGATCGCGCAGGACATCGCAGAAGCTGCTAGTCTGGACCTTGGCATTGGCCTCCCCCTCCATTTCGGCGATTTCCTGGGCGATGAGCTCATCCGCATCCTTGCCACGGAGGCGTTGAAGCTCCCTTTTGGCAGCCGCGTGGTTTCCCTTGACGATGTACAGGAACTTGGGGCTTTCAGGGAACATATACGATGGCAGGTAGCATACAACAATCAAAATCATGTAGGCGGTCAAGGCGTAATGCCAGAGATCCTCTGTGCCGAAGATATCAGCCAGACTGAATACCTGACCTACGACCACGCCTCCCGTAACGCCCACGGCGCAGAAGACTCCCAGGGTTCCGCGCAGGGCCAAAGGAGCCACTTCGGAGAGGTACATGGGCAGGGTGGCGGTCACGAGGCCGGAGGCCAGGCCCACAATAAACCTTCCGATCACCAGCATCTCCACGGAGCCAGCGGCGCGGCAGAAGAAGAACAGAACCGCACCCACGGTGAACAGAGCGCCGCAGATGAGAAAACATGCTTTTCTGAAAAAGATGAGTCCATAGATTAATTAAGGCTACAACTATTATGCATTGAATGGTAAACTTTCCTTTGCTTTTTCAATGTAATCTTCAAAACTGTTCAATTTCCTAACCAGAAGTTTTCTAACGTTCAATAATTATGTAAGCGATTTTATACAAAATCATTGATTTAAACGAATAAAAGTTGTATAAAATGAATTTAAAATAACAATATCGGTACTATCAATCCTTTTTGGTAATACCGTTTCGACCATTTCAATTCAAAGAATGGAAAGAATTAATTTTTTTCTCTATGTCACTTATTAATAGAGTGTACTGTGCCGTAAATAATTGTTATGGCATAATTCCCGCCACTTCTGAATGGTTTGTACTGATACGCGCATTAGTTGGCGGATTAGAAGCACTCAAGAAAATCCAAGGGGCTTATCTTTTTGATTAATAGCTACCTGCCGAATTTATTTGCCGCTCCAGCTCCGCCCAGCGAACCGATGGCGCCTCCGACCAGGAAAACAGAAACGATGCACGACCACAAGAGATCCAGGCCGCTCGCACTGAGGTTACTGCCATAGGTGGCGTGTATGGTATCATTGCACCAGACTTTCATGAGCTGTAAAGATAGTGTTCGATGTGGTTTCGCTCTGACCAATTGGCTCGCTGTGGATATCTTGCCTTGGAAGGCGCGTTGATAACGCCTATGCAGTAACCAGTGGATACTGCTCCTCCGAAAGTGGTTGCCAGGGACACCAGAAGCAGGAGACTTCCCCATCGCGGTTTCTAAAAGTGTTTTAAGCATTGTTGTTACTCGTTCAAATATGTGTATTCCTTAAAAGTGCCTAAAATTTGAACACTGATAACGAGAGAGTGCGTCACTGTGCGGGGTCATTTCGGAAATATAATGGGGGTTTCGTTATCAAATCTTGACGATTAATTCTCCCTGTGTTCTCATCCGTAATTAACGCTAATTACGCTAATCTTGACCCAAGGGCAAAACTTTCCATTTCTCTGCAGCGACATTTGGGATCAGCTACGATTAAACGGAATACTATTTATAAGCAGAGTTTTCTAATCGTAACAACGTCCGCAGGCGGTGTCTCTTTATAACTGATAAGCAATGACTGTGAATTCAGCTGATTATACACACTAGGAGATCGGTTTGTTTGCCAAAAAAAAGCGCCGGTACCAAAGTACTCGTAAACAACAGAGGTCAAAGAATCAGCACTAATCACGTTCCCACAAAGTACAAAAACTCATACCAAATTATTTGTTGACTAATTAGGAGGATCTTTGTCATTTTAAAATACTACTAACAAAAACTTTGATAGATAGCATTAAATGTTTTTTTACGAGATAAATGACGAATTGGTAAGCCAGTATTTTTGAAAATAATTTCGAATATAACATTTATTGTTTTAAGAAATTAAAAGTATTTTTTGTAACACGAAATGCATTATTCTTCCACACTGTATAAACTAATTTTAGTCAATGTCAACATACATATGTAGGTTCCACAGTATGCATATACATATATGAATCAACCATATGCTAATGTGTCGTTTGTATATTGCGTGTATATAATTCTAAATTCGACTTTGAAAACAACCATATAACAAACTCAAAATATACAAGCGCGTTGGACAAGTAATTTACACAGAGAACTAGAACAAAAGAGTACAAAAATATTAAAAATAAAATGCGTGAAATAAAAGAAACACGCAAACAGCATCCGTGGAGAGAGAGAAGAACGACGTCATTGATAGACAACAAAGAAAATGTGCATGTGCAGATACAACAACTCTACATATTTATACTGGTGCTAGGCACTGCGGAGATCTTTTCACTCTCACCTGATGAACCCCAGATTCTGGAATCTCACCTGGTTGGTTTCTGTTTGCGGCGTTAGTAGTTCCACTCTTGTGGGCTGAGGGTACAACTGTTGGGCCTCCGCCTGCTGAGTTTTGCTGACCATGTTAGTAGACTTTGCTTTGGTACTACCACTTATTATTAACAAAAAATCACTTTTAAAGGCACTCGGGAAAACACGCGTGCGTTGTACTATGTGCGTGCTAACACGTTTCAAAACAATTGCTAACAATTGCCGGCAAACGGGTTTCGAATCAGTGTTGTGTAACGGTCAACCTATTTAGGTTCTTACACTTCCGATCCCAACAGTTTCGAATAATAATAAAAATTGTTTGTTAACGGCGCACCGCCAGCAGTGCACACACTTTATTAAAACTAACCGGAGCGTTATGTGTTATGGCAGCGTTGGAGTCGGGAACGAGACTAAATATTGTCAGCTGAGCGACGTGGTTGGTGGGGAAAAAGCTTCAGCTAAGAACCCACAACAACCACAACAAAGTTCTGGTTGCCGGCAACAGATAAACCCAAATAATTATAGACAAGGCAACGTTTTTATACCCTTCTTTTAAATTTTAACATAAAATAGAGGAAACATAAATACAATCAGCTTAGAGTCTCGATTTGGTTACTTTACTTAATAAAAATTTTGCTGGCCAAACAGATCACAATGATCAGAATAAATACTTTTATTACAAGACTTATAACTGATTGAGATCATAATACGAATTGCGAGGGTATAAAAAGCTCTTTTGAAAGCACTGTTGCCAAAATTTTCGCTATAAAAAACGGTTGGTATCGGAAATTAGTAGTTGGTAAAATGAATTAAAGTAAAACCCAGTCATTACACAATGACTGCACAATATTAAAGCGTACGCATAAATGTGTTTGTTTCCTAAGCTTATGTAGTTATCACCATTTAATTGATTGACAAAAACGAAATTTTCTTACAAATCTGGCAGCACTGCCTTTTTTGAACTGCGCGCGCTATTTAAAATTTCAAAATTAACCGAATATAAGTTTAAGAGTTTTAAAAACAAAGTGGGGAAACAAAGGGGTAAGAATAAACGAAATTGAATTATTGTAATAATCTTTTCAATAAAAAAAAAAAAACAGCTAGCACGTTTAATGACATTTAAAAAGATGTATATCTTTAGTATTTATCATGTTTTTTTTTACACACACATACACATTTGTTAAAATTGAATTTTAATAAATTAAACTCCTGTTTTTAGACTTTGGGCTATACTGTAAAGCTTCTTCACGCGCCCATCGCTGAAGAAAAGTGTCATCACTACATGCAGTCCTCGACAGCTGTTCAATTTTTTGTTGACGTTGTATTTAGAAGCGTAGCGTCTTTTGGCACTGTTTAAGTTTAGCATAAGTTACTAAGGAGATCGTTCGCTATGTCAGCGGTGGCCTACGACTCCCTGCTGTCCACGACGGCGGTGATCAGCACCGTCTTCCAATTCCTCTCCGGCGCGTAAGTTCGCGAACTCCCAAAAAAGTTTATTAAATTTTCTTAAAGAAATTGTAACTGCTTCCTTTGCAGCATGATATGCCGAAAGTACATCCAAAAAAAGAGCACAGGCGACTCTTCCGGAGTTCCCTTTATTTGTGGCTTCTTATCGTAAGTAGAAACTGCCGACATGGCACAACTGAGATAAATCCGAATTGGTCGCGGTTGGCAAAATTATTTAGCTTGTGTGTTATGTGGAGAACTAAATTTTCTCGAAAACTAATTATTAGTTAAGCTAGAGACAAAGTCAAATGTTTATGCATTTCATATGATAAATTATTTCCCACTATTTTTTTGATTTTGTTAATAATATTAAAATGCTTATTTATTTCCTACTATAAAAAACTTCCCAAACATGTTAATAATTTTTTAACTCACAAAAGAACACTTGAATAGGCCAAATATAAATATTTTACCTCATAAAATGTTTTACTACTTTTACTACAATCAAATAATTGTTGACATAAATGAGCAGCACACATAGTTAATCCCTGATTCCACTATAATATTCCCACTAATTGTGAGAACCTTACCTGCCCGGTTGGCAGTTTACCCAAGTTTGCATTTAACCAACTAAAATGAATTGAACCTTGTTTGAACAGGTGCAGCTTTTGGTTGCGGTACGGAGTCTTAACCAACGAGCAGAGCATTGTGCTGGTCAACATCATAGGATCGACGGTCTTTCTGGTCTACACGCTGATCTACTATGTGTTCACCGTCAACAAACGTGCCTGCGTCAAGCAATTTGGATTTGCTCTGACTGTTCTGGTGGTGGTCATTCTATTAACCAACCAGCTGCAAGATCAGCGCGATCGAATGATACACGTCACAGGTATGAGCACGTTTTGTGAAACTAACTAAGGCCAAGTAAGGTTTTTCTAAATTCCAAAATATATTTTTAGGAATCGTTTGCTGCATCGTGACAGTATGTTTCTTTGCCGCCCCGCTGGCAAGTTTGCTGCATGTGATACGGGCTAAGAACTCGGAGAGCCTGCCCCTGCCATTGATAGCCACGTCCTTTCTGGTCAGCCTACAGTGGCTTATTTATGGCATATTGATATCGGACTCATTCATCCAGGTGACCCAGTTTTCACGTCTTGGCGGGACGAAGAACTACTGACTGACAACTGTTTGCTTTTCTCTTCAGATACCCAACTTTCTGGGCTGCATTTTGTCCCTGCTGCAGTTGGGCCTTTTTGTCCTGTACCCGCCACGGAGTTACTCTGGCCATGGCTACAAGCTGGTCGAACAGGCTGTGCCGTTTTAGGGAACTGATTTATTAGCAAGAACGCATTTCGCTTTGGCCTCCAAGCGTGTCGCATACCGGATTTATATATTTTAGTATAACTTTATGGTTGAACATGCTGCTTGCTTAGACGTCAAGCTTATTTACTATAGACATACGTAAAAGTAAGCCTATATTTATTGTAAAATATTTATTAAACCAAGAAGATTTGCCTCGAAGACATGGCTACTTACATTGACCTGCGGCTCAGTGGCGCCCATTTGAATGAATTCTCTAAGTCCAGTAAGAATTCTCTAGGTCTTACTCAAACAAAAAAGTATTAAATAACCGAATCACTACTGGATTCTAACTAATTGTAGATAAACACAAAACCCCGAATTTGAAGAGGCCAGGTCTGAACAGATTGCGAGCGAATTGCTGACTGGGAAAATAATAAGTGAACCCAGTGCACTTTACTGGGCCGCGGTCAATGGTATCGATAAGCTGATATGCTGATATTCCGGGCCATAAACAGGTAAATAAAGTGAGCGTATATTGGGTGTTTTGCACCTCTGATTTAATTAAAGTATTCGTCGGCGCAGGGGTAAGGCCTGATCAATGAAAATTGCCAATCTTAATTCAATAACATACCTTATCGGCATGCGTGGTGGAATTAACCAGCAAGCAACCAATCAGATAAAGTGATTATTTTTTTTCGAAAAGCCAAAAACTATGAGCACCGATAAGGTGTTTTTGGGGGGCGGAAATGATTTAACAAGATCACAAAATTTGAGCTAAAAAGCTGTTAAAAATGCGGTGTTTTCCAACACAGTGTTTAAGGGTACGCGCACTCCCGCTTGCGGTGATTTTGTGAGAGTGCGCTGTGGTCACACTGCCTAGCAAAATCGTTGTGAATCATTGTTTTATTTTCCCCTAAAACCAGAAAGTATTTGAGCCCAAATCAGGATGCAGGATCAAAATCCCGAGCTGTACGAAGAGGTAAAGCTCTTCCGGAATGCCCGGGAACGCGAGAAGTACGACAACATGGCCGATCTGTACGCAATCACAAACACCATCCAGCACTTGGAGAAGGCTTATCTTCGGGATTGCATTACGCCGCAGGAATACACGGCCGCCTGCTCCAAATATCTGGTCCAGTACAAAGTGGCGTTCAAGCAAGTGCAGTGTGACGAGTTTCCCACGGTGGAGACGTTCGTCAAGAAATTCCGGCTGGACTGCCCGGCGGCGCTGGAGCGGATTCGTGAAGACCGACCAATAACAATTCGCGACGACAAGGGCAACACCTCGAAGTGCATCGCAGAAATCGTGTCGCTGTTCATCACCGTTATGGATAAACTGCGCCTGCAGATCAACACCATGGATGCCCTGCAGCCGGATGTCAAGGACCTGGCAGACAACATGAACCGCCTGTCCCTCATTCCCGAGGACTTTGACGCCAAGCTGAAGGTGGAGAAGTGGCTTAGCAGCCTTAACGAGATGCAGGCCTCCGACGAGCTGACCGAGAGCCAGGTGCGCCAGTTCCTGTTCGACCTGGAGTCCGCGTACGCCGACTTCAACAAACTACTCCACAGCCAGTAGCCGATATTTTCTCATTGTTTACGTGTATCTTTAAATCTAAATAGCATATTCCGAATTAAACAAGTTTTATATATACTCAAAAGATAACTACAAAACATTGATGTTTTCTTTAATTATCACTCTAAGCGTATGCTTAAGGGGAATACAGTAGAAAAAAGATCAATCATTTTGTGGACCTTGGAAAAAAAACAAAATTTGGAAAAGAATTGAAAATGAGAATGAATCCTTGTCTAAAATTTTGGAACTCAGTCACTCCTTGACTTTTTTCCAAAGCAGTTTGCATTTGACCACCTTTTTTAAGCACTCCAACAGAACTTCAATAAAAATAGCAGGGTGTTTCCTATTTTTTTTTGCATTTTGTTTGGATTTAATCGTATCTTCTTTTTTGTATTTAGTTTAAATATTAAGGTTATAATTATACATATAAGTTTAAACCGATTACAATAATTAATTTTTTGCTTGTTTTGTTTTTTCTCGTTCACGTTATGTTTGTGGTTTTGTTTTTTTAATATATATACTTGTATTTTTAATTTACTGTTCTGCTCTTTCCGGTTTCTCTCTTACGCTCTTAAATCTGTTAAATCGTTTTACGCCTTTAATAATTATAATTGTTACTCTTTATCTTTGTAAATTTATTTGTATGCAATGTGAAAATGGTACTTGGTATATTTATGCGGATGTTGCTGTATGTTGTTTTATTTGTTTCTTTCGTTCTTTGTATTGTGAGAAAGTGTGTGTGAAAGGTGTGAGGAGTCGCCTCCCGCCACCTGAAACACCTTCAATCCTGTGTGATTTCAAGCGAGTGTGCTGTGTGTGTTTTGTTTTGTGGCTGGGGAAGGAGGATGGAGGCGTGGCCAGGACGCTGCTGGGCGGCGCCTTTACAGTGCGTTCGTAGTAAAAACGTTTCTTATTAAGTAAAGTATGATCGCTTATCTTCGTATATTAGATAATCCTCCTCCGACGCAGGCGAGGATTTCTCGCTCCCCGCCCCGTCGGCGAGTGCTTGTTGTTGGGGTGGCGGCTGCTTCGGTTGCTCCTTGACGAGCATCAGCAACTGGCCGGGAATACCGGAGGTCGCCGATGTCGTCGTCACTATTGCTCCTGATGGCGTGGTGGTGGCGTCTATGGTGGTTGTGGCGCTGGATGCTATTGTGGTCACTATCGTGGTGGTGGCGTGTGTGATGGGCAGCGCCCGCAGATTGTTGGCGCTGCTTTTGCTGTAGATGTGGTGAATCGGCGTGGTGGTTGTGGTGGTGCTGCTGCTACTGCTGCGAAGGCTATAGAAGTCGCTCGCTCGGGCGATCTGCAGGGGCCGCCAGATCGTGTTCTCCGGAAGCTAGTTCTGTCCGGTCCAGTACGAGGGCGAATAGCCTTGCTTGCCAGCCGACTTTGACTGGCTGGTCGACTGCTGGCGCTGTCCGGCACTGTTCGAGTCCTGTAACAGATACGATTGGGGGTCAATAAGAAGTCGATCAAATCCCGGACTGGTTGATGCTGCCGCCTTAGCAAGCAGAACATTCCGCCTTTTCGAAACTCCACTCGGCCATCCATACATAAATGTTGGTTAACAAGTAGAGCACACGCAGTTATAAATACACTTATTTGCTGATTATTTACACGGCAGGTTTATGGTACATTATATATTTTAGGCACATGAATGAATATGCGACTGAGAACAGCACGACCCCTTCGGCCAACGATTGCTTCTTACGACCCCACTTCTTTAGGGTTCATGCAACTAGAGACTAAATGATACAAAACAAGATGTGATGAGATCGATTACGTGGGGTGAGGCATGCGTGGGTGGGTTAACATTGTGCAGTTCACCAAGAAAAAAGCAACTCTTACAGATGATTACAACAAAGGAACTTACCCGGCGGGATGAGCTATGAATCCTGCCGTCCATCTAATTGTTGTCCCATAAAAAAATTAAAAGAAATTATAAAGAAAAGTCAAACAATAGAACAGTTTCATGCATTTCAAAATTCTTTCATTATCGACAAATAAACTATTTGATTCCAAATTTAGCCAACTAATTTCCCAGAAAGACTATGCTCTCGTATTGATGCAGATGTAGTGAAACAATATCCACAAATTAGAAAATGCATGAAATGTAAATTGTAAGTAACGATCACGGGTGAAAAAGTATAAAGGGTTTAATAAATAACAAAATGAGATACTTTAGGTGCGTTCTACAGATGAAGTGCGTAAGTGTGTGTGGTTAGTATGGTACAAAATATGTTTAGTTGTTGTTCATGTGCTGTTAGATACTTTTACAATGGGTGGTGGGTAGTGCACAAAATATACAAATACATGCTGTAGTAGTTCAACACAAAGAGCTTCAAAAGCTGCAAAGAAAAAACCACTTTTAATAGGAAATTTTGGGTTAGCATATGTGTAAAGAAGTGTGCCAAGCGCATATAAATATTCAAAACCAAACTTAACAGAAGCCAAAGAAGGTGGGTGGTTTGTTGTGGCGGGTGTTAAATTACGAATGGTGGAAACTGAAATTTTTGTGTGAATTAGGAGGTGATGAGTTTCCCTAAGCACTCCATTATTCGGCAAAGAAGGATGTGCGGCTGACATCGTCCTGAACAAAGCTGTCAATACTCTGCTCATCGTCATCGTCATGAGAGTCCGAGTCGGCACCCTGTTCACGAAACTGGACGGGGTCGGTTTGCCAGATCTGGTAGTAGGAGACTGGAGGACTTTCCCCACGAATGTAGACATGGCTATCCGCCCCTCCGCCTACAATAACCTGAATTGGTAATTCTGAATGTACCTGATGGATAGGCTGATGGATCATGTTGTGGTGTCCGGCCGCTGGCATTGGCAAGAACATGCCGTACGGCTGAGCCGAGGTGCTGCCAGCCGTCTGAGTGTTGGGCATGTTGAACGGCGGCGGAGTGCCCGAGTGGAAACTCTGCTTCTCGTACGACTGTAAAAGAAAATCAATGGTCAATTTTAGACTAGTCAAGAGAGGTTGCTTTAACCAGGGCTGTGAATTTTTGAGGTTGTTAATAAAACTTTAACTTCGGGTACAGAAGATCTGGTGTCTCAGTCCACAGCCCTGCTCACAACCATACGTACATTAACCTTATTGAGCGCCACATGTCCCTTCCCGTACATAGACGAGGTCAGATCGGATCCAGTGCCTGCCTGAGACTGGTTCGAGACCGCCTGCGTTTTGCTTTGCTGGTTGACGCTCGACGAGTAGCCGCCCTTGCTGTAATCCTGCGTGGTCTGTGAGAGAGTGTCGTAGCTGGTCGAGCCGTAGCCCGCGCTGTACGAAGGCTTCGGGAACTGTTGACCGGAGGCAGTGTTGGCTGCCGGTATTTGTTGCTGTTTAAAAAAACGCAACATAATTAGAAAGGACATGCAATTTACTAATGATGTGTTAAATCTTACTGGATAAATGGCGGGCGTGCCATATTGGAAACTACCGGGCATCACATTGCCGCCATAAAAATAGGCATAAGGAACATTCAGCATGGGCGCACTCGAGCCCGCCTGTTGCGACATTGTGCTGGAAACCTGTAGGAGAAACCTTTTTAGCTACTGCTACCAAATTAGTAAAGCTCAGGACTTACATTGCCAACCGGACTGGAGTTATTGTCAGTGCGGGCAAAGCGGCCGTCATTCATTGCGGAATAGGTTACGGAACCGAGGTTGTCTCGTCCAGCTCCCAAACTGGCTGGCGGATAATTCAGATCGTAATATCCTTGCTGCAACCAAGAAGAAACACATTAAGTTAGCATTAAGGGAGCAGGTAGTGTGTTTTCAATGGCTGTGAAATGAATGAATGCAGCTTTGCCAGACCTTTGGCTTGAAACAACTCGTAGCGTTCAGTAAAGTCTGTCAAAGCCGCTTGATGATTCCAAACAAATATAAGTATGATTAGTTAAATGCATTAAATGTATACACAAGTCAAATATAAGTTAAATGAGCGAAAACTAAAAATTGAATTGTTGAAGGAAGGAAATGAAGTGTGTGAGTCGGAAAGGCAGATGAAAAATGGTTTAAATTGTTTAAGGGATGCAACCATCGGTTTTCCATTTAGGAAATATAATTTGCTGGCTTCATATGGCCAAAAGTCATAAGATTATCTTGAGCTTTGTTTGCATCCCTAACTTCAGCAAAATGAAAACTAAGATAGGAGGGTTAGCGGGATTAGTTGTTTGTTTTGTTAATTTTGAGCGTAAAGCAGAGCCTGGAGGATAAGCAATACATGTATGGATGGTATATTGATGATGATAATGCCAGGAATGTGGAATGTGGATGGATGCGGAAGCGGATGGTTTAACGAAATTAAAGTGCAAGGTGGCGAAAGAAAGTGTCAGCTTTTTTCACAATCACACACACACATACAAAACAGACACAGACATATACAAGGTGGTGTTAAGGACTTGATAACAGACATCGCGGTAATGTTATTATATACAATGCACGCTGAGAAAAACTGTTAGAAGTGGGAGGCCGCAACGTCAACGAGCCCGGAGCCCGGATCCGGAACAACGATCTCATTTCAGCAGCGGGAGGCGAGCTGGGATGCGCTGAGCAGTTGTCGTATGCGTTTGAATGGAATTAGGTCTTGACTAATGCGAAAACGTTGTAGCGAACATTATGGGAGGAAATTGATACGTTTACTGATTGATTAAAGACGGTTCGATTGATTGGTCGGTTGCATTTTGTTGTTGTTGGTTTGGTATTTGCTTTTGCTTTTCTCCATGAACTCACCACATGTGGCACTCTCTGTTGCATCATTTGCAATTCCTCGTAGGAATACACTGGTTGCTGATAGTATGGCAATCCAGTCTGAATATATTGACTAACCATTTGGATGTTGGTGGGCACCAAGCCGCTGCCGCTGCCACCACCACTACCAGCACCACCAGCACCCGATGTCGTGGCAACGCTGCCACCGCTGCCGCTGCTATTGCTGCTGCTGCTGTTCTTGTTGGTCAGCGAGGCCAGCACCGCGGCAGTGGTTCCCGTGGCCGTCTGGGCAACGGCGGCCGTTCCCACCGAGCTGGCGCTGCTGCTGTTGTTGTTGTTCACATTCACACCGACGCTGGCCGCGCTGCCACCGGCCACGCCGACTCCACTACTTACGCCGCTCTGGCTAACGCCTCCGCCCACGCCGGCCACGTTACCGCTCGCAACGCCCGCCGTCACATTGCTGACCGAGCTGCTGCCGCTCACGTTGTTATCTGGGGGAGATCGAAAACATTAAATCAAATGCCGATACGAGAAGGGATATTCAAGTTGTAAGCTATTTAGACCTGAGCTCTGTATTCTTAACTGTGCGCTCTCTAGATAACTTCATTAAACAAAAATTGATACACAACCTATAACTTTGTAGGTATGTACTATTTTTTTACAGGATTTTGTTTTTGACTTTTAGTCATCTCTAATTTAATAACTAGATATATTGGGAATATTAGGCGAATTCTTTAGGAAAACTAGTTTTCGATGTTATGATATTTGAGAGCTTTATTTATTTGTACTGTCTATATCTGTACAAATAAAAACGTAACCGATTTCTTGTTTATAATAACACCACGACTACTTACTGTTGGAAACGGCCGCTTGGTTAGCACCTGCTTGCCCGCTCACCGCAGCACCGTTGCCTGTGCTTCCACTGCTGCTGCTGACGCCACTGCTGGTGGAGACACTGAAAGGTCAAAGAGATCAATGTTTAATGATACGTAGAGATTCGCCTCCGTAAGGGACATGCACCAGGGAGTGGGTTAGTTTGAAACTGGGGAAAAGCGGGCATGCAGAGCGGAGAGCTTTGCTCTTACCTGTCGTAGTGCGCGGCACTGCTGGCCGTGGTCGCATCCTTGAGCTTGGCGCTGGCACTGAAATTGGCGTACTGAGAGGAAGCGTTGCTCGCACTGCCAGCGAACCTGAACGGGCGAGAATCCGCAATTAGCCATAATGGAATCGGTCCAAAACAAAAAAGCAATTAAGGGACGGACCAGACCCAAGGGAAATCGGAATAATGGCAGCAGGGTCATCGCTTCCGATACTTACCCGCTGTTGTTGGACAGTCCAGTGTTGCCATAAACACTCTGGCTGGACTGGTAAGCACTTTGTGGTGTCGAGTATCCGGATGTGAGGTAGGCAGAGCTCGCATTGCCGCTGTTAAGTGCGGAGTACGATTGCGGGTTGGGTTTGTATTTTGGTATTTGTTTGGGAGATGGCGAGCATTAAACGTGTTATAAGAAAAGAGAAACAGTAAACAAAATGAAGATTAGCTTCCTTTCGGGTGGTGCAGATTGTTAGCCAGAATTCGCATACAAAAAAACATAAATAAACTTGAATAAAAAGCTATCTTCGGTTGCCGAAGCTACTACCCTTTCAGAGTTTTTATTGGATTGAAGAATTTATTAGTGCATTAGTTGATATACCAAACCAATATTTCAAAAATAAAAGGAAAAATTGTAAAACATGATGGCAGTGGCAGTAATTAAACATCTTTTAAATAAACATGTATTACAATTCAGAATTGAATTTACACTCAATAAAAATAAATTAACATATTGACAACTTTTTTTTAACACAGATCGCTAAAATATTAAAGACTGTGAAGGGTATAATATACACTTCACCTTTCAAATAAAAAAAAAACACGTTTATTAACAATAAAAAATAAAAGCTTTGAAGTGTGCAAAATAATTTAATTGGTAAAAAAATATACGAAAAGAAATACTTATAAATTTTGAAAGTAAAAAACCCTTTTTGGCCGCAGAAGTCTCAGTTTGTTAAACAATTAATAAAACCCTCTGCAAGGATATCCTGAAGTTTGACTTAAAAACTATCAGCGATGGTAAATCCGATCATACCTTGTGCTATTTTGGCTGCTGCTGCCTCCGACCGGAATGTTTTGCGTCGCCGCTCCTCCGCCACCTGCTACCGCACCTGTGGCATTCTGTGCCCCGGATCCTGCCTGTTGCTGGTAAGTGGGCTGGTAGGAGCCGTATCCCTGCTGCTGGTAACTGCTGGCCACCGAACTCTGGACATTCGCGTACGTTGAGCTGCTGTAGCCACCAGGCGCCGTTGTCGGATAGCCACTGGCCGCTTTGCCCGCTCCACTGCTCTGGTACGCGTTCTGGTAGGCGTTGCCACTGCCGGTCGTCTGTCCGTAAGGATCGCTCTTGGCCAGCTGATCGAGCGCAGTGGTAGCGTTCACCGCCGAACTCACGCCCTGCTGTTGCTGCGCTGTCGACCGGCTCGCATAACCCGCTGCACTCAGAGCATCGCTCTGTAAACGATATTAAAAAATATCAAATATTAATATTTGAAAGTATACGATCATTGCTGCTATATGTATAAAATTATGAACTCACGATCTGAGAACTTTGCAGACCCGCCGCCAGAGTCGCCTGCTGTTGCTGCTGGGATTTGCTTTGGTAGTCATCTGGCTGCTGTTGCTGCTGCTGACCGTCAATGCTGAAGCCCGCTCCAACCTTCTCCGGAAGAGGCTCGAAGCCATCGTCCGTGCCAAAGTCCAGAGCGCCGAACTGCACGTCCAGGTAGCCAATGTTGTTCAGTGCATTGTCTCCGGGCATTTCGACGGCACTTGCTGGAATCTTGGAGGGCGGCGGCAGCTTGACGCGCGCTCGCCGCACCTGCGGCTGTTGCTGCGACTGCTCGGCGGTACCAGTTCCTGCTGCCGTTCCCGAGGCGAACACGTTGGCATACGTGCTAGTCTGCGAGTAGGCGGTCACAGGGTTCTGCGCGTAACCCGCTGGCGCCGGCTGCACCGCTGCCGATCCTGGACTGACGCCCTGGCTGGCCAGAGAGTTGAAATACTGAGATTGCTCGACCGACAGCGTGGCCGACGGTTTAATAGGCGTCGTCTGCTGCTGCTGCTGTAGTTGCTGCTGCTGTTGGGCCTGGTGAACCAGAGTGGCGGCTGCCGAGGCGGCGCTTGAGAATGTGTCGGGTGAGGCGGAAACGAAAGATGACGATGTGCTGACCGCTCCTCCGCCGGGAGTTACGCTTGCTCCTGATCCCGCTCCCGACTGCGTGCCCTGCGATTGCAGCTGCGGCGGTGGATTGCTAACCGCTGCGCTGTACTGCAGCAGCGGCGTGGTCGCCGAACCGCTCAGCGTCGCTGGCGGTGTGACTGCCGTTGGTCCGCTGCTGGAGCTCTCCTCCAGATGAGATCCCTGCTGCACCACATGGAGTTCGAGACCCGGTGGCGCCGACAACTCGCTGCCAGTCACCGTAGAGCCACCCGTTACACTCGCTCCAGCTCCGCTTACCACGTTGGCAGCGGTTTGCGTTGCCAGGTTGCTTGTGGTGAACACTTTGCTGTCCTTAAGCGAGCCTTCGTACTCCTCGTTGTTCCAGTCGCCCCAGGCATCGTCGTGCGCCTGCTGCTGCTTCTCGGCGTTCTGGGCAATAGTGTTGTCCCACAGCTCGACCTCGTGGTGATCCTCGTTGGCGTTCCCACTGCGACCAGGTCCATAGCCACCGCCAAGGCCTCCGCTGCCACGATCGCCGCGGGGACCACCGGTGCGTCCGCCCATGCGACCGCCGCCGCGGCCAGAGCGTGAGACGAAGCCTCCGCCGCGCCCGCCGCCACCGGGTCCACTGCGTCCTCCGCCGTTACGCTGACCGCGATAGTTGTCGTTAGCCCGATCATCACCGCGGTCGCCGCCAGAGCGAGGTTCACGAGACTCGCGCTGGTTGCGCTCGTTCTCGCGGTTCTCTCTTCCGCGCCCTTAAATTTGAGATAAAGATTTTAAATATTTTTGCTCGAAATGGACATAAATAATAGCTCATTTACTAAATTGATTTGATTGTTAATCAAGATAATCTTTGCATATAAATTTAAAAAAAAATCTTTACAAAACGATAACGAAATGTAGTAAATCGTTTTAGTTTAGTGTATTACTACGGTGGTTTAAAACCTTTTCTTAAGTGCATTATAGGTAGTCTTTTAATAAATGAGCGTTGTTAAAGTGTAGGACTTACATCCACGACTGTCGGTGGAGCCTCGGGTGCCACCGCGATTTGAGCTCCGGTTCCGCGATTTTTCTCGCTTGTCCGCGTTCGCATTGCCATCGGCCCAATCGCCATCGCCAGCGGCGCCATCAGCCGTGGTATTTGCAGCCTTGTTCTTGCGCTTCTTCTCGTACTTGGCAAAGGCGCCCTACAACAGATTCGATTAAGTTATGGGAGGGGCAGAAAAAATTGAACAGAAACGAACCTGCGGTAGCTCCTCGATCAAAAAGTTGGCAGCTGCCTCCAGATCATAATCGCATTCGTTGAGGGCACAGCAGACCTCCTCCTCGGAACGTTGGGTCATGGTCAACAGGAGGGTGACCTTCTCGTTGATCTGCGGATCCTCTGTGGTGCTATTGGTAATCTGGGCAATGCGCAACTGTTCGGTGGTGGCCTTGGGCTGGGCCTTCTCTGGCTTGTCTGTCTTGCTGGCATCTTGGCCGCCCTTCTTGCCGGCGGCAGCTGCGTGTGAGACTCCATCGTGGTGACTAGCTCCTCCGCCGCCGGAGTTGCTGACATTTGACTTTTTCTGGTTGCGGGTGTGACCACCGCCTCCTCCGCCGCCTGAACGAGTTTGTGTGCTCATCTCTATGTACACTGTATATACAAATTAGCTGAAATACGAAAAAGACAGAAGATGCGATTTTAAAACCAGGAGATCGAGAATCTGACTGATATTATTTTAGATCTGTGCTGACTGGATTTGAACATAGAAAACGAACTTCCTAGGATTGTAAAATAGAAACTTGTGACCTGATTAAAAGACTAAAGTAATATTATAACTGTGAAAAACAAGCAAAAAGCTATCTTTGACGAGCCGAACCTTATGTACCCTTTCAGTTAGAACTTAAATGTCGAAAACGACTTCTTTTCACAAATTTATTCTGACAAGATATTTTCCAATTGCTAGTTCACTCCCTACAACGTCAGCAATATTTGAAAGAGTAGTCCGATATTAAAAGAAACAACTTTTTAACATCTACTGTGTCATGGAAATGCTTTATGTGGAGCAAACTTCATAATCGAAGCTAAGACGGTTTTTTTTTTGTTAATTTTATATTATTTATCCGTTTTTATGCCAGTTATATGGCAAAGCCTTCCGATCTTGATTATATTAAATTTGTTAGTAAGGAGTCATTAGAAAACTCTATGCTCCAAAAAGCATACTAGTGTAACAAAAACGACTACAATTTTTGTATCATTATTTAGATTTTTATGCAGTGGTTTTCATGAAATTAAACGTGTAAATTTGAAGTCGTTAAAAAACACCATCCGCCAAAAATCATGCCTATATAATCAAATTTTTATTATAGGGGCTATATGATATGGTCGTCCGATCCGCCAAGATAGTTTTGAAACTAAGAGACTAGTTTGCGTAGAAACAAACAGACGTACATGTCTATATCAACTTAAAAACTTCTGCTTTAAATCAGAACCTCCTTTGCAAGAGAATAAACACATTAGCGGATAAGAGTGACAGGAACTGAAATTCGAATATTTGGAGTGTTTAAAAAAAATCCAAAAATCAATATTGTAAATGCAGATCGGGACAAACTAGATTTGCTCTTGTTAAATTGGCCGAGATAAACTATATATGAATAACCTTATTTCTTAAACAAGTACGGAAACCAGGTCATAACCGTAAAGCAGCATAATTCAGGATATACCTATAGAGAGGGCCGTAGAGAAAAGCGGCTCAGAGAAGGTTATGGTAGGCATTTAAGAATCTCTTCCCCTAATGGCGGGCATATGGTTAATGGAATAAAAATCAGCTATTAAAATCAGAGTGTTAATATAAAAATGTTCCCAATCTAGTCAACAAAAAGCATTTATGAATAATTTTCAAAACCCAGACAGATTTTATCTACGGATGTGTGGAATTGCAAAACAAGTGGCCGAAAGAGAGCTTCAAAAGAAAAACTGGCAAGATGAGAGTTCAATGTACATTTAATAAAAGAGAATGAAAAAACGTGAGAAAACAGACACAACATAAGCAATTGGTAACGATAGAGGGGTAAGGAGAGAGGAAGAAGTGTACGCACAAACAAAGCGAGCATTCAGAATAACAAAATTTAATGAAAACGGGGTGGCAAGGGGGCGGAAAATGTATTGGCAAAACAGGTAACAAGGGATGGGCGAGAGAGGGGATGACGGGGTACGTGACCGCGACGCATCCAAGCCGAAACGTCAGCCGCTTTTACAAAGGGGGTGGTGTAGTAGAAAGAGAGAGAGACGACCCCGATACCAAGTGCATATCTGAATCACTCAATTTTTGTTGTCAAAACAGTTTTATCAACTATTGCCGTGAATAACGCCTTTCCATGCATTATTCATACCCACACACACACGCGAGAACTAGCTCACACACAATCAAGGCACAGTGCCGCCTTCACTTTTCAATCATTTCGCAGGTCCGCCAAGTTATGAAGATTTTCCCAATGGAAACTGCGATCCGGGTCCCGGAAACTACTTGATTTCAATTGCAACGGGAATCGCGGGGACTGACATACACAAAAATTGATTTGTAAACTCCTTGGCCTCCTCGCTTCGGTTTTCAGCTTTCGCTTTTGTGCTTGCTCTTCTGCAACGGCCTCTATCTGGATCTCGCTCGCACCCGCACCAACGCGGGCTCACCAGTGTTACCAGGTGTGAGGGCAGAGAATCGGCAATTGACAAGGCCAATAAATTAACCATCAATTGAAGCACAAAGGAATGGCAAACTATTCCCGGTCAACTGCACTGGGAACTGCAATCAATATTAATTACCCAATCGGCACAAAAACAAAGACTTCCGGCAGGATTCGAGAGGCACACATCACTAGGCACGCTTCGGCACTAGGCAACACTGAATGCGAGGGCATTGAAACCGAATGAAGCGCACAAAGAGGAATGCAAAACCGGACAAAGTGGCGTACCCTACACCGAAAAGCAAAATGTACGCCGTGCTGAAGTTTAAACGTAACAAATTTATGGCACTGCGCGAAGGAAAATGTACGCTCAGTAGTACATTTTGGGGCAAACGGCAAATATCGCTTAAATATTACCGAGTCAGCCCCAGCCATGTGCACATACTTCGACGCCATTTCTGCAACGCCACACTAGCTGACTCTTTCGCTCTTATGTAAATCAAGGGACCCAGTAATTGACGGCAACACCGCCGCTCCAGACAGCGGCCACTATTGAATTTTCAACAAATCTTTGCGCTGTCAGGACGTCGAAAAACGTGATGAAAACACGACACACAGGTGAAGGGACACTTAAACTACACTTTAACACCTCAGCAGGCTTTCGGTCACGGCTTTAAATCCGGTAAACAAATTTTCAAAACGGAGCCACACACAATACCTGCAAATGCGCCGAGAAACGCACTTTTAATGTGACCGTGCTGCAAACTTAATCGATAGGCTGCTTATCTACGCATGCAACCCTGCGTCCGGGGTTTCTAGACTCAAACCCATTTTTGGGGTCTTTCTAAACTAAAATTGCATTTTAATTTTCCACCCATTTATATTTAGCTTGAACACGTATAGATGAGGTAATTATTTATTAAATATTTCGCGCGATTGCAAATAACTAAAGAGTAGTTATAAGTTATGTAAAACTGAAAAGAAATCTGGGCTGGCCCTGCGGTGAAATAAAACAGGTAGTATATCGATTTACAAAATAAATCGAGTCTTGCTCATCGCTATCGTCAACAAAACATAACAAAGTTGTTTTTTTTATGAAAATAATAAAATCCAAGGCTGATCGAAACTATGTGTAAATAAGTTTTTGCTGAATGAATAGAAATGGTTATTACTTCCTTCTCTCCATAGTTTGCAATGAGTAAGCACAACTTTGCTGGGGTTCTGAGTAATGACGATCCCTTGCTGAGTGACAACGACCTAGTAGAGGAGGGAATTGAAGAACTGCAAAGCAAGCTGGATGAAATCCTGGACAATCAAAACGAAATCATTACACTTCTTTGCCAGGTGACTCACAGCAGAATACCCGGAGAATTCTATAAAACTGAGCTCGACTATTTTCCTGTGACTGATCCCGAAGAGCTGCCAAAATTGGACACCAATCTTTCCAAGCCGGGCAATAAATATGTGAGTTGCATATACATACAATAAATTTGGTATTACGGAGTGTAGCAATTCAATGAAATTACAGACTTATCTTATTCAAAGCATTTTAAAACCTGAAGGTAGAAGAGAACCCTTGAAAAACAATTTTTCTAAGATATTTGACTACGACATTCTCATGGCGTACAACTACGATGGTGTGAGCACTAAACAGTCCTTTAAACAGTATACAAATATAAACAAAACCATTTTTGGTGAGTAATGCGATAAAAGGGTTTGAGGCAGAGATTTGCAATATGCGCTTATTTTATTTTACATTTTAACACCTATATTGGTTTACTTTTAAATTGTTTTAAAATTACTTAAGTTTTTAGATGAGATACTTTTAAAATAAACTCTGTAAATTGTATTTTTCTATGTTTATTTATGAAATCGTTTTTAAGAAATTTGACATGTTTCTGGTCAGGTCTTTATTAAAAATTAATTTTAATCGATTTTCCTTAGATATCCTTAAAACTGATGGCTATACACACACGGACTACGTTGCCGATATCAGAGCTGCTTTTCACACTTTAAAGCGTCGTTATCACAAAAGAAATCATGATTTAAGAAGAAGGATTAAACGGACCCAAAATGGAAAGCTGGATTCTGACTGGGAATAGTAGATTAGGCGTATGTTGAAGTAACACCGCATTTAATGGTTTATATTGGGCGTGTAAACCCTTGCAGTGCTTATCTTAACTGAAGGAAAGAAACGTCAAAACCGGTTTTTGGGTCTCTTTAGTAAGTTCTGTTCTTTAAACTTAAATGAGGTTATTTTTGGATTACATTTAACAAAAACCAACAACTTCAGATTTTCGAACTGTAACGTTGATGTCCACATTCTCTTGAAAAGAAATCGGATCGGAGAATGTTCCTTCAACATTCAACTAGTTTTATTTAAACTTCCCCAAAATTTATTTTTTAATCTTTTGAATTCAAGTTAAACTCATCGAGCTTTTCTTTTAACTATGCTCAGCATTTAACTTGGCTAAATCTCGAAAAGGCCACTTGTCTGGTGAGAGGACTGCCAAACTGTAGCGACTTGAGCAGAAGGTCAGGAACCAGGAGCTGATAAACCTACAAGTTGCGTTTTATCCGCAATAAGAAGACAGCGAATAGTTTTGAATTATAGGTATAAAAAGGTTTACCTATCACGGATAGTTTTTATTTGTGAACATGATTTGAAGAGTTTTTATAGCCTTAACATTTAGCCTTAAGTTGAAGCTATTAAAACTTCTTATAAAATATTTGCTGTAAATTTATTTGACTCTTGTAAATATATACCCGAAAAAATATGTTACTTTTGGTAAGCGTTTTTGATCGACTCCTTAGATGTACTAAGGATGTATGTATACTTTGTAGTACTTTCACTAAAATATTATTTTCGAATGTTACATTCTTTAACTGTTTGTAAGTAGAGCACACTTTAAGTGACTGAGACTTTATTTGTTAAATGAGAATTGCAGTTAATAGTTTTAATAATCAATCCAGCTCTTATATGAACCTTAAGCAAAATATGTTTCAATTAAAAACTCCCAAATATTTTAATAAAATTCTTCTTTATATTCACTGTTTGTTTTTACTCAATGCAACCGATTTGTGCTAATGCATATTTAATAGCAAGGCTCGCTGAGACAAGTGATTTTAAATGAAAACGACGAGTGTCGCTGCTCTTGGTAAAAAGCCAACATAGCAGGGTTCAGTAAACTTGTTTCCAATTTGAAAATGGTTATGCCAGCCGGATAAAAACATTTTCCGATGGTTTTAGGCATTGCAGCAACAAACTAAACAACAACAAGTACTCAGTTGCACAGTCGGTGTAGCGGGCCATAAATGAGAACTCAATTAGAACGTTTACATTTCTGTAAGAAACGAGTTGCTGCCGCCGCTGCTGCTGCTGTAGTTGCTGTGGTACATTATTTTTTGGCCTAAATAGTAGGCCTTGAGGAATCGGAATCGCTTGAGTTGTTTTTGTTTCGCCGAGCACCACGGCAGCGACGTCGGCAGCGAAGTCAGCAGCGGCAGAGCGTCGGCGGAGCGAGAGATACCGATTCCAATTCCGAATCCGAATCCGCTCAGAGTGGATTCGTCTTTTGGCCCATTCGGATGTGGCCTCCGCGCGCGCGTTGTCCACTGACAGTTTTATTATTATTATTGTTGTTATTATTATTATTATTATTTGGGGCCCAAAGCTAACTCTTGCCCTTTCGAGCTGCGCGTAATTTCGGTTTTGGTTTCGAATCCATATCCATTCGGCATCTCGCATTCGCGTTCGCGTTGTTTCGAGTGCATCCACATCCACTGCGATTGTTGTTGTGTTCCAGTTGCCGTTTTGTGGGAGGTTAGTTGGTTGAATAATCCGCGACTCCGCCGTGTACGCAAATTGCAAAAATTGCAAAAGTAATACACCACCCCCTTCCGCCCGCTCCATGGAAATCCATTGAGAAACATAGATCCAAGAACTGCAATAATGCCCTAGTGTGTGTGTGAGAGAGCCAGAGAGCGCGCCAGTGCCAGTGTGTGTGCGTGTGTGTGTTAGAATGCACCTTGTGGTATTTTGAAATCTAAAATTGCCAAACACCCAGCGCGTTTCTTTTTTTCGAGAGCATTGCAAAAGACTCCAGCTGTGCTAATGCTAAAGTTAAAACGAGAAAAAAGACTGAATAAAAACCGAAGAACCGAAGAACCGAAGAACTGAAAAGCTAAAAAACTGAGAAAAAGAAACTGAAAATCAGAAGCCAAGGCTGCCGCTCTTACATTTTAGCGGGTATGTAATTACGAAACTCCTGCGAGCGCCTGGCTATTTCGGATATCTGTCGGATTGCGACAGATATTCGTGGATTTTCCGCCATGGATTAATGGGCGCCAAGGGTACAGCCAGCTTTCCCACACATACACGCACACACTAACGCCTTTATTGGCCAACATACAGTCCAACTTCAAAAAGTGGCCTCAACCATATGTCGCTTGACCAACTGGAGTTATTGGTCAACTGATTTCTTAAGTATTGGTCTTAAATACTTTGAAAATTAAATAATTTAAATTTCTTGGTTACTTTTAAAATATTAAAAGTCTTCACTAATTTTCACACATTAAAACAGAAATCCTTTTTGAGATTTTTGGTTCAAACAAGAGTAAAACACCTATTCAAAAAATGTCCTCAACTTAATGAAACCAAACTTGGATACCATTTGGTTGTTACGGAAGCTTAACTGTATGCGGATAATTCCCAAACAACATTTATAATAAACCAATGAGCTTATCAGATTTAATATAACTTTATGCATACATACAAGCCCAATTGGAGTTACAGCCAATTCAACTTTGGGGAGTTGCACTGTATTTACCTACGTCACGCCCACCTGATTTCAGTGCAATCGCGTTGGCCCAGTTTACGGGCATGCTCCAAGACAAAATACACTCCTACAAGGTCGATTGCCTATGTGTGCTGCTGTTTCTGTTGCCGTTTCTGCCTTTGCGGCTGTGGCTGGCGTTTTTCTATACCAGTTTCTAAACCTGCCGCAGCTAGTTTCAATTTCTACTGGGATTATCTGCTCCGGCTTCGGTGGCTGCGACGCCTCCGTCGCTGCTGCAGGTGGCGATGTCTATGTCGATGGCGATGGCTGCAGCTCTCTGGGAGCTCATTACTTGGCCCGTCCCCGTCCTCAACAACCTAGTCGTCTGTATGCTCGATTGTGACACAGAAACCAACTAAGAAGTATGTGGAAATCTCTTGGCTGCATCGAAATCAAATCAGAAACTCGAGTTGGTCTCGCCAACTCGTCGGCTCCGCGTTGAGTTTCCATTTCAGAACATATGCGCGTTTTCGCAATAGTTTCCAACCAGAAGACTGCTATCTGCCCATTCAAGAAGGGGTTCAGGCATTTTGAAACGCCAGTCACACCTGTTCCTATATCCGATTCGGTTTAATAACGCGGAATCGAAATCAATTAACTTCGCCTTTTCCCAAAAGACATTCTCCCAAAAGCCTAATAATTAATACTTATTTTTGGTAAAGACTTTTAAAATTCATTTTTACATATGCTATAACATCATTATACTTATTTAAATGTTGTATTTTTTCGTTGAATTGATAATTGTTTGCGACTGATCAACAGATGGTGCCTTCAATAAGAACTTTAACTAAGCTGAACTTTGGTAAAGATTTACAAAAGATTGTTTTTAAAGACGTAAACATTTTTGTCGATTTGAAGAAATCTGGATAACTACTAAAGAAGAAAAACTGTGGAATACCTCAAAAAGTTTCACTTCTTTACAGCTTTGTGTTAAGAATTAGGTTTATACTTGATCACGTTCTTTGAAGAGATAGAAATTCGACTATAGCTCTAGAGACAATTTAATATTTTATACTGTACATTCATGTTTAAAAATGTGTAAAAATGATATCAAAGTTGTATTAGGTCAGTTATTGTGTTTAGTTGGCTTTTATTTCCTATCTTACCTCCTATTAAAATATTTATAAACAAGATGAAATCAAATGGCGGTTACTGTAGTGGTTTGACTTCGATTTTGTTCCCCCACCTTATCGATCCCCAATTTGTCTCTGTCGTTGGGATGCTAGAAGCATGCTCTGCATCCCTGGCTCATTCCCCAAAAGCAGCACACGCACACAGTGACAGACGGGCAACCCCCTTTCCCACCACCTCCGCCCACTCACCCCTTCACCCTTGCCACCCACTCGTTTCAACACCCCGCAACCCTCCCCCGCCCACACTGCCACACTGCAGTGTGCTCAATTCGGATGTGTGCGCCTGTGTGTGTGTGTGTGTTCGAGTGTTTGTGAGTGCATCTCCCCCACAGCAACTGCAAAATGCACTGCAAACTGCAGACTGCACGAACTGTGGTGCAATAAACGACGAGCGAACGGAACGGAACGCATATTGCGTTGGCGGCGATAGCTTGGATGTTGTTGTTGCTGCTGCTGCTGCTCCCTCTGCTCCCCCTTCCGTTCCCCCATCCCCCTGCACCACCCCTGATGATGACAGCCGAGGTCGTAGGCAAAGACGACGGCATACGCTCGAGTAACTGGCTCAGCCCACCACTACAAGCAGCCAAACCTGTTGACCTAATTTCAAATTCTGCTGCGTCTTGTTGTTGTTGCTGCTGCGGCTGATCTGTGTCTCTGTGCCAGCGGTCGTGAATGTGTTTGTGTGTACGAGCGAGTGGCGGCTCTCTGGGCCGGAGAGCCAAACGATTGGCAAATCTTCGCCAGTGGTGTTTGGCGCCAAGGGGGATCCACATCCACATCCCCTCTTCATGGGAGAATAACCCAACCAAAAAAGAAGGCCTTCAAACTCAAGCATTCCCCTAACCGAAGATCTTCAAACATTGGTTGACTGGTTTAAGATGTTAGCAAGGCGGAATTTTAATAGGAAAATTTTGAGAAAATGTATAGGTATGCAATCTGTTTATATCAAAGTAAATACACTGAACCCGAAAATAAATCTTTTTGCGTGCCAAAGATTCTAAATTGCCGTGTAGTACTATGAAAAAGTTATTGAGGTCGGTGGGTCGGAAATCCAAGTCGCTTATCCACAGAAAGAACTACCGATATTATCTTCATTTTCTATTACAATGATGGTAATGTATGTAGCCTTGGCTGTAGCAGGTATCGCTTTCAAAAACGATATAAGCAATTAAAATCAGTAAATAAAGTAAACCGCTGTAAAGCACCTTGCCATCTTTCAAAATTATTTAATTCAAAAGCAATGCAATTGAAAGAAGTATCAGCGAAATAAAATCAGTACCTTTAAAAATGTTTGGAGTTTTTGAGATTATTATGTTCTCAATGCATAAACAAACGTAGCTTATATCTTTTGGTTTCCCCACCCCTTTGAACTATGACTCACCTGAAGTGGTTACCCCCCTCGGACGCCAGCCCTGGCATTTCCGTCCCAAACAAAACGGAGACAGATACATTTACGTACACAGATGCGGATCCAGATGCAGTTGGTGGGACTTCCACAACCATTTCCACCAGCTATTGCAGTTTAAATTCAGTTTGGTTTAGTTCGTTTCGGCTTTGGGAATTTCGGAATTTATTTGCAGCCATTGGATTGGATGCAGTTACTAGGAGCACGCATAGGGGGTGTATCCCACCTTATTTATATTTTGTATTTGTTTTTGCGTCCCAGTAACCACAAGAAATTACGGTCGCTGCCACAAGCTGCTGCCTCTGTCCGCGTCGCTGCCGACGTCGCCGCCTGCTCCACTTGTCGCAGTGACGAAACGTTCGTGCCAGTGTGTGTGTGGGTGTGCAAGTGTTTGTGTGCAGAGAAAATCAAGTGAATCAAAATGAGCGTATAATTAGGTCAACACAACAAAAATTATACGCTAGCCACTTACCAAAGAGAGCAGAGCGGCAGACTCTCTCTCTGGGAATCGGAAGTGGGGCAGAGCATGGTTGCTGGTCCCATCAATTAGAAATTAATTCACGCGCCTAATGCCACAAAATTGCAATTGCAGTGAGAGCAAAAAGCATGCACCTGCAACAATATCAACAACAACAACAGCAGCATCAGCCGGGGAGAGCGGGTGTGAGAAAATAATAAACAAAAACGGGACATGCGCTGCACTTGCCGAACGAGAGAGAGTGGAAGAAAGAGTGTGGGAGAGAGCGGTTGTATACAGAGAGATGCAACATTCGCTCAGCTGCTTTTCGGCAAAGACACATAAAAAAAGCTTATATGAAAAGATGTCGATACTTGTTGTTTATACTATTTAAAAAGTACGTTACATTTATAAGTACATATATGTATACCTACTTTATTCGCGATCATTAATCCGAACTTCGAAGTCCTACGGTTGAAAATGATACAGAAATTTGGATTGCTGATTCAGATTCCAGAGTTAATTCAAAGTGAAACTTATTTTCAAACATTTGTCATACCCAATGGAGTTGTTCTTCAGAGTAAAGTGTTTGCGAGAATCGAGCTACTAGACTCAATATTGTCCAAAATGTTCCGAACAAATATAAAAACTCGTTGAATGAAGACAGGGGATCGATGTTTCCCTAGAGAAACCGAATTGTACATCTAGACAAAGTGCACTTTAACACGTTACAATAATTTTTAGATCTATTTTTACATTTTTTTGATACCAAAATTTTTTTTAGTGTAAAAAAGAGTGCTGGTACACAGAGAGCTCGGACGTTCGCTCAGCTGCTTTTCGGCTCCCACTGAACTATTTTTTTCCCCACTTTTTTCTCGCCCGTTTCTTGATTTTCTTGCGTTGTTGTTGCTGCTGCCCGTTGCTTGTTGGCCGTGGCAAGTGTTTCGCAATGAGTGCAGGCCAGGCCAAAATGAAATCATCGCCGTGCTCTCTGGCATTGATAGAGGGGGGAAATTCCTGTTCCACTTTCTATTATGGGAGTCGGGTCGGTGTTGTTGCTGCTGCAGCGGCAGAAGCAGCGGCAAAAGTAGCAAAACAGCACGTAGCATAAAAGTGTGTCACCATGGAAAGTGGTTTTCTCTCTCCCGCGTCTCTCTTTTCCGCTCTGTTCTTGTTCTCATTTCGACGCACATGTTACCCGCTTTTTGTTGTTGCTATTTTCTTTTCTTTACTTTTTTTTTGGGAATGCTTCATTGATTTGCCAAAGAAAGCAACAAAAACAACTCCATCGACCGACTGACTCATTTTGTTGCGTGACGAAAGGCGATCCCCCCACCCATCCCACGCTGGAAAACCGGTAAAAAAAAAACGCTACTAAGGTCAAATCTGTTATATGGTCTATTTTGCATGAAGATCCAGCCTTCAGTCGCCTTCGAAAAGATGCGTTCGTCTTCGTTTTCAACTTCACTTCCACTTCGGTAACAAACTCAATTCCAATTTCGACTCCCATTCTGTTTTGGACTCACAACTTCCAACAACAGCAGAAGCTTAAAATCCCCAATGGTCAATGCAATGCTAATAAACTAGCTTTTGATTTAAATTTGAATGGGAATCGTGTGCGGTGGCCTAAGGCTATGCAAAAGATTTATTTGGCCTACAAGCCGAGCACAGTGGTTTAAAGTCGCCGAATCTAAAATATAATTATATTTTTTATGTATTTTATTAAATTTCTTATGGTATTCTCTGGATTTGAAAACTTCAATAAAAAGGATCTGGCTCCCCAATGTAATGGTAATATAGAAATCATCCGCAATGTAGGTTTTTCACATATTTACTATTTGTTGATGCCTTGAGTAACAAGGTAATAGCCGATATATGCACTCACGTTAAAATAATGTCGTGGTTGATTTGAGACTGGGATAAATTGGTGCTATAATTTGTAATAAAAAGTTTTTAATTAAAAAGAATTAGTTTTGTTTAATTTATAATTCAATAATTTTTTGTAAGAGACTTTATTTGGCCGCCCTAATGATATTTTTGGCCACACACCATTTCGCCTCCCATCTCCAGAATTGGCCGGCCACTTGGCGCACCTTTATCCCCGACCGGCGGACAGTGTGCGACATCATTAAGGGCTCTCAGGGCGCTCCAATTATGTCGCTCACTTGTGTGTGTGTGTGCTCCCATTTCGCATTTCTCCTACCATTTCTCATTTCCAGAGCGGCTCAAAGCCCAAGCGACGCTTTATATTTTCTTTTGCTTTCGGCTTTCGGGGTTTCGAATTGGGAACAGCACGGCGGGCAAGTGAAAATGCGGGACACCCCAAAGACCCGAGACTGGAGACCCGAAACCCCAGGTTGGGTCGTATGTTAGCCATCGCTCGGCCGGAGATTATGGTGATGATGATGATGGCGATGGCGATGGCGATGGCGAAGTGGTGGCGATAATGATAATAATGATAAAGCCTGACCCAGTTGCACTCTAAAACTTGACCCAATGACTCCATTGGGTTGGCAACTATGGCATTTATAATGCCAAAGCCAACAGCGCCTCATAATTACTGAAAATGCAAACCGACTTTTTGTGCGTTTTTCAGCGTTTTAGCTTTTTAGTTTTTTTGTTTTTTTTTTTTTTTCGTTTTTGTGCTTGCGCCGCTAATGTTTACAAGTTTACAAAATTTAAGTGGCCTGCCCCGAAAAAGAAGTTTCGTACCGAAAACTCGTTCGCCCGCGTGGCAGTGGTGTAGCATCGAAAAAGTGAATTTGTAATTATGTAGATGGCTCGAAATAGGCCTACGACACACATTTCATTTTTCAGAGTGCTGACCTGGCCAGAAATGCACAACCACTCGCGCATACCTCTTTGGCCGCATGTGGGCCGCATAGGGAAGCTGGTCGGGGCTGAGGTCGTCCCCCATGGCTCTTGGCTTTTGTGATCTGGCTAATGCTAATGCACAAGCATTCAAGGTTGAATTAAATTAGCTGCGAGAAGAGCTTGGCCCGCTCTGTCGAATGATTATGGATGATGATTTATACGCTGCCCGATATACACTCACACCCCATACATCCGCACCTGTGCCTGTGTGTGGAGGTACCCATAACTATCTATAGGTATCCACTTTTGACCTATTGCCAAAACTCTGGCCAGACGACGGGTGACATGCGTCACTAAGCCAGAGTTGCACAATGGGACGGAGTCAGACATTTTAATTGTAAACTTTTGTTTGGGTACTACCTTCGAGATTTAATGACGTCTAGTTAACAGCTCCAAAGTAATATCAATTTCTGTTTTTCTCTATTACCCCTTAAAGTTGAAATTATAAAAGATTTTAAGTTTACAGACAGTAAACAAACTACATTTTTATTTGTATGTTATTTATTTAAACTCTCTTTTATTTAACATACCATTGAAGTGGCTTAAAGAAGAAATTACGTGTCTATTGGGTGTATTAAAATATTTTGACAAGCTGTTTATCAAGTCAATACGTTTCTGAAAAACGATATTTGTAAAACTATAAAACGTTTATTAAAATTATGTAACCATCGATTTATTTTTTAATCTCAAGAAATCTGAGAAATATCTTTTTAACAATTTTTCTTTACAACTTCAAAGTTTTAGTGCCCGATGACATTTTGTTGCAATTTTGTTTACCGTTGACTTATTACTAGCACATAATTAACAAGCATTTTTAACAACATTTACTGGTTTCAAAAATATGTCTACCAATATCTACCAATATTTTTACTCCGAAAGCAGTTTAAAAATTTAATTTTTTTGGGGTATATTGAGATTGATGATGTTAGCTTTTTGAACAAGAACCTCTTTTTAGAGCCTGGCCTAAACTACTCGAAAGATTTGGTGCCAAATGCCATTTAGTTGCCATTGTGTTTGCCGCAAACTTTTGAATGATTTGCTCGGCGCTCGTCGGTGTGGTCCGCATCTCTGGTTCGGGCAGCGTTTCTGTGTGTGTTTGGGTGTCCAAATGATTGCCCACCTGCAAGACCAGTAATTGGCCCCAATAACTTTGGTATTTTCATAGCACGAAGTCAACGTCAACGCCGGCAACAGCTACAACAACAACAACAACAAGGCCGCCCAAAAATGGTTGGTGTCGGTGTGGTTGTTGGCGGCTTGGTTCTTGGCGAATTCGCCGCAGGTTCCCCCCAACCACCGTCCCCGTCCCCTCACCACTTGCCCCTTGCCCCTCATCCCACGAAGCTGCGACGCTGACACCAATTTGGCTTATTAGAGTCGAAGTCTGAGTTTGGGCTTGGGTCTCTGGGTTGGAAGCACTTGAAATGCCAAAAACCGACTGCAAAAAAGCCAACAAAATATAGCAACCACAACTTGTCATCGATTTTCGGGCGTGGTCTGGACTAATCTAATTCTCACTGAGCCGAAAAACTGGTGAAACATCTGGAAATTGGCCCAAATGTACTATCTTAAAAAATATAATGTTTTAACATCTGGATCCTCCAAGTGATTTCTTATTAAGAACTCAAAATCCTAAATCGTTGCATTTCACTTTTTCACTTTTCAAACGACAATGTATGCTTTTATTTAAAAACTTTATTTGGTGCCAATTTAATTAATATTTTTTATAATATTTAAAGGCAATTAAAACACATTCGATTCGATAAAAAGCTAACAAGCAAGGTCTACTTTGCACTTACAGATGGCCGAAACGATCAGTACGGCGGCCAGTGGGATGGAGTTGGCCCTGAAGGACCCCAGTCCGACGGTGGGTGGCGGCATGATCGTGGACATGACGCCCACCACGGCGGCCCTGCTGCACCACAACGCGATGGCGATGCGCGGCCTGAAGGAGGCGGCCTCCTCCGCCTCGGAGTCGGAGCTGCAGGAGCCGCGCTCGCCGACGCCCACGCCCACGAATCTCAGCACAGGCCCCCACTCGCCGCCCATGACCTTCCGCTGCGAGCGCTGCGACAGCTTCGAGACCGGCTCGCGCGCCTCCCTGCTGCTCCACGTGGTCCAGTGCCTGGCGGGTCAGGCGGCAGCGGCAGCGGCGGCGGCGGCTGCGTCGGCGCGTCTCAAGAGCGAGGACCTGCAGGAGCCGGAGAACATGAGCCTGGGCCACATGGAGGGCGGCAAGGGCGACGGCCAGGCGGGCAACGGTTCCAGCTCCTCGGCCAGCTCCTCGCCGGCGGGCAACAGCGGCGGGGGAGGGGGAGGAGGCGGCGGCGGCGGCGGGAACAGCAGCTCGCGCAAGGTGTTCGAGTGCGACGTGTGCAACATGAAGTTCTCGAACGGGGCGAACATGCGGCGCCACAAGATGCGGCACACGGGCGTGAAGCCCTACGAGTGCCGGGTGTGCCAGAAGCGGTTCTTCCGCAAGGACCACCTTGCGGAGCACTTCACCACGCACACCAAGACGCTGCCCTACCACTGTCCGATCTGCAACCGCGGCTTCCAGCGCCAGATAGCGATGCGGGCCCACTTCCAGAATGAGCACGTCGGCCAGCACGACCTGGTGAAGACGTGTCCGCTCTGCAGCTACCGGGCGGGCTCCATGAAGTCGCTGCGCATCCACTTCTTCAACCGGCACGGCATCGACCTGGACAACCCGGGACCGGGCGGCACCTCCTCGCTGCTCCTCGCCTTGGAGTCGCAGGCTTCGGCGGCGGCAGCTGCAGCGGCGGCCAGCTATGTGCCACCTGGACTCAGTCCCGTGCCCGTGCAGTCCCAGCAATCCCAGCAGCAGCAGCAGCAACAGGTTGCTCCTCCGGCCAGCGACAGCGGGGAGTCGATGCGATCCCTGGAGAACGCCACGCCGCCGATGCACTTCCTCACGCCGCACGTGGAGATCTCGACGCTGGGCGAGAGCGGCAACACGGAGTTGTTCAACGTAAGTCACCTGCTGCATGGCAACCAATCCCTTTTCCAAGTCCCCTCGCTTACAAAACAATAAAAACTAGCTGATTTGCGTTTGGCGTGAATCTGCATTGCAGGGCAACAACAATAACAACAACAACAACAACAACTGCACCACGAACAACAATAACAACAACAGCAGCAGCAGCGGGAGCAACAACAACAACAACTGCAACTCCATTAGCAATGGAAATGCCGAGTCCAACGGCGATAAGGTGAAAGATCGAGCCCTGATCATGCAATCTCCAGTGGAGCTGCCCATGGATTGCAACACCAAGGCCACGCCCATCACATCCAGCACCACAGCGAGCAGTCTGAGTGGCGGTCTCAAGAGCCACCATCAGCACCCGCACCACCACCACCACCATCACCACCACGAGAACCACATAACGCCGTCGATCAGTCTGATACCCATCAAACAGGTGAGTTGGGGAGTTGGACGATCGGCGATAAATGAAGATCAACCATTGGCATTTGGCTGGGTATCCAGTAGGATTATCCAAGGAGCAGGGAGCTCACGTTGTTAGTATGGAGGGAAGCTTTTCAAAAAATAACAGTGAAACTAAACCACTATTTAGTAGTTCATATTATTTACTGGCAATTCATAAAGTTCAGGAATGGGAAGATATATAAATATATTTAAAAACACTTGAGCATTCTGAAAGTTTTAAATACAAATAACTTCGTTTTGAATTGAAATAATTTTAACTATATAACTTTATGTAGCTTTGAGTTACTGAGAAAAACAAAGAGCTGGGAACCATGGTACATTTGAGACATGGAAGTCCGATCGATGGGCGATGGCTCTACACTTAATCTGCATGCGAAGGCGGAACAAAGTCTTAAAAACCTGTCGTGGGTCACAAAAGTCTGCATACCTAATTTGGTTGAGCTAGCTTTATAACTTTCCGAGTTCCAGGGCTTGTATTTTGGTGTTTGATTTAGCGCTTGATCTTGACCTGTAAAATAAAATTGCGAATACATTTTAGAGATTTTAAGCGGTATGAATAGATAACTCTATATGGTATGTTGATATTATTTTAGCCTTTTATAAGAAGTTTCGTTTTCAATCACCAATAAGTGCATATTTATTAACACAAATATGGGGTTTCTTAGTTAACTGATTTTAATTCGTTTTATTTTCTTTCCCAATAGGAGCCCATGGCTGAGGATGTGGACAAGAAGGACCTGATGAACGGCAGTGATCCCAGCAGCGACACAGAACAGGCTTCCATCAACAATAACAATAACAGCAGCAGCAACAACAACAACAACAGAATCACCTCACTGATCAAGGTGCGTTATCAACACGTTATTATCCCTGAATCCCTTTAGTAAGAAACCTCTGTGCCAGCAGGTCTCTCCACTGAAATCGCTCCTGCGCGAGGATCTCAAGCGGCGCATCTGCGCGAAGGCCAACAACCGGATCACCCGGAACGCCACTCCGCTGGAGAGCAACAACAACAACAACAACTCCGTGCTGTCGAACAGCTTGAGCAACGGATCGGGACGCGGATCGCCGGGCATCAACGGGGTAAGCGGCGGCGGCGGCGGAGGAGGTGGACCGCCCACGCCGGCGGCGCCAAGTGCCACCAACGGGGCCAGCTCGACGCCCATCTGCAACGGGACGATCACGTCGACCGGGCAGGACGGGGACCTGCTGCTGAACCGCAAGCTGATCCTCACCTGCCACTTCTGCGGCATCGAGTTCCCCGACGAGACGCTCTACTTCCTGCACAAGGGCTGCCACTGCGAGAGCAATCCGTGGCGGTGCAACATCTGTGGCGAGCAGCTGAACAACGTGTACGAGTTCAACTCGCACCTGCTCAGCAAGAGCCACCAATAGCAGCCACAGTTGGCCGGCAAGTAGGAGGAGGCGAGTAGGAGCTTGCCGGCTCGGGATCTGCAACCGGACCAGGTCCACAATATTTACTTAGCTCAATTTTGAGAGATTTTCCACAACCAGGCACACAGTTAAGCTCAGAGCAAATTATACACTTACCATCTAGTTCTACGTTTACACTTACGTCTACGTTACAGATACAGATATAGTTATAGTTAGTTAGAGATAACTCATCATATTTTTATGATCTGCATGCAGAGAGTATGAAAATCAAATGAGAGCTACGTAGTTACCTAATCCCTTAAAGAGTCGAACAGATTGCAGAATCAAAAACGGATGGCATATATGCAAACATATTATATACATATACCCTCCCCGGAAAGCAACCAACCCTGTTATGTAGTCTTATTATGCGAATGCGTTAGGTTTTGTAGTTTAGTCCTTAAGTACTTGGCAATAATTTCCAGCCGGTTCAACCGGCCAGCAACACTTGCGTCAACGCGGGTCCGCTTAAGTCGGTTTTAGTGCATTATATTATTATATACATATAGCTAAGGCTCGCCTCAAAGGTGGCAGTTTATCGTTTTAAGCATCCACACTTCACACACACTTCACTCGACACACATAGATACATCCGATACGATATATATGCCTATACAGTTGCGGCGAAGGGCTTTAAATTTGTTATGTTTTCAGAGTTTAATACGTCGGCAGCCAGTTTAATTACGCGGATATAAACGAGACGCTATATATCTACGAATATTTACATATAGACAGCAGGATATATACGAACATAGCCAGGTTATAAACACCACTTTTCACACAGGAACAGATACAGATACAGATACAGATGCAGACAAACACACAGATACAGCAACAGATACAGCAAACAGATACAGTTACAGATATAGATTCGGATTCAGATAATGATTCTTTTAGCTTAGCAGAGGGTTATCGAATTATGAATTCAATTATTATACTCGTACCTTTTACCATAGCTCCTAGTTTGAATAACTAATCTAACACAATAACGGCAACGATCGAGGGTTTCTTCGATTGTGGAAAACATTTCGAATATTCGCACAGTGCTGCTCGTAAGTTTGCATACAACTGGAGCATAGGAACATTTTTTAAACAAGCAAGACAAAAAGAAAAACATGCAAAAATTACAATTGTGATACGAAATTGTTGTAAATAATTGGTAAATCGAAACATGAGTAACATGAACTTTATCGTTTAGACAAAACTATGCCTTAGATGCCTATGATATAGCATAACATACATATACTGATATACTGATATCTACATCTACGATACGATACGAGCGATCACTGTACAAACAACCAACTGGACGAGAAACTGTTGATTAGTATAGTTAACTTTAGTGTAAATCAAAATTTGAGAAAGAAACCCCAGTCCTTCCCAAACCCTCCAACCCCCACTGCCCCCCTCCGATTCCCGTCCCGAAATCCGAACCCCTTTTGCTGACGTCACGGGTTGTATGCAGCCAGCAAGGCGCCACTGTGCGCAAAATTTTACTTCAAATTAACATCCGTCCATGATGTTCACAGTTCTAGCGAAAATAACACTTAACACTTATCCATAATGCTTTCGTATGTAAAAACAAAGGTGAGGAGGACTCGAAGCCAACCAACCACATTGTTTAGTTCCCATCTTCTACTGTTATTTGATCTGTACTTTTAGCTAGCCTTAATACTTAGTCGAAGGTTTTTGTTAATCATTTTTTGTTGTTCATCCATTAGCACGTTAGAAGACACCTGCAGCACTTGCACATTATGTACATTACGTTCTTCCCAACTTCTTCTTATAGCAATATATATGGCAATGCCCCCTTACTTTGCTCTTCTCTAGCCAATTCACATGTGTAAAAATGGTTTGTTGTGTTCAGTTAATATTTACTACTTACTACTCGGTAATTTACCACATAGGGCGTATTTTGTTTTTGTTTTTAACTTTGTTGATAAACTAGCATCGAGTTGTTACACAAATCAATCCATTTCGAAATCAAAAGGCGTACAACGTTGAATGTAACAATTGAGCAATTTTTAGCGGTCTTTCATGTTAAATTTTAATAGAATTAAATCGATAACAGAACATTTAAAACAAAATGGAAACACCAAATGGATTAAGAACAGAAACAAAACATTTACTTAATTAGTGATTATAATTCTAGCTACAAACAAAAAAGGCATGTTAATTTTTTAGAAATAAAAATGGTTTAAAACAAACAATAAAACGATTTTTCAATTATTTCTGAAGCTTAACTTTAACGGTGGAGCGTTTAAAATTTCTATTACAAAGGTTTAAAATGGCCTGAGCTTAAAGCAGTTCGTCTCTGTTATATTAACAGCCTGGAACACAATCTCCAATGACCTGCTTACCTCGGCCACATGCACTGCTTGCACTGCTGTTAACTACAATGCTTATTGGAAATTTAAAGCTTAATATTGGATTTTGCTTCAGGGTTGTTAAACTGCATTTGCAACTAATATTTCCTTAGAGCTCTACAGCTGTATTATAAATAATAATATTATTGTCTTTTCCAGATCTTAAATAACTAAGTTTCTTAAAAGGTATTAACAAAAAAATACCAGTAAAATGGTCAATGTACTTCAATAGAGATGTAAATAAAGACGAGGTTCACCTTTTTTATGTTTTTACGTTTTTTTTTAAAGACAATTTAAGTTTATTCCAGAAATCTGTAATTTCCTTGATCTTAGATAATAGATAAACTGGTTTCTTCTGCATTGCCTTCGATGCCATGCCAATGTTCAATATATCAACCGGCTCTCTCGGGATTGGTTGACTGGTAATTGACCAATCAAAACTCCCCAGCTGCACAGTGGGAGAAGAAGTACTACAATCGGCACAAAACTGCCGGCGCCGGCGCAGACTGTATTGTACATAATACACAGACACATTTGTCTGGCTGTCAGGGGTTGATTACCAAACATGAATGAAAACTATTTTTTTTTAGAGGAAACAATATGTGAGCACACATCGCAGCTACCCGTCTACAATTGTGCGTATACATAGCAGCTTAACATTCATACTTGTACATACATACACTCCAATTAAAAGAAGAGCTCAGAGCTCACGTTCTAAAAATAATTGTCAAGCCCCTGTCGTCATCTTTCGGCGTTCATATATTTCCCTGAACCTTTGTAAAAGTATTTTTTAGCCTCCGAATGGATATATCAATTGGTTTTTTAGGGTCCCATTAAATTAGCTCCCTTTCTGTTTTTTCTTTAAAATTCATGCTGAATAATAATTTTGCTTTTCGTTTCTTTAAATAAATCGTGCTTTAAAAAGCCGTCGGCCAATTTTATTAACTATTAACAAGTACTGTAATTATGAAATCGATATAAAGGATTTTTAAGGGCGTTCACTTATTAAGTCACTAGTATTTATTTTTTTAAAACTAAATTAAAAAAATATTTCTAAAGCTTTCCTTTTTTTCTTAGGCTGCCTAGATTAAAAGAAAATAGATTCTCGGCTTACAGTCAATTTACCGCTAGCTGTTGTTCTTAGTTTAACTTTTCAGCATTCATGATATTTTCTTTAAAACTTTAACAAAACTTGTATCTCTGAATTGTACAATTTTAATTAAAAGGCAGATGGCAAATACAGCTAAAAAAAAAAAGGGTTCGTTTTTGTTTGTTCTTTTGGGTTAAAAAAAGCAGAGCCATTAAGTTTTAACTAATTTATCAAACACCCCTAACACGATCAGATTAAACAACCCCTGGCAGAGCGGGGCGAAAGAGAGATAGCGAAGGTTAGAATCAGTCGCTGAGTCGGATGGATATATCGTATCATTGGCAGCTCACTTCCTCTGCCGCTGAAGCCATTTGGCAATTCTCCTAATACCCTCCCGATTTGGATACGGATGCCGATCCGGATTGCGAGCATATGCTCCGCTTGCCCCGAAACCGAGTGTTTTGCCAGTTTGCCAGTGTTCCCAGTCCCGCTTTGCGGCAATTTGTTTGCAGTTTTGTTTGCGATTTAGGGGATAATGCGCCTTAAAGCCAAAACACGATTGACTGAAACCCTGGTCACAACTAATCGCCCGACGAGCGGAGTGGCGGAGAGCAGATCGGGCTGACTGGCTGGCTGGCTGGCTGGCTGATCGGCTAAGGATAATGCCCGGCAAGTCCATTGTGAACGCATCAATAGTTATAATCGCAGCATCAATATTTACCCTGCGACCGACTCCGGATTGCTTCGATCCCCGTTCCCCGATTCCCGCTTACAGATTCCAGATCCCAGATCCCCGACTCCGACTCAAAACCCGACCGCCGGACAACAATGCGAGCAAATCCGCTGCCAGCGTTCCAATGAGGCGATTAACACCTAAATATGTGTGTCATTAGAGGCGACAAATGGAAAACGCATTGACAGCCAGACAGACGATGGCTTTGACATCCTCATCCTCGTTTTCAGCCCGAATGCTGCAGCCGACAGAGAGGTGCACTGCTAGAAATATTACGTTTTACTTTCATCTGCTTCTAGATAATATTTTGTTAAATTCTGTATAATTAAAAAATCATTAAATTTGTAAAAGGAGAACCGTGAGATATTTTTAACATTCGTTTTTATGTTTATAGTGTATTACAAATATATGCACTTTTTAATTATTAAAAAATTTAAAAAACATTTTAAAAAAGTGATGCAAAATAAAAAATAGTTAAGTCGTAATTAAGCATAAGCTTGTACTTTAATGTTAATTTCATTCTTCAGATTTGACTTGATCGATTTTCAGGCCTTAGTTATACCAACTCTCTCAATAAATATAATCACACAGGTGATAGTACATCCTTCTAAAATGCGATTATCCCTCCTTTTTAACAATTATGACTTGGATTTCTATCCCGTTTTTCTCAGTGCCTTTTCACATATCAACCTTCTGTTCAGCTTGGTGTCGATAATGCGCGTGTTTTTATTTTCAAATGCTGATAACTTGCCCTTAAGCCGATTTGGCATACGTGTCATATAAGCCCACAAATACAAATACACGACTGCAGTATGCAGATGGATTTTAAAATGGGGCTTGAGGTCGGTGAGACAAAAACCAGGTTTTTTTCATCAGGCAAAACGATCAATGACGTCATTAAGGGAAGACCTCCAAGAAAGTGCAAAAAGTATTGTGTAGTGTTAAGATTTAGATACACAAATTGCAAAAACTCAAATGAAAACGCTATATAATTAAAAAATGTAATTTGAAGTACTTCATCCTCTTTAAAACGTTGTTTCAACTAACATGTTTGGTTTTTATTTATTTAAAACAAATTTAGTTTTGTGTATAATATGTTTTTTTTTTTAATGATAAGAATAAACCTTGTTATATATTTAACCTTAATCTTATTTTAAGTACCATAATAGAAGTATTAAGTAATCATTTACATACATGTACTCTACTATTATCTGTCATATAAGTGTTAATATTACTTAAAAGGAACTTCTGGCAGTGTAGAGCTTACCAATTCAATCGCACGATTTTCTGACCCCTTTGTGGTCACCTCTGGTTGGGATCATGTTCTCCATTGGCATCTGCATCGCTCCCGGCTGTCCGAATATATCCACAATATCTGTGTGGGCGAGTGTGTGCGGCCGATTTAAAGCTGACGCGGCCGAAAGGAGGGTCAATTCAAGAAGGGGTTTGCTTAACAAATTATTAAAAATCTCAATGAGGTTTTGGTTGACATTCGATACTTTGAAAGAACGGATTATAACCTTTATAACTGAGCTGATATTTAATAGAACACAAGCCACATAGAAAAGTGTGAAGTCACTAAATGTGATATTTATTAAAATAAAGAACATATTCCGTGTTCTTTATAATAAAGCTAATAATATATTAATCCTAAGCCACATGAAAAGAAGTTTAAAGTCACAGAAAGTAGTATTAATTTAAATTAAATTTTTATTGAAATGCTAATTTTATAATGCATTACAAAAAGTTCCTTAACAATATTTCAACTCTTTAATATAAAAATCTCTAATTCTGTTCTGATTCATTACTTCTCATTTTCGACAAATTGAAATATACCCTCTCAAGTTTTTATAATAAATATAAGCCCATAGATAACTTAGACTTATAATTAATCTCAATCTTTTTTGAGCAAACCAAAAATAATCGAAGCGATGGTGTTCATGTTTCCAAACAATTATCTTGTTTGTACAGCAATTCAAAGCTTCAATCTGTACGTAAATAATTGTCAGCGGAGTGATTATCAAGTACTATCTATCCGCTTCTGGTCGATCTCCCCCGAAAATAGTATTTTTCAGACCCTGCCCCGCACAATCAAGAATCACACAAGCTCATGTCAGTGAGTTCAAATTACATTTAATTGTTGGACTTTTTTGACTTGGTGGACGAGGCGGGCGAGGGTGGAACGATGTTGGAACGAATGTACAGAAGATGAAAATCCGCCACAAGGCCGGGCTCGGGCGGAAAATCCACAGAGTAGAGTAGGGCGATGGAGGGGGGATGGGCTTAATTTGTAAAAGAGATAACATTTACACGTCAAAAGCGTTGGACGTGGCTGCAAATGGGTCTGCCACAAGGGATTGGCTGTGGATGAGGGCGTTGCGATGGTGGCGATGTGTTAGCTCGGCCAGCTGAAACATTAGAACCTGATTCCTGACTCCCGAATCCCGAATCCTAAGGGTTGGGGTAAGTGAATTTGAATCTCAATTGAATTGCGAGTTCGGGCGAACTTTACGCTTGTCTGGTCGCTCAGTGCTGCCCTGCTCATCTCCGAACCCAATTATCTTTCAATAAAAAGGGGCAGCGGCAGAAGTGCATCCTCAAGTTACGAAAATACTATACACACACATCCGGGAAACTGGGAAATTGTTGTTGTAACGGATTTATAAGCTGGCTGCGTGTTTGCCAAAATCCGAATATCCGCATATCCGAAAAGCCAAAGCCAAAACCAAAACCGAAACCCACTTTGCCATAGGGGTTGACTTGCTGGCTGCGAGTTGCCCTTTTTGTCTTTTGGCCGGCGTAACCGAAATCTGGCCTGCGGGCAAACATCTTTATTAATTCATAATTCAATCGGGAGTCGCCGGGGAAGACAATGGAAACAGCACATTTGCCAACATTATGGATTTTGATTTAACTTCCATTTTCCCGGCCCCTGACTTGGTTTGCCTATTTCACTTTTGTTTCAGTAATTCAATACGATTTTTCAATCTCCGCACAATGCATTGTGCG